CCCATAGCATTATTGGCATAGAAGTTATGCATATTTATATGTTTTGCCGTTTTTCACGAATATCTCTCGATTTATCCAACTAAATGAAGTCAACAGCCAGTGTTTGGAACCCGTCTCGTCCCCATCTTTCGAATGACATCATCAAAACCACGATCCAAACATAAATACGATTTTTTGCATATTTCGAGGTTAGAAATGGCAATTTTCGGTTTTTGCCGATTCAGGGTTACTCTGAGCGTTCCGGTCCGCTAAAATTCTACCTTAAATACCAAAAATTTATTTTAACGACCTCAGAACCGAAAATAAGGTCAGAACCGGAAATGGCTACAATTTTAGTATAAATTATGCTCGGATCATAATTTTGACTGGTGCACTAGAAAGCTCTTGCTCTCAGGAATCTATTGATATGCTTGTGGTCCATGTACCTCGTATAGATCTTGGGTTATCGGCGAAAAACGAAGCTATGCTTCAATAAAACATAAAAAAACGTTTTAAAACGCTCATAACTCGAAAACTAAGCGAGATACGGCATTTTTGACGGGGTTATCCTATAGGGGGAGCCGAATTTCTTACTTACGTCCAGATCTTTCATATGAGCCCTTGATCAACCCCATAGCATTATTGGCATAGAAGTTATGCATATTTATATGTTTTGCCGTTTTTCACGAATATCTCTCGATTTATCCAACTAAATGAAGTCAACAGCCAGTGTTTGGAACCCGTCTCGTCCCCATCTTTCGAATGACATCATCAAAACCACGATCCAAACATAAATACGATTTTTTGCATATTTCGAGGTTAGAAATGGCAATTTTCGGTTTTTGCCGATTCAGGGTTACTCTGAGCGTTCCGGTCCGCTAAAATTCTACCTTAAATACCAAAAATTTATTTTAACGACCTCAGAACCGAAAATAAGGTCAGAACCGGAAATGGCTACAATTTTAGTATAAATTATGCTCGGATCATAATTTTGACTGGTGCACTAGAAAGCTCTTGCTCTCAGGAATCTATTGATATGCTTGTGGTCCATGTACCTCGTATAGATCTTGGGTTATCGGCGAAAAACGAAGCTATGCTTCAATAAAACATAAAAAAACGTTTAAACGCTCATAACTCGAAAACTAAGCGAGATACGGCATTTTTGACGGGGTTATCCTATAGGGGGAGCCGAATTTCTTACTTACGTCCAGATCTTTCATATGAGCCCTTGATCAACCCCATAGCATTATTGGCATAGAAGTTATGCATATTTATATGTTTTGCCGTTTTTCACGAATATCTCTCGATTTATCCAACTAAATGAAGTCAACAGCCAGTGTTTGGAACCCGTCTCGTCCCCATCTTTCGAATGACATCATCAAAACCACGATCCAAACATAATTACGATTTTTTGCATATTTCGAGGTTAGAAATGGCAATTTTCGGTTTTTGCCGATTCAGGGTTACTCTGAGCGTTCCGGTCCGCTAAAATTCTACCTTAAATACCAAAAATTTATTTTAACGACCTCAGAACCGAAAATAAGGTCAGAACCGGAAATGGCTACAATTTTAGTATAAATTATGCTCGGATCATAATTTTGACTGGTGCACTAGAAAGCTCTTGCTCTCAGGAATCTATTGATATGCTTGTGGTCCATGTACCTCGTATAGATCTTGAGTTATCGGCAAAAAACGAAGCTATGCTCTAATAAAACATAAAAAAACGTTTAAACGCTCATAACTCGAAAACTAAGCGAGATACGGCATTTTTGACGGGGTTATCCTATAGGGGGAGCCGAATTTCTTACTTACGTCCAGATCTTTCATATGAGCCCTTGATCAACCCCATAGCATTATTGGCATAGAAGTTATGCATATTTATATGTTTTGCCGTTTTTCACGAATATCTCTCGATTTATCCAACTAAATGAAGTCAACAGCCAGTGTTTGGAACCCGTCTCGTCCCCATCTTTCGAATGACATCATCAAAACCACGATCCAAACATAATTACGATTTTTTGCATATTTCGAGGTTAGAAATGGCAATTTTCGGTTTTTGCCGATTCAGGGTTACTCTGAGCGTTCCGGTCCGCTAAAATTCTACCTTAAATACCAAAAATTTATTTTAACGACCTCAGAACCGAAAATAAGGTCAGAACCGGAAATGGCTACAATTTTAGTATAAATTATGCTCGGATCATAATTTTGACTGGTGCACTAGAAAGCTCTTGCTCTCAGGAATCTATTGATATGCTTGTGGTCCATGTACCTCGTATAGATCTTGAGTTATCGGCAAAAAACGAAGCTATGCATTTTTGACGGGGTTATCCTATAGGGGGAGCCGAATTTCTTACTTAGGTCCAGATCTTTCATATGAGCGCTTGATCAACCTCCTAGCATCATTGGCATAGAAGTTATGCATATTTATATGTTTTGCCGTTTTTCACGAATATCTCTCGATATATCCAACCAAATAAAGTCAACAGCCAGTGTTTGAAACCCGTCTTGTCCCCATCTTTCGAATGACATTATCAAAACCACGATCCAAACATAATTACGATTTTTTGCATATTTCGAGGTTAGAAATGGCAATTTTCGGCTTTTGCCGATTCAGGGTTACTCTGTGCGTTCCGGTCCGCTAAAATTCTACCTTAAATACCAAAAATTTATTTTAACGACCTCAGAACCGAAAATAAGGTCAGAACCGGAGATGGCTATATTTTTAGTATAAATTATGCTCGGATCATAATTTTGACTGGTGCACTAGAAAGCTCTTGCTCTCAGGAATCTATTGATATGCTTGTGGTCCATGTACCTCGTATAGATCTTGAGTTATCGGCGAAAAACGAAGCTATGCTCCAATAAAACATAAAAAAACGTTTAAGCGCTCATAACTCGAAAACTAAGCGAGATACGGCATTTTTGACGCGGTTATCCTATAGGGGGAGCCGAATTTCTTACTTAGGTCCAGATCTTTCATATGAGCCCTTGATCAACCTCCTAGCATCATTGGCATAGAAGTTATGATAATTTATATGTTTTGCCGTTCTTTACGAATATCTCTCGATTTATCCAACTAAATACAGTCAACAGCCAGTGTTTGGAACCCGTCTCGTACCCATCTTTCGAATGACATCATCAAAACCACGGTCCAAACATAATTTCGATTTTTTCCATATTTCGAGGTTAGAAATGGCAATTTTCGGCTTTTGCTGATTCGGGGTTATTCTGTCTAATGAGAGGCAATCTTGTTCTCAACCCTTTTGATAAATAGAAATGGTCTGACGTTGATGTTACTCTATGTTTTCTCGTCGTCTTTCTAACCACATCCAAAATTTGATGATCCAAGCTTAAACCGGACAGTTTTCAATTATAACCTGCAGGCTACAAGTACAACGAGTAGGAATGGAGCTGGTCGTCAAAATACGGGAACTCTTCGTGGATTTTTTTTTTGCTTCTTATATTAATTATTCAAAAAAATATGCTACGTCTGTGTAGCTGTACTTAAGTGGAATAATGGCCGTGTTTAGATGTTTGCTGTTTTTGTGTCTATTACTCAGACAAATAAAAAAAAAACTTAATTATCCTTAGGAATTAATTCGGGCTTATCAAAATTATAATCACATCCAATTATGCTAAAAAAGAGAGAGAAAACAGATTGGCCGGCGCCGAGATTAAACCTTTCTCAGCAATATTAATGGCTCGTGCTTTGACGACGAACATCATGCTTTCAATTATATATTCGTGTTTGTTAATTATAAATTACATGCTTGGTTACGCCGACTTGGAATTTAGCTCGTTTGTTGACCTTTATACTTGATATAGTTAGATAGATATCTTAACAATGGAGGAATATGTGTATTTTAAGTCATTTTCAGGTATTATATCAATTAACATCCAATGTGTATCATTATTTCCACTTATATTAATTGCAATAGTCATTAAAGTGTAGGGCATTACAATGTAACACACTACATTTACATCACAAGCATGTATTACCTGTACCAGAGAAAAGAAATAATATAGAAGAACCACCGCATAGGGATCCGTTGGACGTATTCTTGGGGATACATATGGCATTTTCGCATTTGCTTTATATTCCCAGCCATAGAACAGCAGGTAAAAATTACCGTCCAACAGCTCTTATTGGGATGGTTCTTCTATATATTATCTCTTTTCTCTGCCTGTACACAGTCATATACAGTACCGGACATAAATGCTGTTCAATTTTTTGAAGGTTATACATGCAATTTCCCTATACTGTCTTATAGAAAATCACACAGCATTTATGTCCGGTACTGTAGTAGAACCAAGAAAAGTGTGGTCTCGATTTGGTGTCTAATCTCCCGCCTCCTAAAAAAATCGTATGGAGACGTGATATTAGACACCAAATTGAGACTGCTCTTTTCTTGGTTCAACTATACACAAATTACTCGTAATAATGCGGGGCACCATCAGTTTTTCATACGGATTGAGCATTTTTCATCTATGGATGACTGAGGTCATTCATGATCATGGTGCTGCCATCTATTGGATATGTTGAAACTAGTTTCAAACTCAAATCATCCCAAATTCTAGTTTTTTGATTTCTTTTTAATTATCACATTTTATTATCTGAAACAATTATTTCGTAAATTGTAAAGATTGCAAGAATAGTGCTAAACAACATTTGGATGCTGAAATAACATAGAAAATAAATAATTCACGATTTCTTTTTAAAACCTTGTAGCGGCCATCTTGGCGTTGGAGCGCGGCAAATCAATTCATAGTTATTCAATTTTCTTTTCAATTTTTTTATTGGAAAAATTAATTGGGAAATCTAAATTTTTATTCAGCGTACTGCATCATAGAATAAGCTTCAATTTGTGACTAAAATTTTTAAATAAAAACGTGAATCTGCAGAGAAATTATATTAACCTACGATTCAACGTATCTAGATAAGGGGAATCAGTCGCCTCCGTGACTTCAGCCCAGCCTTAATGTTCCTTACAGCACTAGATGGGTGTGTGTATACGACGAACTACGTCTGTGTTCCCTGTGAACACTTATACAAGTTAAGTAACCGATCTGTACACGCTGTGAATATTTACAAAAACCCTTGTGTTGTTATAAAATATATATGGAAATTTTTGAATTATCGCAATACTTTTGAAAATATTACTGTTATGGCTGATTCGTCATATGAGAAAGGATTAAATGAGCTTTCCAAGATGAAAGTAAGAAAATTTATTAACAATAACTTATTTGATTCAATTTTGTTTGGACTGTATACAAAAATATTGTTCAAACTTAGTCTATTGAATTCATAACATTTTATAGATTAAATTAATTATGTGTTTAATATTATTAATTAATAAAAATTCATTTTTAGGTTGCAGATCTTAGAGCAGAATTGAAACAAAGAGGTTTGCCGACAACAGGAAATAAAAATGAATTAGTAGAAAGGCTTCAATTTGCTATTCACGGTGGTATGTAGTTTTCTAAACATATATGTTGCATGAATAGATAAAAATATTGATTTTTTCCAACTAAAAAATATTTATCATTATATTAGATTCAACTTTATCTCTTGATGAAACGACTGACGAAATATTAGACGAAGATGCCGTTCTTGGGGTATGTAATAGAATATGAGTTGATGCAATTCAATATTAAATCAAATAGTAAACAATCATTTTTTTCCATGAAGGATGAGGAACTTGAAGAATTATCTAGTAAACCAGATTCACAAGATGTGGGAGAAAAAAGGAAAACAAGTGACGACAGTAATCCTGTAACAAAAAAAATTGTCCTTAATCGAAATTCAATAATAGAAGATGTTAAAGTTAATCCCCTAAAAACTGAAGAACACAGTGAAAATAATGATTCTGGTCAACCACAAAAACGCATCATTAAGCTATCTGAACTAGGTCCAAAAGAGGTAAATAAATAAATGTCTTTTTTATAATAATACATATAACAATAAATACATTTTTTTCTAGCGTTTAGAGATGAGAGCAAAGAAGTTTGGTGTTCCATTATCTGAGGCAGTTAAAAAAGAAGCAAGATCTGCTAGATTTAATAGTCAACTTTACAGTAATGGGAAATCCGCAGCGTCAATAAAAACTCCCGTGGTAATTTTTTTTAAATATATATAATATAAAACTACATTCTTAAAAATGTAAGTTTTAATCTTGTTTTTTGTGTTTTTTCTTTGATAGACAACATCATTTGAAGTTTTAAAGAAACGTGCTGAACGATTCGGTACAAATACTTCAGCTCTAGTGGAAAAGGTTAGTTGAATTTACTTTTAAACAGAATAAATAAAAATAAAAAAATAGAGAAATAATAGTAATTATTATTATTTTTAGGCGGAATTACAAGAAAAAATAGAGAAACGTAAAGCTCGTTTTGGTGAAATTTGTTGAATAATATGCCTTATTTTATATAAAAATTAAAGTTTAGAATACAACTCATACAATCAACACTTTTTTTTCAATAAAAAACACAGTGATGACAGCAATATTGTTAATAATAATTTAAATATTTTCTTATCAGTTCGTATTTTAATATTATTATCTTTACTCAACAAGATATGATCTATGAATATTTATTTTGACTATGATAAAACAATTACAATAATAAATAATAAAATTTAAAACATTTTACGCGAAAAAAATTCTTTTTATTTTTCTCTATATAGTACAATCAGGCATTTCACAATTACATTACAATGTATCAAGATGTATAATTAATAAGAGAGATTAAGATTATACAATAAATCACTAATCAGTTACAGTATTAACTTAAAGCTTTATAAAAGTGTAATTCAAGACAATATCACAATTTCGCTTGTCTCGAATGGGATATAAAAATTCTTCTAATAATCAAATAACACAGAACTTGGGATTTTATTATCGCTCATAACTCTCACAAAAATTTAGTAGCTCTTTTAATAAAATTTCCATATTTAATATCTAATTAAAGGCAGTTTGACATAATTTAAACGCTAAAAGATACACTTCAGTACACATGTGTGTGTGAATCATTTGAACTTTAGGTATAGCATAAAAATTGAATATAATTTCACTTTTCTATACATGATTTAATTCAGTAATAATAAGAATAATAATATAAAAAACAATGCTATATTACAAGATAAATTTTGAATTGCTCTTTCTAAAATAAAGTAATATATAACACGGAATATAATTCACGATGAAATTTGTACAATCGTTACAATGAATAATAATAATCAATATTATTAGTTGACTTCTTTTAGTAAAACATTAACAGGAGCAAAGCGATATTCTTTTTTTAAATCATTAATGTCAAGTTCTAATTTATAATTTATATTGGTGTTGTATTTTTTTCCACTAGTCTATTACATTTAAAAAAAAAAGAAAAGGCGTGGATTTGTTTCATTTTAATAGCACAAAAAGTCTTGTAGTTTTTTTGTTTCTTGCAATGAATTGTCATGTAATTTACGATAATTATGATAAAATACATGAAAGATTTTATATTTCCACAGTACCCCAGCATTTGCACATATCCATTGATCGAAATATATATTTTTTAAACATATTTTTTTTTCCATCCAGTCACATTGATTATTCTTAATAATAATTTTATCGTATCGAATTAATTTCTGCGTATATTATAATAAAATTTACGCAGAAAGCGATGCAACATCACGTTAACAACGATAAACTTTATAAATTCCCGAATATAATATTCTTTAGCGACTAATTAGCAATTATCACTTTTTCAAAAATTATAACAATTATTTTATCGGGTAGATATATTTCTTATTATGCTTTACTAACGTCCAACATTACTATATTTAGAATTGCATTGTAGAGAGAAAATGAAATATCAGTTGAAATAAAATCATTCTTTTTTGTATAGTTGTAAATTGTAGTCACTTAATGATAATTACTTGGGCCTTAAATTATTAACAGGAGTCGGAAGTGTAAAACTATTTGCCATCGTTGGTGTTTGAATAATTGCTGTTGTCTCAATGGGATTAACACTCATGGAATTTGTTTCACTTTTATAACGAATATTCGTATACTCACGACCCAATTGAAGGGATTTCTATATTACAAAGTAAATGTCCAATTAATTAACATTTTTATTTAATTATTTAAAATAACAATTCTAACTAACCTGCTCAGCTTGTCTTCTTTGTGACACAGTCTCAATATAATGTAATACAGCAAGATAAACAAATTTATATTGCGCTTCTGTTTGTACCATTCCTGATCGTTGTGATCGTACACGTTGAATTGTCCGTTGAATATCGATTTCACAATCTAAACCTATGAAAATAAAACAAATGTTATTTTTGAAAATGAAATAAAATATGAAATAATTAATAGTTATAATTATTTATCTTACCATGCCTTTTAATTTGATCAAGAATCATATCTATGACAATAAATGTGCCTGTTCTTCCGATTCCTGCACTACAATGAACTAAAATTGGTCCAACTACTGCTGACGTTTGACCATTTGAATTTAAGGACGCAGCAATAGATTCTTGTCGAGCATTCACATCATGCAAAAAGTTTAAAACACAGCCTGGATCTGATGGAACGCCGTGATCAGGCCAAGCCTGTAAAATGAACAATATAAATTATTATTATTATTTTATGATTATAAAAAAATTAATTAAGTGATTCAAATAAATATTTAAGTAAATCAAACCTGAAAATGATAATGATAAATTCTTCTAGATTCACTAAAATTAGGTTTGTTTCCTTGTAGGAGAAATTCACGTAATGTATAATCAGCAGTAGAGGTACGAGCAAGAGCTCGAACTTTCCAATCACCACCGTACTCACAAATTTCTCCTTCTTCCGGCCAGTATCGAGCGCATTTATTCTGCGCGTAAAATATTTCTTTTAAATACATATAAAATCTTTTATTAAAATATTAGACATTATGATAAACTTACTTTGCCTCGCTCTATTTCTTTGGTCGTCATCACAATTACTTGAGTATTTTCTTGATAAACCATATGCCAAAAGTCTTGTATTGTATTTGGAAGACAACCTTGAGTTGCAATATAACATTTATTAAATATACAAATTTCACCGCTAGCTGTTATACCTGTACAGGAGCCTTCTCCTTCTTCATTCTATAATTATTAAAAAAAAAACAGTTAATAGCACATTGATAAATTATCAATATTAATATTATTCATTCAACTTACTTTAATGTAATTTGCATTAATATAATCAGACCCTGGAATATTTGGATCAACGTCTTTTAATTTCACTCTCGTGTGATCAACTATAAAAAAGAAACAATAGTTGATTAATTCATCAATTAGATTGCTGATACGGAAATCAATAGGATAAAGATTATTCATAATTCCTTACAAGGTAAAATATTTTTGTATCGATTTTTTGCACGATTTTCTGGTCTTAATCCTTCTTTTCGTGAAAATAAATGACGACATTCGAGTTGTTGAAGAGATTCGAATTCTTCCCAAAAGCCAGCTTTTCCTTTTCCACGACCTGCTCCAACTTCATCACTTCCTGGTGCTCCATTCCAACATGTCCATCCATTCGAACATCCATTTTCTTTGTGTAATTGTCTCACGCGGCTTTCAATACCACTGGCATTAATACGTGTTGCATTAAATGGTTGTCTAAACACATCACCAGCCAATATAAGTTTTTATTTTTTCTTGTTTAATTTAATTATTCTTAGTGGAACTGTTAATAACAATACCTCAAGTGAACAACACTACCACTTGTTTCAACCATTGGATTTTTTTTATAATGTTCTATAAGATCACTCAGACTATCGAATTTTTCACCTCCACCAACGTCATATTTATTATCCTATAAAAATTTATTAATTAATCTATAATAATCTTAATGTATTAAAAATGAAGAATAAAGAAAAAAATAACCCTAATACCTGATAACGAATCATCACGTGTGTAACACGATCATCTGTACGCACAGAAAGTACAAAGTCTCCTGGCTTACTTTGAGATTCTCGTACAAGAAACGATCCGTTTTTACCACGTTCTAACATTAATCTTTCAGCTTCTTTAGCTGATAAATGGCCATGAAACCACCGTTCTGTTGTAGGGTCTGCACAATTCAGTGGATACTTCAACTCAATTACCTCACCATTTTTTTCACGTAATTGTCCACCATTTTCCATATAATACTGCACTAATTCAGACAATGTTGCAAATTTTTCACCTCCATATAAATCATAAAAATCTCCAGTGTTCTGAATTTTTATGTGAGTCACTTCACTATTCCTTCTATAAATATATGATTATTCAATTGAAAAAAAAAGTTAGTCTGTTATAATTAAGTAATTAAATGGAATATAATTAGTTAAAATATTTTATACCTTACTGAAAGAGTAAAATCACCAGGGTTGGAAGAACTTGGACGTGCAAGAAATGAACTGTCATAGCCTCGTTCCATCAATAAACGTTCGGCTTCTAATCCTGATATATTGGGATGAAACCATCTGTAAAATAATTGTCTATATTGACCATAAAATGATGAATTTTAAAAATAAAATTAATAACTTATGTTTCACTAACGGTAAAAGCTTGTCTGCCGCGCCCTGTGATTATATATTGACAAGTGATCTTTGAATATAGAACATAATATTGATATAAAAGTATAGGTCAGAAAAGGATGATAGTATTTTTTGAAAAATAATAAATTAACAGAATACATAAGTAATTAATTTATTTAATTAGACTATTAATTATTCTATATAAATTTTAGACATTAAATAAATACATTATAATTTTCGCGGCAAGATAAATACAATAATATTAATACAATATCAAAAATTAATGTGACGGTTACAACAATTTCGCGTAAGTGCGCATAACTTACCGTCAATGACTAATCTGCGACGAATATCAGCACCTTACAAAGCTAATCGCAAAGTGTCCGTGATTATAATTTTATAATATATGTAATTGTTACAATCAATCTTATAATGATACAAAAAATGTTTCTCACCTGCGTGATGCCATGTCGTGATTATAATTACGACCACCTGGCAATCAATAATTTCCAATATCTCATCAATGATTTTAATTAATGAAAAATACGTGATATAATATCGACGTTTATCATTATTAAAATTTATGCCGTCGAATTAACATGTTCTTTTTATACTTGTAATAAAAATGTTTGAAGTTTATAGAAACGGTGAGTGAAATGTGAAAAAACTAATTTCAGATAAAAATGGTGACTGTTCATGCATTGATAATGCAAAATGTGAAATACGAATTGCAAAATTTCGTTAGTCCATTTTGATATCAATTATTCCTGAAGATGTCGTGAGATCACTTTTTTAAAATTTGCACATGGTTTTATCGACAATTGGTAAGTAGAATTAAATTTAAAATAAAATCCCTACTTTTTCAGGTTTATTGTATTACACGGTTGGTAACACTGATATTTTTTGCGCCATAAAAGAAGCCATGCTATCTGCGACGCTAGGCGCCAGAACCCAACTAGCTTCTACTCCTCTGGATAGATTGTAGTGGATTGTGGCGTCAGTAATTTTTCTGTATATAATTCACTGTTATTTGTGAATAATTCGCGTTAATTGTCTATTTAATTACCGTCAGAATATTATATTTCATACAGATTCAGCTGTCGACAATTTGTAAGCGATTCAACAAATTATTTATTTGTAAATTGAATAATTCATTAATCATAAAAAATTCAGAAGCTTCCCGGCCATTTTACCGCCATTTTGTACTATCATTATATTATCGATTTCTTTGTTACATTTATTATTATTAATTTTATTTAAAAATTATTGTCACTGATTGTGTTTTTTTTTTTCGTTGATTCATCCTATTTGATCTTCTAGTGCACGTTTAATTCAGTCATCAACATTATGAAGAACAAAGTAAGACGCATTTATTTTTCCATTCACCGGTTAATTTTATAACTTGATTTGCGTTGATTTTTTTTTTCATAAACGGAATAATAAGTTCGTTAGTGCAATATAACTTGTTTCATTTTTTTTCTGGATTTTGTGTTAATAAGCTTTATTGTACAAAATAATTGTGTAAACATAAGCAAATGAATGTTAGTCTAATGTTTTAATGAGATTCTTTATCGGTTTACAGAACAAAATGAGCAAAGCTAAAGACTCTCCAGCTTCTGACAACGAGCAAGAAGAGGAATACAGTGTTGAGAAAGTCCTCGATAGACGGGTTGTTAAAGGCAAGGTATGTGTTGATATTAGAGGTTATATTTTGAAGAACTTATGATGGAATTTATTGTATAATTATTGTTATCATTTATAGGTAGAATATTTTTTAAAATGGAAAGGTTATTCAAATGATGAAAATACTTGGGAACCAGAGGAGAATTTAGATTGTCCTGATTTAATTGCTCAATTTGAAGAACAGCGTAGGAAAAAAGAAGCTGCTGCTGGTGGCAAGCGTCATGAAGAGAAAGAATCAAAGAAAAGAAAGAGTTCCAGTACACCAACTCCTACCCAAACAAAAAAGAAAGTAACTGAAGAAAAAAAACCTGAAGGTATAGAATTTAACTATTTCATTGTTTATTTAAAACAATTGAGAGATACATAAATTAGCATATGTATTTAAATTATTTTATTTCTATTGATTGATTAAATTAAGTAATCATTTTTGGTAAATAGGTTTTGACAGAAACTTGGAACCGGAAAGAATTATTGGAGCTACAGATTCAAGTGGCGAACTTATGTTCTTAATGAAATGGAAAGGTACTGAAGACGCAGATCTAGTCGCCGCAAGAGTTGCTAACGTAAAATGTCCCCAAATTGTTATTCGATTTTACGAAGAGCGACTCACGTGGCATAGTCCTACGCATGATGACGATAATAACAAAACAGACACTCAGTAGCACTTACCTTTTCGATATAAATATACAGCACATTTTAAAATTTGTCACATTTAAAAAAAAATAAAATGAAAAATAAAAAAAAATAAGGAGGACTATGCTAAATATGAAAGGAAAACAAAGATAAATAATATTTTTTTTTTACTTAGTAATATTTCGACAACTTTCAGATTTATGTAATTCACTATTTTTCATACTAAATTTTACAGTGTTTTCATTTAATATACCGGTATTACTATTAAATACATGGTACAATTCATACAAAGATTCAATAAAAAAAATATAGAATTCTTTAATTGACAAATAAATAATTTACTATTTATAAACATAAAATCTGTTCTCATAACTTTACATCCGAGTGAATCCAATAATTTTGTTTTGATTATAAAAATTAGACTTAAGAAATGTTTCTAATGTAATAAGTAAATTTAAAAAAATATCTCATTAGATTAAACATTGGATTTCAAGTATTTTTTAACATGACATAAGAAAAAAAAATATAAAAAAATGTTTGATTAAAATCATCGTTTTTATTTGATTTAAAATATAAATATTAAGATTATTTCAGTTGCTACAAAAACTAATTTGTATTAGTATAATTACTGTACAAATTATTAATAAACTATAATTAAACACAATCAAATAATGAAAATTCTATTAGTAAAATTTTTTATTTTTTTTTATTTTCTTGTTAATTTTGAATTCTTGTTTTGTATTTTTGAAATTTTTCTTTCTCTTATATTTTCCAGTAATTTTTTCATCTCTCTTCATCTCCCAATCTAATTGTTTTACATTCGCTCCATCAGCATCACTAAAAACATTTGATCCACCAATTTTAAATTTGGATTGTCCTTGTTTTTCGAGTAGTTCTGCAAACTCATCTGCTGATACGAATACATTACTATCTATTTTGGGTTTTTTAGACGATTTTTTACCCAAAACTGATTTAACAGATTTTTTTAACATCTCTTCATCTTCATCTGACTCATCAAATTCTATTTCACTCATATCTTCATCATCCATATCATCCAAATCCAAACCATCTTCATCTTCCATTAATTCATCATTATCATCTTCATCAAAGTCTTCATCATTATTATCAAAATCAATTTCTTCTTCATTTTCATTGACTTTAGTGGATTTATTCTTTTTCTTTGATAACTGAAACTCTCCAGCGAAATCTAAATCATCAAAATCTTTACTTCGACTTAATCCATCCATGAGTTCATTAAATTCTTCACTATTAACACTTTCATGATCGCTATCATCTTCTTCCGTTTTAACATTCATTTTCTTTTCATTCCTTTTTCGGAGATATCGATGAAGGAATAATTCATCAATAGGAATATTGTTTTCATTCTCATTCAAATATGCTTGACTATCAACTGCCAATGATCGTAATCCTCGAGGAATATATTTAGCTCTGGCTGCTAGCGGATTATGTCTATCAAATTTTTTCCCCGTTATTTTTTTAGGATTTTTAAATACAAACCTATCTAAAAACCGTATCAATGTTAAATCTTGTAAGGGATCTCCAGTATAATTGATGACTTGGTTACAAATAATATTTTTTGCGAATAATGAAACACTTGGATGAAAGTGTTCTATCAATGCTGTAAGTTCAACTAAAGGTGATTTACTAGCACCAGACTTTAATGGATTTAAACAGAAAGGATCATAAATAATTGCATTATCTTCTTCAATTTTTATCGTATCTTTTATACTTGACTCTGTTGATGGATTCATAATAACATTTGGTAATGACAAAGTATTTGATTCATCATCTAGAATTTTTACATCACTAGAGTCATTATGATCATTTATAGATTCTTCAATAACACTTTGATCATGACTTGTTTCTTTTGCGGTATTTTGTTCACTCTTCAACTCAGCAAAATTACGAAAAATGAGCTCTTGCAAATCTTTTCTTATCTTTAAGATTTGTGATATGACATATAAAGTAGCGCATACCATACAAACTGGAAAATAGCATGAAATTTGAAGAACTCTTTTAAAGAATGCATAAAGTCTGAATACGTTTTTATCATTCTTCATAATTCTATAGAGCAAATTAAGAAAAACAGCTCTTTTGTTGGCAGTACCAATCTGAGGATCCAATAGTTTTCTGTAAAATGTTGTATAAAATCGATTCTCTTGTAGAGGATTTTTATTTGATACTTGTTGAAGTAAACTAAGAGCACTAAGAGATACATTAAATGACCCAACATGAACAACTTTGTACACTGAATCTATGTGATCATTTAATTTAGCCGCATCCATGTTGGAAAAACGATAAGCACGATTTACTCCAGTTAAAATAGCTGCCATCATTCTGCTATCAGGCTCTCCTTTTTTTAAACAAGCTTTGAAAAAAGCAAAGTAAACATCGATTGAATGAGTAGCAATGTCTTCATCGCGTGGACTTAAAATAAATTGCGTTAATAAACATATGCCATAATATTGAGCTCGTTGAGCAATATTTGGTCTGAATAATAATTTTTCTATTTCTTTTAATACCACAAGTTTCATATTTGGATGTGTTTTTAAAAGTTTGTTCAAGCAAAATATTGTTTTTGAAGCAACTTTTGAACTTGGATCTCCAATTTTGTTGACTATCAATTCCAAAAGTTTATGCTCTTGTTCAGAATTTCCAATTAACAATTCAGTCATAATAGCAACAACTCTTTCACGATTTATTTCAACAGTATCAGATGCTAAACTTGATAAAGCTAATATAAATTTTTCATATTGCTCACGCAATTGATCTTCAAAATACCAATGTGACAGTAGTTTTTTCCTCAATGCATTTCCATTTATATTTTCTGAATCATTTGAAGCTTTTATTTTATCGAAATCTTGCTCTTCGAATTTTAAAAGCTTACATTGTGGATGTAGTAAATCAGATAAAAATAAGCCACGAAGAGATATGAGTAACAAATTACTTTGAGTATGCTTTGATCCTTTTACTTGAGAGACAAGATTTACTAATCGACTGAGGTTATATTTTGGATTGTCTTGTATCATAAGAATAGCAGCAGCTATTTTATCAGCATTAGTACCTTTTAATAATGCTGTTCGCCTCCATTCCATATCAGAATCTCGGATTTTCGATTGTTTTAGTTGAAATGCTGCTGTTTCATTACTTAAATATTGCTTAGCCTCATCTTTTAATTGTAATATTTCAATTTCAGATAAATTACACTTCGAAGGGTATAAATCCTTGGGAAATTCTTCGTACCATTTTTTTTCATGTTCCTCCTCAACATTAATTTTATTCATTGTTGCTGATATCTGTATTTATATATTACAATTAATTATAATTAATGTTATGATAAATTCAATACTCCAAACAAGCAATCTGTTAATTTACGGGTAAAAAAAATTAAAGACTTACCTTTTTTTAATCAATTATTTATTTTAAAAGTAACTCACGTTTACACGTGCACATGTATAAGATATTAAAGGTTATGTTGTTATATACACAAGTTGCTTTTGTCATATGAACCTGGTTCCAGGGGGAATGATGAAAATAATGTTACGGTACTGGATATTTCTTGTAATTGGTCAGTTTGTTGTCCCACTCTGGTGTGTTTCGGGCGGAAAAATATAAACTAACCAATCAAGAAGCAGGATTCCAGTACCGTAATGTCATTTTGGAGAAGCAACACTACAAATGCCATTCCAAAATGATTGGATTTAGCTATTGCTCCGAAAAAAATCATTTGTAAATGCAATATGAGTAGAAATTTCAAAATGTATTTATAATAATGCACATGGTAAGTTTTGGGTTTTTACGCTTTTAAATATCACGATAATGCTGACAATAAAGCGATATTTTTTTAGAAAAACAATACTGTATTCAAAACAATCAAAGTAATTGTAATCTTCAAACTGATTTTATTATAATTATAAAAATACATCAATGTACAAGTAATTGAAACATGTCTATGTTTTACAACATAAAAAAGTTTTTGCTATTTTATATCATTAAACTATTTATAAAAAAATATTAATGTATCGTTTGTCGATTGGGTTGTTTAAACGATTTTTTCTTTTTACTTTTCTGAGGTTCATCGAGGCTTTCTGTTACCGTACGTTTTTTACTTTTATTTTTTTTATTACAATGATCACTTATAAATGTGGAGTTATTACACTCAACTGAGTTAGAATTAACAGTTTTTAAATCATTTAATACCGTTTTTTCTTCTACTTTTGGATCAGATGTTTTTAATTTTTTTTTATTTTTCGTTTTACTTTGATTTTCCACCTTTATTAATTCGTTGTTTTCTTTTCTATTAACTTTTTTGTTATTTATTTTGTTGTTCGCTGAATCGATCGATTCTTCTAAACATTCGTCTTCATTATTTGTACAGACTCCATTAACCAAAAATTTCCTTTTTTTTTCTTGTTTCACTCGTGGTTGAACTTGTACATTTGCACCAATGTTTTTAGCTAATTTATTAAATGGCTTTTTAGCATCTCTTGAAAGAGTGTTGCATTTTCTAAATTCAGTCATAGCATTTGCCATTTTTTCCCAATCCCATGCTTTCGGTAAATGAATAGGATAAATAATATTCAAAAGTGTCCACAATAAATAAACAAATTTATGTTTAGTTTCCTTAGTGGTTTCATTATTTTGGTTTTCATTACTCTCACCGTTTGGAACATTTTGTCTAACTGATTCTTCCAATAGCTGTATACAATTTAAGCATAATTTTTTCTCTATTTTATTTCTTAAATCAGTGTATTCTTCATTTTTAACTAATATAGAATTTCGATAGAATGTAATTAAAAGATCTATAGCTTGTCCACGCCTGAAGGGTCTTATTGATCGATCAAATGCATAATCAATAAGTGATAATATAAATTTCCAATTTCCCTCCCAATTAAGTTGCAAGATACTTTTAAATAGAGACACTGAAATAATACAATCTCGTTCTTTGAAAAAGGCAGTTAAATGTTTAGCAAGAGAATTGCTAAAAGTTTCAGATGGAACATTGACATGTTGAGCACATCTAATTAAAAATGTACAACATTCTGCTACTTTATCAGCCATTTCATGACAAACTGATGTTGATTTTTCCCCTTTTTCAATTAATAATTTAAATAAATCAGTTAAAAGTTTTTCATCAACACCATCAGTATCTTTGAACTTTTTCATAGATGACAACTTTTTTATACAAGAGCGTATACGACTTTCAAGAGGCTTTTGGTGATGATCTTTTATACAAAATTCTAATGAAGCGAATAAAGGTGTTAACATATCTAGTGCTAATGCCATTGAAGGCCCAGAATCTAGATATATTTCAAGAAGATCAATAACTCGTGTTCTAAAATTCATCAGTGTTTCAGCTGTTTTACTTTGTTTACGACGGTTTGATGGTCGATTATCTCGTAACATTCGAAAAGCTGCCGCAAGGGATTCATCAAGTCGTTTACCTTCTTCTTCATCAATCTCATCAATATCAATATCCTCCTCTTCATTTTGAAAGGCAGTATCACCTAAAGCCTGACTTACAGCTATTCTTAATTTTTCATTTAGTGTTTCATCTTCATTGTCTTCACTCATTTCATCATCATCATCATCATCGTCTTCATCATCATCATCATCTGCATCTTCATTTTCGTCTTCGTCTTCTTCATCTTCAGTATTATCTTCATTTTCGTGTTTTTTACTTTTAGTTTTTTTGTTTACTTTATTTTTATGATCTTCATCATCACTATCCGATTCACTATTTGACAAATTATCATTTTGTTGATCTTCTGAAATCAATAAATCCTGTTCATTTGATGGATCAAGTACTTCTAATATATGATGAATAGCAGTTGCTGTTAGCATCGAACATATATGAGGAAAAACGCATTGTATAAGTGATCGTAATAAATGACTATTTTTAGAGAGTAATGACAAAAAAAGATCAATAATCACATCAACCCATTTCGGTTCCTTCTGTTTTTTCGTTCCTTTCAATGATTTTTTATTGTTGAACCTTTCAAAACAGCTATGGACTTCATTAATTACTGAAATAGCCATTTCTGGATCAGAAAATATAAATAATCCCATAATTAAAGCCGTGATCTGAAATATTATTACAATTTCTTTGTTTTTATTATTATGATCTGTTTTGCTAATGAAACTTATCATTTTTTCCCAAGCTTCTGTAGATGATTTATTTAATGGTTTCCTTAATGTCTCACTCTTATTTATAAATAACATATCATTCAAATGAGAAATCAACTCATTCAATATTTTCTTTAAATCCTCTAGCTTCATACGTTTATGATCAAGAGCATTATAAAGACATCCTTCAAAAGTAACAGCCAAGTTTGAATCAATACCATCAATCTCACAAAAACCTAACTTGAATAAAAATATCAGTTGATTGAGTTTCCAGTTATACTCGGCAGTCATTGCTGAATGGTCTAATAATTTAATTAACATTTGGCATGCATAAGCCCTTTCACCATTACTCCAAGACCTTTCTTCATTTTCTATTTTTCTGAGCTTAGTATTTTCTACGATTGCACTGAAAATTTTTGCGACTTTTTTCACTCCAGTTGCATTCATATTTTTTATTATCATTTGAAGTATTTTAATACCTGTTATTCTTTCTACCATCAAATCTCCTGGATAGTAAATTAATTTTTTTATCACTTCCACTTGAACTTTTGTTTCAATCGCTTCATCGTTAAGCGCTTCAACATATTTAGTTAATACACTTCTAAACAAATTAGCAATGTCATCTTTATGAAATAATTTAGAAGTATTGAATCTCTTCAACATGTGGCTCAGAAAATTACTTGATAAGAGTGATGGTAGCAAATGTTTATCTTTAATATTCGGAAGAATGTGATTCAATAACTCAAGACCTAAATATTCAATGGTTATAGATGTTTTGACGAACCTCTGATCAATACCCATCCAAAAATCCAAAAGATAATCAGTTGATGCTAATTTTTCACAAATTAGCTTATGTATTGGATGTTTATACGATACAATCCGCGGCAAATCCTGTATTAGAATAAGAAAATTTTACAAATATTCGTTAAATTTAAATTTTAGATAATTTATTATTGTCAATACTTACTGTAATTAACTTCAACATAACAGGTATTGTTTCCTTGTCAAAAATAGTTTCAGTTCCCAAAGTTGACTTGATAAATTTTTTATCAATTAATGTTGGAAACTTATTATCAATAAATAGCAATGCATAAAATGTATCAAGAGAATGTTCTGTCCATGTTTTGGTCAATTCTTTAGAAAGAATAGGCCAGACATTAACTTTCATAGACTTTTCGTCAAGATTATCTATAAAATCGACTAAAAACGATATTGATACATATGATAAGTAACTTCGTTGTGTGCCAGCACTTAATAAAATTTCGATAATTCTCGATTGTGTTTCAGCATTAGAATCCATTAGTAATTTAGACCTCATTAGTGATCCACAAAATAAAATTCTACCCATGTATATGTCAGCATTCTCCTGTAATTATAGCAGTTTTAAATAAGATTTATACTCTATAGTATAAAATTGAATGTATTTCCAATGTAATATAATTCTTACACTTTTTGAAAAACTATTCGATGGTTTCAATTCTGTTTCTACAATCTGTAGAAGATTATCAATATTTGCATCGGAATGGAGTGTGAGATATGCTGTAAAACTTATGTAAAACCCTTTCTTCGATGTCATCTGCGAAGATCCTAGTCCACGAATCAAACGTTTCAATGAGTATCGGTGATTTTTGCTATTTACATCAATCTGAAAAAGTAATGAAACATACAATTATTTCAAAATCTATAAAAAGTAAACGGTTATCAAAATGATTAATCAAAAGTATTAAGGAATACTTACATTTTCTGCATGTGATAAGTTCCTTAAAACACCAATCGCTCCTTTTTGTCTTACATTTTCATTATCAGCAGTGAATTTAGAAAAAGAATCTAAAATATATGGATTTATTTTAATTGATTTATTTTCTTCTGAATTATCTACTGAATTAGACTCCATTGTAGTGACCATGTGGATCGTGTAAAGGTTATGTTTACGATGTGCATTACCAGTGTACAGTCATAGGATGCACATATTTATGTAGAAATGCAATACTTGTAAACATGTGATGATCTATTCAATAACTTGACAAAAGAACACGTGATGACGCAGTTGAGTTCAAAATGGAGTCGGGCTGCAAAAATTGGCGCCAAATTTCCTGAAAGTTCAAAAACGTTTTTATTTTCTGTTTATAATTTACTGAAGAAATCAAAGTAGAAAGAAAAAATATTTCATGAATTATATATTAACAATAATTAATTACAAAAAATTTGATATTTATACTGTAATACAATATAAACTTTAAAGTACGATTGCATGTTTTCTTACTGAGCATACTTAATTACTACGTTTATCAAATCAAGTAATTTACACCTCAGATAAATTTGACAATGATTCCCCCAAATATAATTTAACTGATAATAAACAATATTTTCATTAATTAGTAATAAAAATATTATGTTACAAATAAAAGGAATTATGTTTTTGTTTTGATGAAATTCATGAGCAACAATAAACAAGTTTATTGTGTGCTAAAAAATATTTTAGATTATAAAACTTTGTTTTTTAATTACAAAAATAATTAATTACTGAATAAAATTTTCTAAACAATTGTTTACTTTATATAAAACCCATTTATCTTGGTAATGATTCGCGAATTTGTAAAAATTGTCGCCATCTTGTTCTCACGAGATTCCTACTACGTTTGAGCAGTTTAGAGAATGATTTTAGCAAATTATGCGTCTTTAAATATGAATATTTGCCTTGTTTTTAATTAACATGAACTAAAATCATGGGATCGCTTCATCAATTAATTATGAGCTTTTAATCAATCATACAATTAGGTCTTAACGATGTTTCATGAAATAAAAAATTTTAAAAATCTCATTAAAACTAAAATTGAGTAAACTAAGAGATCAAATTTTTGATACGATTTAATATAGAAACTGCAAATAAATAGTCAAGTATTTTTCGTGTAAATTTGAGCGAATGGTGCGCCACGCAAAAAAAGGATAAGGAAGGAAAGCCATATTGCCAACAACATTGGCGGCTCTCGACTATCCGCGCGCGGGGTCCGGTCAGTTTCGTGCATCCAACATGGCCGGTCGTGGTGGTCATGAAGATTCGAGGCAAGTAATTTTACAATTCAATTGTTAAAAACTGTCTAATTATTTTCTATTGTCTCAATAAAGTACGATTACAATTGTATTTTCTAAATTATTATAAATATTCATGAAAACGTAACAAAATTTTACGGTTAAGTGATTGACGATGTAGAGGACACCGTTCCCCACATACTATATGTGTTACATGATGCTTATAAGGCACGCGGCATTACCTTGAATAACCAACAAATAAATAAATAAATGAGTTTTTAAATGTCTCTTTTTTTCAATCAAAACAAATCATTATACTCTTGTAAACAATTTATTTATTACCATTGTTTAGGTGTGAAAAAGCTTTTGTCATTGAGAGAATAATTTACTCAAAAACTAGGGATTATACTAATTTAAATGTCAAGATATTAAATATTTTTATTAAATGTTTGATATAATAATAATGATAATTATTTTGATTATTTAAATCATGTCGTTCTGAATCTCAAGTTAATTCGATTACTTTGTCATTTTAATTAAAAAATCATCCCAATATTTATTTAAGAAACAAGTAAAACTTTTCTAGTATATTGTTTTGAATATGAAACATATTTGCAATGAATTTATACTCCATTTAGCTGTATCCTAATAATTATTATACTTGCTTCATGATTAATAACTTCAAGTTATGATTATTTTTTAGGGATTATATAGGAGGTGGCGGTTATCGTGGTAGCCGAAAGCCAATGCCTACTGAGCCGCCATATACTGCATATGTAGGGAATTTACCTGATGGAGTTGTTCAAAGTGACATTGATAACATCTTTAACGGTCTAAATGTAAAAAATGTACGTTTAGTGAAAGATCGAGAAACTGATAGGTAAATAAGTAAACTCATTATTTTACAAAGTTAATAAGAATATTTTCATTATGAACATTAATCATATCGATATTTTATGTAATTATTACAGGTTTAAAGGTTTTTGTTATGTTGAATTCAACGATATTACCGATTTGGAGGCAGCTCTTCAATTAAACGGCAATGTTATAGTTGAAAAAAATTGTATAAAAATTGATGTGGCAGATGGAAAAAGAAATGATAGAGGTGGAGGGTTTGATAGAAGACGAGGTGGAAGCGGTGGAACCTCGGGAGGATTTGGTACAAACTATTCAAGTAATTTGTCTAATCCTTACTATCTTTATCCGCTACTAATTATTAACCCATTATTTGTTTCAATTACATATCTCTATTTATGTATATTAATTTAATATTAGTAAATACTAACAAATAAAAATAAGTAATTGCCATTAATATTAAGAATAAATCAATCAAATTTGTTGTAAAATTGACTCTAGGATACAATGATAGAAGACCTCAAGGAAATCTAGGTCCTGGTGGAAGATCTGGAGGTGGAATCGGTAGCAGTAGTTCTGGTGGATATGGTGGTGGTGGTGGAGATTCTCGAGGAAATCGAGGAAATTTCGGAAATTTCCAAGACGATAGTGGAAGAGAGAGAGACTGGCCTCGAGGTGGTGGTCCCCCACGGCCATCATATGCAGGAAACAGTGGACCACCACGACGTGGTGGTCTAAACGATCGAAGCAAATCATACCAAGATGATCCTTATCTTAAAAGTCCTCCACCGGGTTTGTATTTTTTAAATTTTATTTAATATATATTGTCTGATTGCTGTACTTTGTTAAATACGTAAAACAATTTTTTTACGTATTGAGTACATATTTAAATTGGAACAATAATTTAATTATTGAAAGTTTACACAAAATTTATGTAAAATTCTTATCTATAATAGATGCATCGGCCAGAAAAAAATTGGTGTTATCAAAACGAACTACTACGGAGCCAGTAAATGCATTAGCTGAATGTAGTAAAAGTAATTCAATTTATGGTGGTGCCAAGCCTCGAGAGGAAAATATAAAACCTACCGAATAACTTTCAATGTCTCAGAAATTCAAATTCTTTTGTGAAGAATAAAAAATGTTTTTATTAAGACATTGATTATTTAAAAATAAGATGAATTAATAATAATAACAATAATAATATAAAGAAAATAACAATAAAATAATAATACTGATAATGATAATGACGATAATAATAATAGTAAAATTTTAATATAAAGAATGAAATATCAAATGAAAAAGTGCTCCCGAATCTATTCAAAAAAGAATGTTTGGATATGTTAGATAAACTTTTTTCTGATTATCTATCGTGAAAGGTCTTTCTTGAGGAAAGTAATATAAATCTATAATATGAATGAAAACAAAACATTAATTAAACTAAAGATATTTTATCGAATAATCTTAAAAACATCTATTCGATAAAATATTATTATTACAAAAATTTAAACAATGGCATTTTCTACATCTTATTTTTAATTTTTAAGGCATTCTTTGATTAATTGTAATAGCATTTTTAACCGAGAAAAAAATAAGTAAACTACGAAATTTTTTGATTACCCTAAAATGGGAAAATTTTGCAAGAGATGAATGTAAAATGAATGTTTGAATATCATGAATATTTATATAACACAAAGAATATTTATTAAATAGTCTTCAAACATTTATAATAAATACAAATACACTCTTGTAACAAGCAATCAGATCAATTAGTAATGAATAATTTTCAGTATCTAAGAATCACTAAAATTAATTTAATATACACTATTATTGAAACTGATTAGATATCGCCGCTTCCATCTTCTTATTAATCTCATAATTAATTTATAATTTTTACATTTGTTTATTGTCATTATTCTATGATTGAATAAAGAATAGTAATTGTTAAGATGTACTTTTACTGCTCAATATTTCATCGCACTTTAACAGTAAAATAAGTTAAATTAAAGAAAAAAAAAATAGATATAATCATAATCAAGAAAGATTAAATTATTTGAGTAACTAACAAAACATCTAGTTATAAAATAGTAATTTCACGACGATTTTAATGACATGTATAAAAATGATTACAATGCAATTGAAATGAAACATTGAACGATTATCATTGTTGACGATGATGATACACTTAATGTTAATAATATTAGTGAAATATAAGGGGAATGAAAGTGAGATAGTGAAACGTAAAAAAAAAAATACATGATAAAGAATAGAAATAAAGCAGTAATAATTAATGAATAAAAATTATGTAAAAGTACTTGTGTATGCTTAACATTTTATGAATAAAGTAGTTGTTTGCTTCATATAGCTATAGCTTTGTGATGTATTGTAAAGGACATTAAATGTAATTTTAAATGTAAATGTTATAATAACATTAATGTATTTTATAATTCGGCCTCTTAATATACATTGGTATTCTATTAAAAAATCTCATTAAATCTTAATCCAATTTTTAATCGTAACGTATCAAAAAAAACCCAATTATTCCTACAATCGTTTGGAAGACTCATGTGTGGCATAAATGCATGACAAGTAAAGTACTTTTCAAACATATTCACGTATCACACGATAAGAATTTGACACATACATTTATGTACATGTGTATACATATACGTATACACGCATCTTTATCCAATAAGCATGTAGTGGTTGACAGATGAGTAATATTTCTCCCACTCCAAAAAAAAAGATCATATGGATACATTTATTTCTATAATCATCAGTTAATGAGTAGTTTTTTTATTCCTATAATTTGTGAGTTTTAGTTTTCATAAGATAATCATTCCTTGGATAACCAATAGTCAGTGTTAAATTTACATGAAAAAGTATAAGATCAGCAAACAAACCTAACCCCGAATCCCCTAAACGGAGAAAGTTCCTCAAAGTGTATACTTGTGTTCATTGGAACAGTCGAGCAGTTTGAAGTATTGTAGCTTACTGATAGCAACGGCGTCTCATAGCTTTGCTGATAAAGAATATAATAATATTTACTTAAAGTTGAAAATATTTGTATTTGTATTGTTCTACAATATTAGCAGTATTATAAATACAACCTACAATGTCCAACGAAAGTGTAAAAACGGTACGAATTTTTACCATAAATGAATATAGCTGTACTTCTCTAAATTATGTTCAAATTAATATGTTTAAATTCAATTTTTATGTTTAGTTTGCAAATTTAGAAATTCCTGGATATGTAGGATTTGCAAATCTACCTAACCAAGTCCATAGAAAGTCTGTAAAAAAGGGATTCGAATTTACTTTAATGGTTGTGGGTGAGTCAGGTTTAGGAAAATCAACATTAGTGGATAGTCTTTTTTTAACAGACTTATATCCTGAAAGAGTGATACCAAATGCCATTGGTGAGTAAATATACAATGCTTTATATGTAATAGTTAATTTTTTTTTTCCTCGTCCTTTTATCAACTGTTCATTATTATTATTCATAAATTTAATTAATTTAATGTTATATATATATATATAAGGTTTATTATTATATTTTAATTCTTATTTCAGAGAAAACTAATCAAATAGTAAAACTTGATGCTTCCACTGTTGAAATTGAAGAGAGAGGTGTGAAACTTCGATTAACAGTTGTTGACACACCTGGTTATGGAGATGCTATTAACAACACTGATAGTTTTAGAGCAATTATTCAATACATTGATGATCAATTTGAAAGATTTTTAAGAGATGAAAGTGGATTAAATCGGAGAAATATTGTGGACAATAGAATTCATTGTTGTTTCTATTTTATATCTCCATTTGGCCATGGGTAATTTTGTATAGACTTATTATATTCTAAGATAATAATTATATGAATATAAATATTTTTTAAAAATTAATTTATAGACTGAAGCCTTTGGATATAGAATTTATGAAACAACTCCATAATAAAGTAAATATTGTGCCAGTAATAGCAAAAGCTGATGTGCTTACCAAAAAAGAAGTATTGCGTTTGAAGAAACGTGTAATGGAGGAAATTGAAGAGAATGGAATTAAAATTTATCCTCTTCCCGATTGCGATAGTGATGAAGATGAAGATTACAAAGAACAAGTGCGACAATTAAAAGAGGCTGTTCCCTTTGCAGTGTGTGGAGCTAATACAATGCTTGAAGTAAAGGGGAGAAAAGTTCGAGGACGTTTGTATCCTTGGGGAGTAGTAGAAGTTGAAAACCCAGACCACTGTGATTTCATTAAACTGAGAACTATGCTCATGTGAATATGTTTTTAATTAATTTAAATAAATTCAACTAAGTTTAGTATTTTATACTTATTGTAAATTTGCTTTTCAGTACACACATGCAAGATTTGCAGGAAGTTACGCAGGAAGTTCATTATGAAAACTACCGAAGTGAGAGATTGGCTAAAGGAGCACCTGTTCCACCTCGAAGACAAACGTAAGAAACAATTTATTGTTAAAATTAAATTATTGCATGGATTGGCTAAATTTTTTTAACGATTAAAAATATTAATAACAAGTCATTAAGCTAATTTGTTAATTGCTTAATTAAATTTTTTATAGAGTTATCGAAACAGATAAATCAACGGGTTCAGAAAAAGATCGCATGCTTCAAGAGAAAGAAGCAGAATTACGTCGTATGCAAGAAATGCTCGCTCAAATGCAAGCACAAATGCAACAACAACAGCCATAACATTATTATTACGACATGATCGTGAAATAAATGTAATACTGAATTTTTTTTTTAATTAGGTGCCACAATTATCAGATAGCTAAAATCCATAAATCCATAACATAATGGCATCAATTTTGTCATTATATTTTTTTAAATTTATGTTAAGAATAAGGTCAAATGTTTTACACTTTTATAAAGTATTTATCTTTAATAATTTTTTTATAAAATGAACGTTACAATTGCAGTATTTTTTTAAATATTACAATAGAACTATTTTGGAATTTAATCAAAAGAGTTGATCTGCGTAATTTAATACTTGATGACATTATTGCACAATATCTTTTTTGCCGAAATTAATTGCTCATAATTTTTTCATAGTAAATTTTAATGAGTGCCTTGCAATTTATTATTCATAAAAGTATTAATAACTGATGTATGACTGAATTCAATCGAACTTTATTACTGAAACATTATAATATCAATAACATATCGCTATCAAATATGATTTTTCGTTGAATGAATAATTATTCAAAATAATTCAGGAGTGATTATTTTTGTTTTGACTATGAAAATGCAGGTATTATTTTTGTCTGAATTTTTTATAAATGTACTTATTATTAATTTCTCAAGTTTTAAATTTGATTTGTTCGTGCAATTGTTTCTAAGGTATACATAGTTAATATCATTCTAATTTTGATATAATAATAATAAACATAAGAAAGATTTTTATAGACTAATATTTTGTAACCACAATATAAATACGATTTTTTATATTAGTCTTCCACATTTTTTTACAAAACTTTTCCATTTTTTATATGTGTTACTGTGATAAGTGAATGCCATAAAAGTAAAAAAAAATAAATTTGACAAGTAATCTCATAAGGTTTCATAAATTCAAAATTTTTTATTCGTCATGATTTCGTAAGAATAAAATATCTCAATGTATTTTATAAGAAAATAAAATAACTCACATTCTCTGTATTTATTTACTAAATTTATTTGTACAAATTTTTATCTATGCAAATAATAATCAATTATTGTCGAAAACGTTGCGAAACCTGCGGCACCAATAAAGCTTGCTTTCACACCAGCTATAAAAAGATAAAATTTGTTTTTTGTTTGATAATTGTTAAACGTATTTTTATGAAGTTGTGACTTACCTCTCAAACCAATAATACCTCCCGTTACACCGCCAGCATAAGTACCATTTTTCCAGTCAGTTTTCCCTCGATACTAAAAACAATTAATTATAAAAAATATGTAAACAATAAATTGATATGAAATATATGTACAAATCACGAATTATGGAAAATTAACATTGTTATGTACCGATTCTATACAACATTCAACAGCAGAGAAAACACATCCTACAGCTGCAAAATTTTTTGCATATCCTAGAGTTGTAGTCTTCATTTCTTTAATAATCTCTCGTGCTGTCTGTTGTTTTTCTACTGCTGCTACATTTGGATTAACACTTGAAGTAAATAAACCAATAGCAGCACCTAAACCGAAACCTGGAAGAGAATTGACAATTATTGTTTACACTGAGTAATTACATTAGTTTTAATTTTTATAACATAATGTAGAAGTGATACATGAGTGCATTTTTGTGATAAACTTACCTAAAACACAACTCATAAGGCTCTTAAACACACAACTTTCGAATACTGCTTCAACAGCTTTTTCTTCATTACTCTTAATTTTTGGTGGACTAACTCCAGCTGGAATTATAATATTATTACGAAATCGATGAGGATTTCCTATCAAATAAACTGCAATTTGATCCCAAATTGGATCATGAAGAAAAACTCTGTTATCATTTTCTTTAGACAAATGAGGTGGTAACATTTTTGGTGGTTCAAAGTTACTCATATTGGCTTTGTTAATTTTTTTTTTATATAAATATATATATTATATTAAATAATCTTCTGAAACTCTTCAATTTTGATAGGTTCGTCTGCAAAAAACAATGACAATAATTAATAATATTTATAGAAGTTATAAAAATGATTTTAATAATTATAATTCAATTTAATTACCTAACTAATTAATAATATTTACAATATTTATAATCACTATAAAGAATAAAAATTGTAATAATTATTTCCAGCAGAACTGATACAATTTAAGTTTTTACTAGTACATATAACCTCACTTGTAGAATATAAATGATTTATCACACAAAATTAAATCAATTATCAATTAGTTTTTAATGACATATAATACACAGTCTTTATCATTATTGACATTTGAAATAATTTTCATAGAATCATGTCATATTTTCATTAATAACTTTAAATTATAAACTTTATGGCACACACTTTGGATTACGTCAAATCACTGACTGTAACTTATGTTTACTTCTGAAAAATTGATCATTTATATATATGATGATAGTATAAGTATATAACGTTTTATGAATAATTGTTATTATTTTTTTGTAATTATTTAAGTAATGTTTTCAAAAGATAATGACAATAAGGATATCAAGAGGAATTTTATATACGTATACTCAAGTTATTTTTGGCAAGCTTATTATGTGGAATAAAATAATTCTTTTTTTCTTTATTTTTTTTTTGTAAATAATTGTTTATACAAATTCTGTAACTTATATCTACTTACAACAACAAAATATTATTAAAAAAATCACAGTGTTTTTTTTTTTGTCAAATTACAGTAACTAAAGCTTATTTAATTCATTCATACGTTAATGATTTTTTACGATAATTAACGTTATTTATCCGTCTACAATTATTATAATAATAAAAACTCAGAATATTAAGCAATATGTTACAATAGAGAATTCATAACGTACAATCATATTTACTTGCAACAAGGTTCTACGATTACTATTATCTATGTATCTATAAATGGAATTTTCATAAATATATTAGCTAGATTAAAATAAATGTTTATGTTTATTACGAATTCTTATAATCTAGCGGTAAGTCAATTAATTCATAATTAACTAACAAATATAACGAAACTGATAACAGTGCATTATGTACGTATTGAAGAAATGGTAAAGTTTGTGCTCAAATTTCATCAAGATGTATTAATAGAGCTACAATCACTGTAGCTCCTGTCTCCTTCGTTGCCCATTCTGTTGCTTCAAAACCATCACTACCATTTTTTTCTGAACCCATTGTGTATGAACCAGGTCTAACTTGTAATTGAAAGGCCGTTGAAGCGTTGAGTTTTTTGTTCGATTGAGTATCAATGTATCTGTAAAAATGAGTTAACAGCTATTGTAGTAAAATAAAGAATAGATATTGATTTATATTTAATTAAAAACTAATTACTAATATAAACTAGTAATACTTACAGGTACTTTTTAGTACATTCATTGGATGTAACGTATTTTATATTTGGTGAGAAAACAACTTGAGGGTTTTGATTTTCACTGTTTATAATTGCTGTTAAATTGCTCGTAATTAATTGCTCCATTGGTAGAAGTTCACCTCTATCAAGAATCCATCTGGAAATACAATGATAAAATAAATTTTCAATAATAAGTTTTGTAAAGTTAATGAAAGAAAAAAAATAGATTGAAACAAAAAACTATTTACCTAATTGAATCTAATCGAGTACGATAATAAGCAACATGCCACTTGTCTGTCGTGCTTTGAGGAATTTGATTAGAATTAATTGTTTGTTTCAGAGGAAATTTAACCCAGCCAACAGGAACAGCAAATTCTGCTGGTGGATCACCTTTTTTGCAAATAGCTCCATCACCATCAATTTTATAGCAAGAATTACAATAACAGCTTACTTCGTCAAGTAGAAAAAATTCATCAGGCAACACAAGAGATTTTTTAAGTCTCGTACAAGCTTTAAGATATTCACATTTTTTAGAAGTTGTTAATATAATTGTAGAATTAAATAGTGGAGTTAGTGGTGGTGGTAATAGTGGTGAAGATAGATGATGTCCACAACTCAATGTAGATTGTTGTTGATTATTATTAATTGTACCATTTTGATTAGAAATTATAGCATGACTATTTTTTTTGACTATTTGATTGTTTTGACGATTTATTCCTTGAATATCTTGACAGGAATTAGATAAACTATTAAAAGATGTTGCTGCTGTTGTCAAGTTGCTCAAATTATTATAGATATTATGACATTGAGAATTATTTTGATTAATATTATTATCACTTGAGTGATTAGAATTGGAATGAGATGCAGAAATATTATTTATTTGGCCACTGGACGCGATACTTTCATTGATCGCATTATTTGCATTCATGTAATTTATCGCCGTATTTAAACTTGACATATTACTCGACGATGCTGCTGAGCCATTTTTAATATTAATATTCGTTGCATTATTAATTTCTACATTTGTACAATCATTCCTTCTAATGTTCCGAGTGACATCAGAAGCATTGTCTTCACAATTTCCTAGATCGTTGTTTGACAAAGTGTTATTACTGTCGTATGATACATTAGGATTTTTCATTTTTGGACATTTTAATGTTAATGGTTTTGTATCATTACGAACTTCTAGTTCATTTATTGAATTATTACTGTCAGAATTAATACTGCTAGTAGTGCTCTTCGTCATCATTGATTTGCCAGGTAAATTATTATTAAAATTAGAAATATTACTATGCATTGATGGATTTAATTTTGACGTTGTTTCAATACTATTGCTAATTAAAGCTGATATTTCATCACCAATAGCCTGAACATTTAATGATATACTGGACGGAATTGCAGCAGGAATATTTTCTTTCTCATGACACTCTAAATCAGCTTTTTCTCGTGAATTTTCTACTTCATCTACGTCATCATTTGCTGATGTTACTCTTTCAGTATTACTGGCTATAGCCATATTTATAGCATCATTATTTGTAATAATTGTTTCAGAAATTGGTCCAATGAGTGAAATTTGTTCTATTTGACCATAAAGATCAATCACAGCGTAAACATAGGGCGGAAGATCGGTAGCAGCTATTCCTTGATCGACTCCGTTAATAAATAAATGCAATCTGGATTCTTCGTCAATTAATAATCCTATTGTTGAACCAGTTTGCAAGTTATCCAAGTTTGAGCCATATTTTGTTGTTACTTTAGTACCGTTATGAGATATCCAATCACTACAAATGATCCACGAATATTTTTTAAATCCCATAGCAGTGAGAGGAAATGTTGCCTTTTCTGGAGAAATACATGTAACTCCACAAAGCATACCTGATACCCATCGATCATTCACTTTTTGAATTTCTACTTGGAATATTTTACACTTAATTAATGGACGACTAGACATTACAACTCCTTGATTGTAGCTAGCAACTCTTCTAGCTACTGTACGGCCATCTAATTCAATATTTTTCCCATGATTTTCATGGAATTCATAACCGTAGTCAGTTTCTCCTGTAGACGCAATAACTGTTGGTAACATAGAAGAGGCAGGAGATAAGATAACTTGCTGTAATTTTGCTTCAGGAGCATCCATCGGCGACAATGAATCAACACCTTCACCATCATTTCTCATAATTGGTGGCATTGGATCTAATAACAGCAATTCTAAGGAATCTTGAAGTCTTAAACTAGCATTTGGAGATACAATTGACGTTTGATGTTGTTTACTACTAGTTATTTTTACAGCAATTGTACTTCCAAAAAGCTCAACTACCACCCAAACCATTTCAGGAATATTTATTGCAGCTACTCCCATATCTTCGCCGTTAATGTAAAATTTTAAATCACCTTCATGATTTCTTTTTACTCCTATTTTATCACCCGTTCGTAACCAATCTAAATTAGGACAGTAGTTCGAGTATAGAACATAGCCTTTATGACGAATTTCATTTCCCGTTATATACCAAGCATCAGAAGGAATTGAATTAATCCCTGGAACTAAATCCATTGATGTTAACCAGCTAGCATTTTCATTTTCTATAACACCTATTTTTAATGAACCACTCCATTCTGACGCCACTTCTTGAATTTCTATTTCAAAGAGCTCGTTGTTTTCTAAACCACACTCGCTTAATAAAACTGCATGATTATACTCTCGACATCTTGTTGCTGTAATACGGTCACTGTTTAATTGTATATTTAAGCCAACTGATGGATGAAACTTATGAGTAATTTCCATTTGAGTTTGAGGCTGTTGAATCACTGATGTCGGCTGTTGACTGATACTATTCTCTGATGGTAAATATTGCTGTATTATAGTATCTCTTCTTTCAGGAGCTACAATTGTTACCTACATAATTCATTATAATTAATAATCATTTAACAAAACTTCAGTTAATAATCTTAATTAATAGAAATTAAAAATTGCATATATACCTGGGCGCATTGAGCGTATAAGTCGATTACTGGATATACGTGTTGTGGAAGACCACTACACGCAACACCCTGATCAACTCCATCAATAAAATAATGAAGAGTTGTGTCTGAACAACGCATCATCCCAATTCTATTTCCTTCGGTTAAAGTATCAAGATCACAAGCATAATGATGTCGTAAAGGCATTCCATCTCGCATTACTGTTGGACCCGATAACATCCATGTATCATGATCTATGTCAGTCATTGTCGAAGGAAATTCTAACTCATCTGGTCGAATAGCTGTTACACCTGAAGTATATAATATTAATTATCAGTTAGATGTTAATAATTAATAATAACAATAATAGTATTAATTATAATTTACGGTAGCTTTACCTGCTTCAATCGAACCCGTCCAACGTCCAACCATTCTATCAATAGTCACCTCAAAGAGTTCTCCATCACGTAAAGGTCTATTAGCTATTACTATGGCTTCATTAAATTCCCCTAAAGCTCGGATTCTAGAGGCTGTCAGTCCATTATTGGAAATTCTTGCATGTTTACCATGTACATGGTGAAATCTCAAGTCACTAAAAATAAATGAAATGATATCATTATCTAGAAGCAAATCAAGATTTTCAATTTTTTTAAATGTATTACCTGTACAACGTGGTATTACTGAAGCTAGAATTATTGGTTGTGGGACTGTAAAAATCACTATTATCTATAATTGTAGCCTGTGTAGCTTGACCGTATAAATCAATCACTCCATACACTCTCTCAGGAACTCCAACAGCAGCTGATCCCTGATCAACACCATTTACAAAAAAATGTAAGGTTCCATTGTCTTTTCTCATAACTCCAACCCGATCTCCAACTTTTAGTCGATCAAGATTTTGTCCGTATTGATCAATGATTGAAGTCCCATCATGCATGACTCCATTACCTGTCATTATCCATGTACCAGAACGAACGTTTGTCATAGTAAACGGGAATTCAAGTTCAGTTGGAGCATGAGTAGTCACTCCAATCTCAATAGAACCTGCCCATTTCGAAACTATTTTGTCTAACCGAACTTCAAACAACTCATTGGGTCTTAGAGGTCTCATTGTAAGTACAACACCGTTATTAAAATCATCCATAGCATTAGGCCTATGTGCCGTTCGTCCGTTGTTTATAACGTCTGCATGAGTACCACAACAAGGATGAAAGGTAAGCCTGTCCAGTGGTGGTTCATCAATTTCATCCACTTCAGTTAAACCTTGAAGATGTAGTGTATTTCTACGTGTTACTAAATTTTGTTCTTCTCTTTCATCTCTATCAACAATCGTTACTTTTACAGTCATTCCATAGAGTTCAACAACACCCCAAACACCAGCTGGAACTTTAGCAGCAACACCTTGATCCAATCCATTTATTAAATAGTGTAGATTTCCGTTACTTCTTCTAATCATTCCAACTCTATCGCCTTCTCTAAGTTCATCTAAATTTATTTCTCCATACTCTCTTTGTATCCCTTTGCCATTTGTTAAAATTCCACATCCAGACATCATTGTTGTTCCGGAACGCATATTAGTCATTGTCGCTGGAAACATTAATGCCGTTGGATTATGAGTCGTTACACCAACTTCAATACTTCCAGACCATTTATCTACTAATCTATCTATACGAATTTCAAATAGTTCATTATCTCTTAAAGGTCTATGTGTCATTACAACACCGTCATTGAATTCATCAAACGGCCGTCTTCTCTCTGCAGTTCTGGCATTGTTTGATAGTTTTACTAGTGCTCCAACACGTTCATGAAATCTTAAACGATCTTCTCGAATTGCTGCTGCTGATGCTTCTGAATTTTTTGGAAGATTGACATTCATATTGACATTAAGGTTGACATTTAAATTAGCTACCATGCTTGTTACTGACGACGCTTCATCATTAGGATATTCATTATTTACATCCATCTCATCTTTTGGTTCATCCATTGATAAAAGTGACTTAGGATTTATTATTGTTATTTGAACGTAATCAAAATACATATCTATTAAAACGAATAAACGAGATGGAAGGTTTGTTCCTGCTATTCCCTGTGATACTCCATTTATAAAGAACATCAGTTCATTCTGAAAAAATAAAAAAAAATGTGATAAATAAACTCGTATTTTTTCCAAAAGCAGTGATTATTTGTTGATGTTGATATTAATTAATTTTTGAAGAGTCGTAATTTCTACTTACATTAGAAGTTTTCATTACTCCAATTGTGTGACCTTCTTCTAAATTATTTAATCTATTACCATATGTAGCATCGGTGATAAGACGTCCATTTCGTAAAACTCCACTATTTGTCATTATCCATGTTTGACCTAAGCTTGATGTCCAATCAACCATTTCCATTGTTTCTGGGTCACAAGTGGTGACTCCAATCTCTATTTTGCCCTCATCACAGGATCGAATCTAAAATAATATGACAAAATTATCATCTTTATCCAAAGAATAGAACATCATACAATTCCTTTTTAATTGTTTTTAAAATAATCGTGATAATTATCATACAAATTGTTTTATATTTTATGATCTTTCAGAGTAATTTTAATCAATTACATTTTAATGAATGTAAAAGGTTCATTAAGCGTTTTAAAACATTTTCAAAAGGATCGTAAATATAGAGAATTGAAAGTACCTTTTTATCGATCCTAACTTCAAAAAGCTCATCATCTTTTAAAGGCTCTAAACTGATAACTCGTCCTTCGTCGAAAGTTGAATAATTTCTTGATGCTGTACAATTGTTGTTCGATAAATTCACTCCTTCGCCACATCTTTGGAACATTTCGATTTAATTTTATCAATAATTCAATTGACGTTTATTAATTCACAATTTTTGATACTAATAAAAATAATGATGATTATATTATAATATGATGATGAAGGTACCACGTGAATTAACTTATTATTATTTTGGCTGAAGAAGCCAAAAAATCATATCACTTTGGAGCATCGTTTGCTCAATAAGAAAATTTGGAAATACACAATGCAAACCCTTGGAAAAACTTATTAATAAGTGCTCATGCGCTTTAGTTTAATCATCATATAATAGTGTTGGCTACTGTTGTCGTAATTATTATTGTGGTTTTTTGAACTGGAGTCAAATTAAATTGTCAAAAAACAATTTAATAATTTATGACAATATTGAGTTTAATAATAATTAAAATTCTGAAAAAAGAAAAAATATTTGTTTAGATTTCCTAACCTTATCAATTTATAGCTACAGATTTAAATGGCACACATACTTTTATGATAAATATAATATGATTCCAACTGTTTCAGTAAAAATAAATTATATAAATAAATTTATAGATCTATCTATTTATTAATGAATAATTAAAAAATAAATATTTGTGTTACATAAGAAAAGATAATAAAATATGAAATAAGTAAACAGGTAATAAAAAGCTTTTAAAGTTGAAGTACACAAATCTTTGAATATGTGTGCATCTAACTATATCTACTTCTTATCTAACTTTTGTTTTAAATGGCAGCATTAATAAAGTGTAGATCGATTTTTGTATTTTAAAAAGGAACAAAAGGATGTAGTTAGATAAATAAAATTTAAATATAATTTAAAAAATGCACCAAGTAAAACATAAAATATGGTAAGTATAAAGTGAAAAGAAATATTTAAATAATAAATTTGATTTCAAGTGTTCTATTGTATAAAAACATAACCTATAAAATCAGCTGATAAGTGTTTCAAAATAGAAAACATCAGTGAAAAAATGTCTAAAAACTTTCAGCATGGTCTCAGATTTCTTCTATCCAAATATGGGTGGAGTAGAAGAACATATATTCAATTTATCTCAATGTTTACTTGGTCGTGGGCACAAAATTGTGATAATTACACATTCCTATGGGGATAGAATAGGTATTCGCTATATGACTAATGGATTAAAGGTATTTTAATTTTATCTATATATAGATACTATTTATTTACATTGAATATTTTCTTACATTCTATTGAATTAAAATGTTTTAATTGATATTACAGGTTTATTACTTGCCAATAAAAGTTTTTTACAACCAATGTGTTCTCCCTACAATGATATGTTCGCTCCCTCTGATTAGATATATTTTTATTAGGGAAAAAATAGAAATCATTCATGGACATTCAGCATTTTCAGCTTTAGCACACGAGGGAATGCTAATTGGAAGACTTATGGGATTGAAGGTGAATGACAATTGTTTTTTTTTTGCTGTTCCTATGGATATGAATATTAACTTTTTTTTATTATAGACGGTATTCACTGACCATTCTCTTTTTGGTTTTGCTGACGCATCTGCTGTTTTAACAAACAAATGCCTTCAAATATCTTTAGCTGATTGTAATCATTGTATCTGTGTATCTCATACTGGAAAAGAAAACACAGTATTGCGTGCAAAGGTTCATAAAGATCAAGTATCTGTTATTCCTAACGCAGTAGATACAGCTCTGTTTACGCCTGACATTAGCAAAAGAAAAAATAACTGCGGTAATGGGACTTTTCTTTTTCTCAAATTTTTTAACAATTGATATTTCTATCTAGAATTCATTTTTACATAAAAACTTAACTTGGAAGTAAATACTTTGATAACAGTTGATATAAAGTTAATTATATACTAATCATTTTTTATAGTTACTATCGTCGTCGTATCTAGATTAGTTTATCGTAAAGGAGTTGATCTCTTAGCACAAGTAATTCCTGAAATTTGTGCACGTTATGAACATGTGCAATTCCTTATTGGCGGAGATGGCCCTAAACGATGGCTTATAGAAGAAATAAGAGAACGAAATTTATTACAGCACCGAGTAACATTGCTTGGTAGTTTAGAGCATTCACAAGTTCGTCATGTGTTAAATAAAGGCCATATATTTTTAAATACTAGTCTGACAGAAGCGTATTGCATGGCGATTGTAGAAGCTGCATCTTGCGGGTAATTTAATTAATTTATTATTTTTGAAAAATTAATGACTTTAAAATAATTTTATCAACTATTATATCATCTTACGAAATGCTATGATATTGGTAATTAAATATCAATCAGTCAATTGTAAATAATTTATAATATTTCTACAATGAATTTCAGGCTTCAAATTGTTTCGACAAAAGTTGGTGGAATTCCTGAAGTGTTACCTCCAGAATTAATTTATTTAGTTGAGCCAACAGTCGAAGAATTAATTAAAGGACTCGAACATGCAATCGATGACTACCAAAGTGGTAATATTATGAGTCCATATGAAGTTCATAATAAAATTTTATCATATTATAATTGGTTTAATATTACCAAAAGAACGGAGATTGTGTACAGTTTAGTTTGTCAAGAAAAAAAGAAAACATTAGGGGAAATGTTGATGAATTATTTATCAAGCGGTGTACTGCCATATTTGCTGATGGTGTCTCTATGCTACATCATGCTGCAAATACTTGATTATATTGTGCCAAAAAAGGTAATTATTTTAAACTATAATGACATTAATCTAAGTAGATTATTAATAATGATTGATCTTGTGGACTAGCTATTTATTTTAACTATCTCATTACAGTATATAGATATATCAAAAGATTATATCCATTCCGAGCCGCATTTAGAACAAAATGGAAAACGAGAGAAAAAAATTGATTGAAACTACGTTCAATGGTTAATTAATTTGGACGAAGTTTTGTTTTTATAAATTAAATAGAATAATTTATCCAAGAAAGACTTGAGAAATTTATTAGGAAAATTTCAATTTTTATAAATTGAATAATTGTAAATAAAAATAATTTAATAAATTTAAATAATTAAATTAATTGAATGATTTCAAAGATTTAAAGACGAAAAAAGAACAAAAATGACAGTACAATTCATGTGTAAGTCACAAAATGATATATCATGATTATCAAAATTATTTTTCCATAATTATGTAAATTCTGTTATTTGTATAATATAAATAAAATGTTGTTATTGTGTTTATATTTGTGAGTATTACAATTTTTATTAATACTGACAGTATTTCTTTATAAATCGATCTAACAAAGATGTACACAAAAATCACTATTTAACATAATTAATTTCATTAATTACTTAATTTATTTACAATGCATATCTTAATAACTATGTAATAATTAAAGTACACAAATGTATTTTATCAAAAAGTAAATTATTTGTTGATAAAATATTTAAAATACTAAAGTAAATAAAAACAGATGTGAAAATGTAATGAAATTTATTTTTATTTCGTACCTCTTATACAATAGTTCGGAAATATTAGCATTTATGAATTTGGCTGCTAGATTATCACTTGAATATTTTTATATTTGTCATTTATTATTCAAAAGTAATATAATTTAAAAATACTCTCATTACATACAATTATCAGATTCAATAACGATGCTGCATATTATTAAATTGTTCATATCGTGCATAGATAACATTAGAAATATCGCTAATGTATTATTCATGAATTTCATTAAAAAAAGTTTCAAGAAACTCTTAGAACTTTGTATATTGCCTCATTTTATTTAGTTTTAATTTTTTGTATATAATATTTACATGTTGAATTATAATTTGAGCACTATAATATTTATAAAATATTCATAATAAACAGAACATAAAACTAAGGAAAAAATATAATAAAGACGTTGTGGTATTAAAAGTTTTTCTTTAATTTTTTTTTTTACATCAAAAATATATTTGAAAAATTTCTTCTGCGATTCACGTGAATGATTGATTACCTAAAAGAATCTGGCAGAACATGTGTGGGTACTTGAACAAACCATGTATTTTAGAAAATTCATATTATCTCTAATTGAGAATAATAAGTAATCATATAATTGATAATTCGAACAATTAATTTCAGAATTTGTTCCTATGTTGTATCAACGTCACAGATCATAACATCAGAGAATAAAAAAAAACAACGATCTTAAGTAGAGATCAAGAGCATTCGATGGTCTTTACAAGATTTAAAATTGATTGATATTAATATAATTATTTCATGTACTACTTATATTAATTGCATTCCATAAGCTGAATCAATTTAATATTAAGTGTGAAGTTTTAATTAATAATATTTAACAGTATAATAATAATAATGATTGTGATAATGGTATCTTCATTTGTAAAAATGATGTATAGTTAGTTAGATATTTCCATTTAAATAATATTTACATGATTTTTATTTAAATATTTTTTTCATTATAAACATGGAATCCTCGTTCACGTACGTACATATTTCTGAAAACACACGTTTTATTCACAAAAAGAAATCTCATAAACACGCACAACCATTGTTTTTATTTTTCTCAATGGAATTCACTTAATGATTGAAAAAACATAAATAACGAACCAATACGTTAAAGCTGTCACTGTCTCTTTCTCTTTCTTTTTATATGTTTTATTCAACTATAGAGCATAATGTTTAAACTCCTTCTCCATAATCACGATCGCCAACATTAATACGATCAGTAGCCGCAGTAACACTGAATCCAAGAATCCTATTGTCAACTTTGAACATTTTCCCTTTTTTTGGCTTCTTTGATTTACCCTTTAAAAAAAATATTACTCATTAATATTAATTAATAACAATCAGATAATCAGTATTATTTAATAGATATTTTATAAATAATAAAAACAATTACCTTAACTTCTTGAAATTCTGTGGTATTATTTGGATTAACAGCAGGTGCTGGTTTGCAAAGATCATCAGCTTCTACTTGTGGACGTTGAGCTGATCGCCATTTACTACGTTTTTCTAAAAATTGCTTAGCAAACTCTGTACATTGTTTACTATCTCCAAGATACATTCTCACATATTCTTTAACTTCATACGCTGATTCAATATCTCTCAAAAAGCCAACGAATGTCGGAACTGAAAAAAAACAAGAAAAAAATGTTTACTCCTTTGTATATAATTTTAAAAATAACTTAATAATAATATGTATTATTTTATGTACGTACTATCAACAGATACTTGAAGTCCATTTAAAGTACGATTACACCATTGTGTAAATTCATCGACTTTGGCAGTGTTATTCTCAAATAATTTTTTTACCAGTTCTTCTTCTTTTTTGACTTTATTTTTTGCTACTTTATTATTCATACTATTATTAGTATTATTGTTATTAGTAGTATTGTTGTTATTTGGTTGTGGTTGTTGAACAGCCACTGGTTTTGTTGTTGCTACTGGTTTTACTTGCAGTTTAGTTGAAATTAATGGTTGTTGTTTAATAGAAGAAGTAACAGGATCATCCCATAATCCTCCACCACTAGACCAAGCTTTGTTGCTAATCTTAGTATTATCACATGTCGACGAATTGACAGTATTAGCCCAATTAAGAGATTGAGATGCACTTCCCCAAATTCCAGCATTTTGAATTACAGTTGATGTATCTTTCTGATTTACAGCTGCTTTTTCATAACGCTCTTTTTCTTGTTGTTTAACTTTAGCTATTTTCTCTTGCTCTTCTTGTTGAATTTGAGCCAAGCTTTTTACTTGAGGTTGATTATTTGAAGGAGCAGCTTTTTCAGCCCATTTAAATGGTTGACGTTTTGATGAAGAATCAGAGGTAATTACTGTATCCTTTGATATTTCTGCTGTTTTTTGTTGAGCTATTTGTTGTTGCATAATTTGTTGTAAACGTAATTCTTCAGCTTTCTTTTCTCGTTCTAATCTTTGAATTTCTGCTAAAGAAGCATGAGTTGTGGGTAATGATACATAAGGAGTTTGAGCCCATGGCGCTCTACTACGTTCCTGCAATTTCTTTAGGGCTTCTGCTTCTCGACGTCTTTGCTCAGCAACTGCAGCAGCACGTTTTGCTTGTTCTTCGGCTTCAGCCTTCTTGCGCATTTCTTCCTCTTTTTTCAATCTTTCATCTTCAATACGTTTCTGTTCTTCTGCTTGCTTTTTTCGCTTCTCTTCTTCCTTCCTTAATTTTTCTTCCTGCTTTTTAAGCTGTTCACGTTTTTTCTTTTCTTCTTCTTGTTTCTTTCTATTAATTTCTTCATCTTGCTTTCGTTTTTCGTCACGTTTTTTCTCTTCTTCTTTTCGCTTTTTCTCTTCCTTTTTCTTTTGATGATCTTCTTCTTGTTGCTGCTGTTTACGTTTTTCTTCATTTTTAATCTTTTTCTCTTCTTCCTTTCGTTTTCGTTCTTCTTCTTTACGCTGAGCCTCATTTCGTTTCGCTTGATCTTCTTCTAATTTCCGGCTTGCATTTTCATCTTCAACTTGTTTTTTCTGTTCTTCTTGCTTTCTTAATTCTTTTTTTCTATTTTCTTGTATTCTAATATTTTGTTCTTCCTATTAGAGAATAAAAATTGATTAAAATTATTTAAAGTTTATATACTCGAAAAAATTATTATAAATTCATACTAACTAATATTTGTTGCTCAGTCTTTATTTCTTTTGTATGTAAATTCCATAATGGATTGGTCATTTGACCAGGTGGAATTTGTCCAACCTAATAATAAAAAAATGAAATAAAAATTTTAATTATAGTAATTTTTGAATGATTAAATCATGGAAATTGTAAAAACTTACCTGTGTCAACCAACTTTGGGCATTGAATTGTGATGGATTCATTTGGGGTGGTGGTGGAGGAGGTGGCTGCTGTTGTGGCCAAATTGAATCCACCTGATGTGGTTGTGGATTGTGCCCATTAGCACTAACATGTAGCTGACGAAGTAATGATTTAATTGGATCTTCTTCTGGAGTCGGTTGAGTTAAAAGAGGAAGTGGAGGCGGAGGAGAATTAATGGTTGGTGTTACTGGAATATTTTGTATCCCACCCATTTGTTGAATAAGCTGTTGGATAGGATCTAAAGCTGGTCCAGGATGTACTGTTGGTATTGATGAATGAGAGCTTAGATGATTATCATTTGGTAGCTTAGCCTGTTGTATTTGATTGAAAAGTTGCATAACAGGATTTGCTGGTGGTGGTGCTAAAGGTGTTGGTACAAAAGGATTCGTTACTATAGGTAAATCTCTTGTCTCAGAATCTTGCAATATACATTGCATTATTAATTGATTTTGCTCAACAGGACTTAAATTTGCCCAATGTTCAGTTTGAGAGAGTTTAGCTATAGCAGAAGTTTTTAACTGCCGAAACAATAATTGACGATTATGCATCATGTGTAGTTGATGGTGATACTGTAACAAGAGAAGAGGATCCTCTATTCCTGGTTTAGGTAAGGCACTACCAGATATTCCTGTGGCTACAGTATTTGTTATCGGTGGTATGACCACTGGTTCTGTCGATTTTAATGGAGGTATTGGTGGACCCGGAACAAATGGTACTCTACCACATAATTTCATTAAATCTCCGAGGGTTGCATACCTCTCATCACAAGTTCTTCTAACTAATAAACTTGGCGTAAAGTATCCAGCTTTACACCATTCCGCCATTTCACTCGCTAAAAATGGTCCTTGAACCTCTCCTTGAGGGTCTCGATAAAACCATTTTTCCTGAATCGATGTATTAACTAATGGATGTACATGATTTGTTACTGATGATGGTGATGATGATGAAGATGATGATGAGGATGATGAAGACGATGAAGCTGATGATAATGATGACGATGATGATGTTACTGTTGTCGTCGTAGTCATTGCTGTAGTTGTTGCCGTTAATATAAGTGAATTTTGTTCTTGATGATTTTCTTCATCGGCCATTAATTTCGCTACTAAACTAACAGCTTGCTCTTTCATTATTTCGAGATCATCTTCAGGCTTTTCTGGTGGAACGTGCATTTGATTAGCATTATTAAGAGAAATTTTATTAATATTATTCTGCTGATTGCTAACTCTCTCAAGATTTTGTTGTACAGGCTGAATAGTAGAATCTTGTTGACTGACACTCGTAAATATACTTTTTTTAGTTGATAATTCAACAAATGATTTAGAACGTTGTGGAAGTTGGATTTTCATTGATTCAGCAACAGTCATAGTAGTATTTGTTGTACAAGTAGAAGTGGAAGCCGCGATCGTAGTTATAGTAGTAGAATTATTACTGTTATTACTATTAGCAATAGTAGAATCAGTAAACGAACTTGAAGAATTTTCCAAGCTGGAGGATTTGTTATGAATTGATATTGAATCATTAATAACAGTAGCAGCCGATGGTAATGTTTCTTTCAATAAAAAATTAGTTGATGTTGTCATTACTTTGTTCATTGATGGTAAAGAGCTTTTATCTCCAACCTTATCTTCTGTATCAAACGGATGTAATGATTTAAGTTTCTCTCTTGAAGATGAATTAATTGATACATTATTGGGATTAGTAATTGAACGATGAGCAGCCGTTTGGTTATTGCTATGAAATAATGTAGATTTACTTCCAGTCTTGGAAGATGTACTAAGAGTACTTTCAGAAACACGACGAATACGAACACCCCCATCGTCATCATCATCATCAGAGAATATACCACCGTGAAAGGCACCTGAAGCATCAAAACTCCCACCACTTTCGGTCGGATTTTCCGTTGCCCTGGAAAAGAAAATAATTATTTTAATAAAAAATATCTTCTTAAAAATATATTTATGTATGATGAATAAATTTGTATGTAGTGAAAAAAAAAGATAAACAGATATATATTAATAAAAATAATCACCATTCAGGGAGATTATCATGATTATCATGGTGATTAGACGACTCCCAGGTTCGAGCAGTACGAGGAGGAGGAGGGTGATGATGATGATGATGATGGTGATGATGATGATGATGGGACGAATCGTGAGAGGAAGATCTTCCTCTAGATTCCCAGCGTCCAGATACCCGACTATCCTCCCCATCACCGTCGGCTCTCTCAGAGCCACCCCCATCGCGCCAATTGCTTCTAACTATAGAAAAATTATTTTGAAATTCGTAAAAAATATTTTACTAAATTTACTTTTTACATATTATTTAAATTATAATAATTATTAAATCTAATATTTTAAATATCAACAACTACTTTGATTTATTTCCATAACTGGCACTCAATGCTACTTATTATCGCAGTAAAAAGTTTGATAAATTAAAAATTTCACTATACTTACTCCACTTTTCACTCCGAGTACTTGTAGTTCTCCAACCTTCTTCATCATCACCTCGATGACGCCTCCAATTACCTTCCATTAGAAAATTACTACTAAGGGTGGTACCTCCTCTACATAGTTCTTTTCTCGGACTAGTAGAGCCATTCCAATCGCTTGTATCTGAACTCCCATTGCGATCTGACCATCCTACACGATCATTTTGTGATCTATCAAAAGTTGTTCGACTTCTTCCTGGATAGGATTGTGCATCAAGACGATTTCCATCTCCAGAATCATCGAAACTACAACCACTACTACTTCCACCACCACTACTACCACGTGAATAGTGAGATGAGAACATAACTCCCCTTCCACTTTTAATACGTCCACCACGATCAACACTTGCTCCTCTTCCACGTCCTATATTACTTCGCGCCCGCTGAAAATAATAATGAACTTTTAGAAATAATTATAGTTAAATCATTGCCATAATTAAAAAATACAGAGTTAAGGGATAAAAACAGTGATGATGATAATAATACTACTAAAAAGTCTGGCACAAGAATTGCATTATTTTTAGATCACAACCATGTATGACACAGTTTTCAATATAACGGACTACTCAAATATATTGAAGTTTTAGTAGATGTTATTTAGTAATTCAATAACAGTCATTAATAATGAATATAAACAACTTTCATCAACAAATTAACATGGAAAAAACATTAAATGCTAATCCACATATTATTCTATTATTACCTCTGATATTTTAATTCATAGCAATAATTTATAACATAATTAATAGTTGCATGTAATTAAAAATTTTATGAGTTATAAAGATGGTTTGAAAATAAATTTGATTATTACCGTTTCATCTTCTGTTTCAGGTATAAAAGCCAGTGGGAGCTGAGTTTTTTCAACATAAAGAGCCTGCAAATTCATGATAGATTCTGGCGGTTTGCAATTACGATCGAATAAAGCTAACATTTCTTCACGACCATATCTATGCTCCGCTAATTGATACCGAGGTGTAATCAGGTTTGCAGTCCCTCCACCGCTACCTCCCGAATTGCAACTGTCTCCAGCTAGATTGCGTAACCTTTCGATATTTATGATGATATTATCATTATTTATTATTATTAATCATAATGTTGAGAATATTCATTATAATTATTTTTATTCTATTACTATTACTGAAAGTAATAGCAATAATGTATAGAAAAAAAATAGATAAATGTCATTCACAAAACTTGTTCAGCAACTTACCACTCTGGTCCGAATTTCATGGAGTCGGTCATACTGCCTACCTATTAACAGAAAAAAAAGAAAAAAAGTTTTGTGAGCTAACAAATTAATAACGTATTTTAAAAGTGTCTAATATTTTATTATAATTATTATTAAGATAATTTTTCTCATTATAAGTATTAAAGTAAACAGCAGGTTTTAATTATTGTCAATTGTTTTTCATCTGACACTTATGTAAAATATTAGAGATGAAAGAAAGAATTCAACAAGTACCGATTAAATTTGGAAAAATATATTTTTTTTTTTCAATTATTAATAATTCAAATAATTAAACTGTTTAAAAAGAATTTAATTTTTATTGTATGTATCGAAGGCAACTATCGACAATAATACGATAGACAAATCGAAATTACTATTTATGATGATGATGATGATAATGATGATACATGAACGATACAAAAAAATGTATGTAACATCAGTACGGTATAATGAAAAATATTTAATTCTTCACAATTTTAGAAATGAATATATCATTTATATCATTCGGATTTTGTTAAGGGATGTAAATGTATTGTTTTTTCTTAATTATTACGGAAAATTGCCGTTTTGATCGTTATTTACGGGACACACAACGGGACTTGTGAGTATTTTACAAGCCAAAGTGGCAATATTAACCAAACATACGCGATCCCATTTAAATGCCAATTAATCATTTGAATTGTTCATTTTATAAAGTATTTCGATAATTAAACACTCTTGACTGATTTAAATCTTAAAAAAAAAGTGCTAAATAATAAAATACCTTATTAAACTTGAGAATTACTGAGCGAACAATACAACACACCAATATGGCCGATGATTTTTTTATAGATAAAGCGCGTGCGCAAAAAGAAATCGTATCTGACGCTCAACTGCACCAACTATATTTCGAAAAATTTACGCAGTAAATATATACATAGTCAATTGTCCCATTATTATCTATCGAGTTTGATAAAAAACTTCTCCATTTTGTACCAGAGGGCTTTTGAAAATTCAAAAAATGTTTTCGATTCTTCTTTAAAATATTATTAGATGACTCTGCTTGCGCTTTCCAGTTCTTATATTTGTTGCTGGACGATTACAACGTTTTATACACTAGTGTTCACAATACAATAAATAAAAATAAAAGTTAAACCAATTAATTATTCTGGTAGGATTATCGTCGACCATACTATCTATAAAATTTCGAATTTCCAATCTTTATCTTAAATAATTTTTAAACAATTCTTACGATATTAATCTTAATAAATACCTAAAAACGGGAACACAAAGCATTGCACGTTGGACTTCGCCTATTTAGTCAACTTAAAGATTTTGTTCAATGTTCTCAATATGATATATTTTATGAATTGGATTTATTTATCTGTATTGTGATTCAAATGAATGAACCTATGAGTTTAGGTAACCTTATAAGTCTTAAAAAAAGATAGTGATAATAGTGTGGTATGAATAAATATCTGCAAAATACAATAAACTTGAAGAAGAAAGGTTGAAATAATTTGGCCTATAAATTAGTGACCCCGTTAACCATGAATCTACAGACACTTTTTCAAGATTTTAATCCGAGGTAAGAAGTCAATTAACGTATTTACATTCAACATAATTAGTTTTTTTTTTATCATATAATTTGTTTCACATTAATTATCAAATATTCAACAAGTTAACCTTTTGATCAGTTTCTTTATTACGAAAAAATTTATGTACATTTATTTACTGCTTATTAATTACAATACGTAATTTTATAAGTTAATTATACGTTAATTCTTTATCTATCATTATAAAAAATGTGAATATCAATTTTTCTGATTATATATTGTTACATTATTCACTACCAGACACTCATAAATATAAATAATTGTTTGATCCAATGAATTATCATTATTAATTCTTAATCATATAAAAGATAAAATAGTCCAATAAAAAATTTAATTCAAAGTTAAGATAATTTTTTGACATTTATAATTGGATATTAATTTTAGAAATTTAATGAAAATATAATTTTTATGTTGCAGCAAATTTCTAGTGTATACATGTCTCATGATATTCACTATACTATTTGCATTGCGATTAGATAGATTTATAGAATGGAGTTATTGGTGGATATTCAGTCCGATATGGTTTTGGAAGGGTATGGTAATTTTAGGTGCTACAGTAGGAAGTTATGTTTGGTGGAGACATCCACATGCAAGACTTGAAGGAGATGCTTATGTTCACTACAAAGCTATGCTTATAACACTTGCTCTACATCTGATTTTATTGATGTTTGAGCTACTAGTTTGTGATAAACTAGAATCAGATAGACATCTGTGGATCCTCGTTTTTATTCCTTTAATTTTTATTTCAATTGTTTCAATAGCTGTAAGTATTATTTAAACATTTATTTAAATAAATTCTATAATTTTTTATATTAAAATATTTTTTATTCAAAACAGGTATGTATTTGGGCTGTGAAACATGATCGATCGTTTGAACTTGAATTATTCTGTGCCGTGAACGTACTGCAATTTATATTCCTCTCCCTCAAACTGGACAAATTTATTTCATGGAGTTGGGAAGTAGTGTTTGTGCCACTTTGGGCTCTCTTATGTTTGTCGTTGGTTGCTGTGTTATATACAATAGTATTCGCAGCAGTGCTATTAAGAGCACCACAAGTTAATGCTCGTGTAAGACGAACGTCTTTAAATTCAGCCTTGGCCTACACTTTTCTTGTAGTGCCAATTTTAGTATTTCAAGTAAGTTCATCTTTCAACTTCTTATGTTACTTTCTCATATCATTATAACAAAATAATGAATAATATTTATAAATAATTTAAACATACATTTTTTCAGGTATTATTAACGAATAAATTAGACGAAGTTCTTACATTAAATTTTACTACTGTCGCTACTCCACTAATGGTCTCACATGTGACATTAATTTTCATGTCATTCGGTGCTAAAGGTGGAAATAGATGTAAGTTTTCAAAATCTTTTATCATTTATTCTAATTGTAGTTATTTAATTTCAACTCTACTATCAATAATACATTATTTTCTAGGGTGGTTTGGAATACGGAAAGATTTTTGCCATTTTCTTTTGGGCCTGTGTCCACTTCTACAGGAATACGGTAATATTTCTTATCAGCCAAGAAGTGATCACGATCAACCACCATCAGAGCCAATGGTATCAGAGAAATCAGACAAACACATAAAGAAAATCGACCTAACAAAACCTGTGGTGCCTATTATTTCTATAGATATGCCTGATTGATGGCTTAAATACTTACAGATATTCAGGAAGTCTATTAAATATTCACAAATATTGTGAATATGATAATGCTCAAAAGTGAATGCACGTACAGTTTCCTGTCCGATTATTATGGTAATATTATGAATAATGGGAGAGGAAGGAAAAAAATGCATACAATTGATGCAGAAAGAGCATTTACAAGTAAACGAAATAAACGATTCAATTTTTATTTATATACGCTGTGCGGATAAGTAGTTTACATATTATTATTCATTTTTATTCTCGAGCTAAAACGGTATATAATTCGCTTTTAATCTTATTCTATCGAAATATTAATGCTTTTTTATTAGCCAGTTGACCCGTCCATTTAGTTTCAAATAATTCCCTTGCCTAATGGATTAATAGTCCGCCATTGTTAGCTGTTATACAATATGACATATATGATATATTAGTAAATGTTGATAGCGTTAATATGTTATCGAAAATAACAAAACTCAATTAATATCAATTTAGATGAAGCTGGTGCTAATTATCGGTTGTGAGGTTCTTCCAATGTCTTTTAATCATCTCAATTAGGAAAGAATATTGAATCAGTACAAAAAAATATTTCAACGAAATTTTTTTTATTTTACAAATAATTTTTATTCGTCTAAAATATATAAAAAAAAAAACCATCTTTTTACTATCAATATCAATTATGCCAATTGATTAATAGTCATAATTTTATATATTTTGGCACAATTATTTGCGGACAATCATTACTCGATTCAATGACCACTAGTCGAATAAATGCTTAAAGCGTATCAATTGTGTCACATTTTTCACTTAATTGATATTGTGAATCGATGATGCCAGCTAAGACACAAGACTGAACGCCTCGCGTTTTTAGGCTAGTATTATAATATTAAAATAAATGATAATACAATAAAATTTTTCAATTAATTAAATATAATATACAAGTGAAATATGGGTAAACATTATTATTATTATTATATAAAAAGAAAATTTTCATGGAATAATAAATGAAAAAAAAAAAAATCTTCAAAAACCATTGTTTTGTATCGGGAGGCCAATTATTAATTAAAATAAATAATAATCAACAATGATTGATGTACAGTTGTATAGTATCGTTATTTAAATGTGAATGTAAATACATATGTAATCATGTATATTTCATTAACTGTAATATATACATCTCTATTATCTACATTAAAAAAAATAATAATACATATCGATTAAGAATGGTTAATATTATTAAATAGACAATTAGAAATATTATTTCATTTTATAATTATATTATATATAAATATATTTCTTAAATGATTATTATTATAATCCAATAAAGTTTATATTTTTTGGTAAGATGCATAAAAAATTCATTAAATTCTGCGTTCAATTTACAAACATACTGTTGAATATTTTTTGTTAATACCATTATTCAATAAATTCATGTAATGAGAATTTTCAGAGCTTTATATTGTTAACAAACTTATTAATTACGTAGCTTTAGTTGAGCCTTTTTTTATTGATAACATGCATGAGTTTGTTTACCAAGGAGGAATACTTTCTGGCATCCACTTTCGTCCTAAGAGAGAAGATACTTGGGTCGTTGCTTCACTGATGTTAAAGTTTGTATCTTCTATAAGTGATGTTTCCCAAATGTAAAGAATTTGAAGTCTTTCTTTGCAAAGCCCAACAAATTCTACTAACCCGGAACATCTGTAATGTGATAAATTTTAAGCTTCTTACTTCTCATTGATCTATTCTCAGTAGGGCATGAATGATAAAAATAGTATTTCTAGTATGTGAGTCAGAATACAAACGAAGATATCATTTCTTTCTAATGACTATAATTTATTTTAGGCTTTGTAATTCTTTTAATGATAGGCTTTGAGTACTTCTAGAATTAGTCTTACGTAATTTCACAATCGCCAAGACCTACGGCGGATAAATTTGGACATCCCTTAGCCGTAGAGATCAAAGCTTGATCAATAGTTCCAAAATTATAAGAACTAACGACAAGTTCCACTAATCTTGGACAATTTTCTCCTATCCTACGAACTATCGTTTCGGGTGGCGATCCATTCAGAAATAAATGTGTTACTGGAACTGCTGTGACTAAGAGAGCATCATAGTCATCTTCTTCTGATAAGTATGAGTTTCTATAATTTATAGAATTAATTCATAACAAATTTGCTAAAATTTTATGAAAAATCTTCTAAAAATAATTCCTAATAGTAATTTATAATTTATTTCTTACAGAACAAGATTGAGATTTGGAGAATGATTCTCCAAAGTGAACCAAGCTTCATCACTAATTCTTGGAAGAGGTTTAGAATCAGAATAAGCCTCAATTTTGATTGTTTTCAAAGGAACATGATTATCACTACTAATCACTGTCAACAGATCATCACTCAAAGAAGAATAAGGTAAGGAAAGTTCTTTCAAACAACTGCACTGACTTATCATAGTTACAATATCTAAAATAAAAAATCAGATTAAATTCTAAAAAACATTGTTAACAATTATTTTCATACATATAATCACCTTCTGATAAAATTTCTCTAGAATCTTCGTACTCAATCTTCAACTTATTTAAACTTTTAAAACTCTTGAATGACTTATCCGTCCAGAGGCTGACGTTTGATGATATTTCTTCTGCTGTTAATAAATCAACAAACGATTTATCTAGAGGGTTAACACAATTGAAGAATGTTTCATCAATATTGGAAAAGGTTTCAGTCGTTGATAAATTAGTCAAGCTCAACATCTGCAAAAAATTATGATTCAATTAACCATTTTATTGAAGATAAATTCAATTAGCTGATTAACTATTGATCAAAGAATAAATATTTCTCATTAACTTTTTACGTTTCATTGATATACACAATACAAGTTGATGATTCTTTTATAACGAGATGTAAACCGTAGAAAATTCTTTTAAGCTAAGATCTAAACTGCACTGAAGTGCATGAAAATTGTTGTTGGTGATAGAATTGAATGTTTAAAAGAGGGGAAGGATTTGAAAGGATTAAATTCAACGATTCATCAAATGATAATTGGTAAGCTATGTCTGTGCATTCATTGGACTCACCTCTGAAAGCAAATCTTTCCCCTCTACATGAGCATGCAGTGTAACATTCAAATCATGGGTATTATTACCAGTAACTTGATCACCAGGATCATAGTAAAAGGTGACTTAAGGCTTGTTAGAGTAGGCCGTTCACGTGAACGGCCCTGACATAATTAAAATTACGCTGGCAAATCACGTGTATGAAAGTGCAATGAAAGGTGTTAGATAAATTAATTTTAGCTAAATGTCTTACAGAAAAATATTCATTTTAATTTCTATCAAAATCAGATTTCCTTATAATGACATTTCTTATATCTTTCTAATTAAATTAATTAATAATCAATTCTTTCCAAGAATTCCAATCTAATATTTAAAGATAAATTATGCTTTTTTATTGTGAATTAAGATAAAATTTTTACTTAATAATAAATAACTGTTGTAATGAGTTTTTGATTATAAAGATTTTTTTAGAGTCAATAATACCTCAATGACATAACTTGAGAATAAAAGATCTCATTGAAAAACAAAGTACTACATCAGGCATATAAAAGCAGACAGTTGAGTATTTTACTTTACAATTGTATTATACCGCATGAAATATGACAAGTACGCTCTACTTGGTTGAAAACACTCGATCCTTTCTATTCATATTGCGCCAGTCTCTAGGACGTACACGTGCTTGCTGCTCACGCGTGCAGAGTATCAAAAGACATTGCAAAAACATATAGAGCAACGGCTGCACGTGACTCTGATCCTAGGTCAAGAAAAAAAAATTCCTACTTATATAGTTGTAATGTATGATCACATGAGATATTTTAGAATATAATCTAACGAGCTTTACATGAACATTACGACCTAAGCATACATTTTTGTTATCGATATTATTTAATTTTATGAACAGGTTTTTTTTTCAGAAAATAGGTATTAAAATATTGGAATATACATACGCATTTTAAGATTATTTAATTGTGAGATGTTTTAACGATATCTGGTTATGTTATATTTATAATTATAATTTAAATTATAATAATACTAGTTTTTTAGTCATTGAACATTTAAAATACGTATGCCCAGTGACAGATTGCACAAAACTGCGGCACATTGACGTTTATTGATATTCGGAAATGTTCGGAGAATCTCGCAAGTATTGCATATAATGCAACAAAAATGAAATTCTCAAATTAAATATTTCCCGCGCGATGGATGTGCTGTTGGTAATGTAGAATTTTGGTTGAGTTAGCAGTTGGTAAAAAAATTAGCAATTTTGTAAAGGATGAGCAAAAGTTATTGTAATCATTGGAAAACGTTAAGTAAAAACCAAGCTTTAGCTTGGTCATCACGATAACTATTATATACGTGTATTATAAGTTTATTTCTTTGCTGTTTTAATACAATATAAAATTATCAAAATGTTTTTGAGTTTATATTTTAAACTAGTTGTGCTAATAATCGCCCAAAATGCTGGTATGTGACAAGATAACCTACAAGTTTATGACTCAAGATGTAATTAAATAATTATTGTTTGTTTTTCAGTATCAGCTGAACGAATAAAAGATATGATTTATATGTCAATCGATGGAGTAGCAGCATGTTTTCGTAGGCATAATGGAACACATCAGTTTGGTTGTTCCTGTAAGTATTATCTAATCTATGACATTTTCATTTTTAATGTAAAGGATTTTTAATGATTTATTTAAATACTTTCTTTTAGCATTACGAGGTGGAAGTGTTGGAGTAATTCAGCTTGTAGAAACATTTGATGATGTAAAATGGTTAGAAACAAATGCGACTGCTGGACCTTATACAATCGTTATTCCCTTTTCAATGTTCACAAAAGATGTTATGACTCGATTAGATGCAACGAATAATATCAATGGGGTTTTGATTACCAAAAATAGCACTGATGCACTTCCGTCCGATTATTCGCCAGAAGACACATGTCCAAATAGATATTCAAGCCATCAAAAATGTCCACAAAAGCCTTGGAATCCTTATGGAAATAGTTTTCTTTTGAAAGATTGGAAATTTCCAATGTTTTATATGGAGGTGAGACCTTATCATTTCTAAACTTTCTACACAATTAATTTATATAAACTCAACTAATTTATTTATTCAACCTTTCAGAACAATAATGAAGTATTGGAAGAAATTAAGAAGTGCTATTACAAATATAATGCTAATAATTTAGATGAGCAACATGAATATCCCTTGTGTGCTATTGAGATGCAGTCATTTATGTCATCTGCATTGAATTCTAAGACTTGTATTAGACGTAATAAACTGGTACTGTATATGAATCCAACAAGATTTTGTGATCCTTTGGGTGATTCCAATGTTCACTGGCCTTTAGCACCTTTAAGTAATGAAACAGAATCGATGATTTTAGTCACAGCAAGACTTGATGCTAGCTCTCAGTTTGATGGTATTGCACCTGGTGCTGATGCTACTGTAGCTGGCCTTGTTACTTTTATTGCAGCTGCTTATCATCTATATTCACTTAATGCTACCGTCAATCGTGAGTAGCTTATTTCAATCATTTATTAATAATGATGATTTCTTTATTCAATTTTTAGTAGAAATTAATATTAAATATATTTATTTCAGGTACCAATGTTTTATTTTCTTTGTTAAACGGTGAATCGTTTGATTACATTGGATCTAGTCGGTTTGTTTATGATCTCAAGAGAGGAAAGTTCAATGCTCTAGCAGGGAAAACCCTCAAACTTGAACAAATTAGTGCAATTATTGAATTAAATCAAATTGGTGGAGATAAACTTTATCTTCATGCTAAGAATTACGAACAAAATGAGTTGATAAAAAGTTTACAAAAATCTTTATCTCTTGAAAACATGACCTTACCGAACAGTATCCCTCCTACATCAGCTCAAACATTTCTCGCTGCTAAACCAGAACTTCCAGTAGCTGTGTTGACTAGTTATGGTGAACAGTTTGTTAATCCATTTTATGGAGGAATTTTGGATAATGCTGAACACCTAGGAATTTATCAGTAAGTTATTACCATTTTAACACATTTTTACTATTATCCATTTTTATATTTAAATCTTAACTCAGAGATAACACTGATAACAAAATTCAATTTCCTGTTGAGATTTTTAATTTTTATATCTTCTACAATATTTACTTATATATTAACTTCATACATTATTCATCTCTAATTGATAAAAATGATTAAATATATGTCATTGTAACTGCTTATTTTAATTCAGATAGATTTTTATAAAAGTGTTTAAAAAGTCATAATTAAGAATAAAAAAAATGATCAGCTATAAAATTTTATCGTCAAGTTTAGCAATTGTCTTTTCAAATATTATAGATATTTATTAATAGTTATCAGCTTGAGAGATTTCAATAAATTGACATCTGTTTTTAAAATAATTTTTATTTCCAGAAATAAGTAGTTGTAGTACTGGTATAGACATCAAGTGCAGTAACATTAAGATTGTAGATCAAAGTTGTTGGTAGAACGATTATGATCACATGTTTTAAAATTATACATGTGTGAAATAATTTTTTATTTTTTTCTTTTGAAATAACAGTAATTAAATTTCTAACCACCACAGTTAAGATACTCGAATAGAAGCTATAGTTGTAATCTCATAATGTTATTATGTTGTTAAATTATATTACATTATGTTTCAGAAAAGAAATAAACGCAACTTTGGCCAAGTTAGCGGTAAAACTTGGTGATGTCTTGTATGAACAAGTAACTGGTAAAAAATCACCAAGTGGAAATGTAACTAAAATAGAAGAATTAATATCTGAAATGTTATCGTGTTATTTGGAAACTGCTAAATGTAATTTGTTCCAAGCTGCATCCCCACCAGGTGCAAGTGATATTTTACCAGATCACTCATTTTCACTGTATGTTGGTGTAAGTGTACACCCCAATCTTGTCACAAGTCTTACAGGACAGCTGTTAGCATTACTCACAGGTGAAAAATTGCCTGAAATGACAGCACATGAGTGCAATGAACACAGACTTGCTTGGATGGGTGGATATAATTTATCAGGAATCTGTATCAATTCAACAGTTAATTATTCGTTAGCTCTTAGTCCAGCATTTACGATTAAAGGTAATGATTAGATCGATATACTGACAATTATTTTTTAAGAAATAAAATTGTATTAATCAGCTGAATTATCTTACTAAAAATAATAAAAATTACAGACTACAATTGGGAAAATGGTGGATATTCAACATGGACCGAATCTCTATGGACTACTCTCAGTGTCCGGATGTTCTTGAAACCATCAGCAGCGACTGAACGACTGACAATAACTTTAGGAAGTGTAGTAGCAGTTTTATCTTTTATTATTGTTTGGTTCATAAATTCACGAGCAGAAATTTTATTCGATCATACGGGAGCAACAGTTGATTGCTAGGAAAATGCCGCGGACCACATATCAATGGTAATATTGAATCATCGGCAGGATGACCATGTCCCAGTGACCAGTCTTTGATTGCGAGAAACAAATATTCGTGATTCAAATGTGTGGTACGCCCTCGGACATATCTTGATTTTTTCCATTCTTCACGCATAGTGCCTCTAGTTTGCTATCAGTGCATTCTAGACGTTCTATTGTGTAAGTTTGTGAGTGAAATATCAAAAAACTAAATCAGTTATTTTCTTTCATGTTGCACACACGAGTTTGTGACTAATTGAATGCGTGATTGTGTTACTTATTTTAGTTACAAGTGAAATATTATTGACGCTCATTAAATTAAATTGATGCATTTTTTAAATATTAATTCAGGGTAAAATAAGTAAAATAATTTTTAGTATATGTATTACTTGTAATGTAATATAATTAATTAATTCATTCATTAATAAGTTATTAACACAGAAATAATTTAAGTTTAGATGTACAGTAAAATCATCAGGATTTTTTTAAACATTACTGTATAACTCATGGTATAAAATCGTTATTTATTAATTATATTAATTAATTATTATTAAAATGGTAACCATTTTTTGATATTTATACTTGTATTTATTTTTATCCTCATTCAAGAAAATATCAGATAAACAATAGATCATCAAATGCAATTGTTGGTCTGTTTACTTAAAATAAATAATTAAATATCAGTACATTGAATTCAACTGACAAGCTTACATTAAGAAAAAAAAGAACACTGGATTTATTATTGCAAGCGTGATGGCATTTATTATCAATAAACTTAATTAACAGGGCGTAGATGTACACGAGAGAGAAATAATCAATTCATTCGCGCATATTTTATTTATTTGTTTCAGTACGCGATATATTTATCGTAGCTATGTATTACTTTTTATTTTATATCTTATCTCTAAATTTTTTTTTTTATTTCCAATCAAAGTGGGAATGATACGAGCATTTTTTCAAGCACCTGCTGTCACTTTAACAACATATGAATTAATGCATAGCATAATAGGAAGACAAATGTAATAATAAATATTTTAATAATTAAATAATGTAACAATTCATTCGAATTAAATCTAAACTACTTTTCAAAAAAAAAAAAAAATATCATTTAATGGCTAATTGTTACAAAAACATAAATAATGTATTTAGTATATAACCATCATTCCAACTTTGATTTGACATTATCAACATCCTCGCAAAATTAAACAATTTCTATTGAAATAATGCACGCTTAGTTAATTATTTATTCCACATTATTTAAAAGTTAAAGTACGCGTACCCAAAGGCAAATATTTTGAAATTTAAATTTAAGATTTAGAAGTTAAAATTTTTCCTTTTTTTTTTTTTCTATGCGTGCGTTAATTGGATACATTTTTTTGTAACATTGTTATTTTTTTATATCAGTCAACGCCGTGCATGCGACGTGCATTGTACGATTCTACTTAAACAATGAATGTTTTATTTTATTATACATTCATCTACGCGTTTTTTTTTGTAATTTGTCAGTGTTCATAATTTGTTCTATTTTGTATCAAGTGTCTTGCAGATATTTCTTATTCTTTTTTGATGTATGCAAGTTATGAATTTAATTGGGAGGCTGGGCACCGCCCACCGAGCTATCACAGTCGTCTGGTGCCGCAGCACATACGTATACGTGAATCAGCCTTAAAAACTACATTTCTTACACATTAACATTTGCTATTAATTGCAAAATTCACTTGAGCTCAGTACAGACACGCCACAGGTTTTACCTATTATTTATTTTTTTTTCTTCATAACTTAATTTACAAAAGATCAAACAAATAAAATTTCGTTGTCATTATACAGTTTATCATCTTTTATTTGTCATTTTATGAAACACTACAAAGTAGCTGCCTTTAATTAAAAAATAGTATTTTATTTATTATGAAAGAAATTTACCTTTTTTTTTTCTAACGTAAAATACTCTAATCATTGCACAACTTTATTTTCTATTTAATTTCAAATACATTTATTGGAAGTTTAATTTCTAATAGTACTCCAAAACCTAGATGAAGGTAAAATTGTTTAATTGAACCAATCAAATATTGAGAACTAAATAATTGTTTTTTATCAAAAGTTTCAATAATGATAATCAATATTACATTAATTAAAGATCATCCACTCAAAACAATAAACCATAATTTGGAATTAATTGAAATTCGAATAATTATGAACTGAATTTTCATCTTAATTATATGGATTTCAATTGACTATGAATAATTAATTAATTTTATAATAAATTTATAAATAATATTATGTTAACGATCATAGAATATTCATTTGTATTAATGAACAACATTTATTTAATATCTTTAAAATATTTTACATAAACGAAAAAAAAGAATAATTATCATTTGAAATAATAATGTTTCAATTAATAAGTGAATAAGGTTAATAACAAAATTATAACTACTAATAGTAATTATAAATTACCATTAGGTAAAAATTAAATGAAAAAAATTATAATTAATTATTAACACGTAAGAGGTTTGTATTTATTGGTCCAATTAAGACAACTTTCCCGAACAAATGAATCTTACAAATGAATAATGCATTAATTTTATTTCCATTCAATCTTTATCGGCTTTAATAATGAGTTTAAACTCTTATCAGAGGAAGATTGTAAATTGCAAGCGCACTCGAGTTGAGTAGTGAACGGAAGTGAAATCATGTGTTGGACGGAACTCTCATATATATGCGAAGACAAAATGAATAGTTTTAGCATGGAAGCTCTCTACTCCATTAAAACACTCGAGTGTTGATAGTTGTTATGGTAAAATATTCACCAAGTATCTGAGATTATCGTATGGTAAGAAATTAACGTAATAAAACATAACGATCGTATGCAGACAGCAGTTTCTATATAAGATGTACGTAAATATTATTAATTCTTATACTCTACAAGTGGCGTGTACGTATGTCATGTCAAAAAGATGTTGAATTACAAGGAAGAAGGTAATATATTATATAATAAATGTGTATGTAATTTGTCATTTATGTTAATCATTTTGTTTTTTTTTTTTTTCCTTTTTAGTCTTAAAAATCATTATTAATAAGTTTTATTTTATTATTTTTTTTTAAATATAATTTTAATAACTGCTCAGTATAGTATATGTACAGCAGTACCGAGGCCCATTAGCTGCGGCACATGCACAGAGACGACACTTAGAGTTTAAAAATATAATCGTTATATATTTTAATTTAAGAAGTGTTATATTATTAATATTATTATTATCATTATCGTTAATAATTAATATTAATATTATTATTAATTTTATTGTTATTATCATTATCTTGGAGGGACAGCACTTTGCGTCACGACGATGCAGAGCTGAAAAAGACTACGTGTAAAAGTTACCACACTCTCTGATGGCACATTGTATTATTTATCACTTATGTTATTTATATTTATAAATTCAATCCATTTTACTCCAACAAATCTCATTATTTATAATTAATTATTCAATTATCTCACACTATTTCAAAAGAATTATTTATAAAATCATTAATTGACGTAATTTAGATAATAAATTTCATGAAAATTGATATACAATTTAATAATGTTTTCTTTTTTTTTTGTATTAATTGATAAATTAATAAAAATATTGAGAATAATGAAAGTAATTTAGTCAATGATTTGATGATAACTGGTAATTTATCATCATATAAGAGAATTTGTTTTTAAGTAAAACATGAATTTTTGACTGATATTTGATTAACTAAATAATTATGACTCGTTTCAGTCTGTAAAAAAAATTTAATAAACTTTGATTTAAGTGTCATTGACAGCCGGCACGAGAGCGTGATAACTCCAAGCCACGTATCCCTGATATTCGCGTGATTAATTACGTATTTGACAGTTAAAGCGTTATCTAACCTCGGAAACCTTAATACTGTAGTGAGCAACTGGGTTCGAAGGTACCGTAGAGAGGTTGTCGACATAATAATTAACGGCAAAGGTCAGTGGAGATCATCCTCATCACTTTCATTGCCGTCTTTAGATCTGTCAGCACCTCCATCACCGTCGCTAGAACCTGAGTCGCTTCCTGAATCTTCTGACTGCCAACCGCCTGGTTGTGGTTGTGACTGCTGATGCTGCTGTTGCTGCATTTGATGTTGCGGTTGTACAACGTGTTTCATCACTTTATGTCTTTTACTACTACGAGGTAGTGCTTCAGCACCTGCTCCATCCAACATTGGTTGTAAAATTCGCCGACGTGCGTTGATGAACCAGTTATTCACTTGAAGTAACGTTAAATTTGTTTGAGTGGCAATCTGACGCTTTTCATCATCTGTTGGATACGGGTGCTAAAAGTAATTAATTTATCATTAATAGTTAACCGAAAAATTCTTAAGAATATTAAATAACCAATGCTTCTTTAAATCAGTTCAAGTATTTGAAACATTTCACTTTTATCTCTGCATAAATTAATTATCTTACTTAGAATAATTAATGACGTTGCTCATCTACCAACCGGTAAAAAATTGTAAGCATTTATTTAACAGAAAAAAAAACCCGTTGTGATAATAATTAAAAGGAATGACTTGAAAAATTGGTTAAGATCTTAATTAAAGGCCGTAGTTAAATGAAGTACCATTGAGTTGAATAAATTGAGTAAAATTTTTTAAATGAAATAAAAGCTAGTGAGCTAATTAAATAGAACAAAAAATAATACAAATAAAATGAATGAGAAAATTTTTGTTTACTTACGACTATGTGTTGAAAGAGCCATGCGCGCATTATGCTTGTGGCTTGTTTCGGTAGCACACCCCTTTTTTGTCTTCCTTTACGAATCCCGCCATTACCACTGTTGTGACTTGAAGGAGCTGTTCCACATCCCTCATCTTCATCCTCACTAGGGGCTGGTGAAGGCGAGCCTGGAACTGTAATATCTACAAAACATTATCCCATTGACAACATAGAAATATTAGTTTCTTAATAATTATTTGATAATAAAAAATCAACAATGATTAATAAAGTAAAACTTTTCGATATTAAAAAGTCAGTAATAAAGCTGAGGATTTTTTTTTTAATACGAATGACAAATTTTTAGAAAAAAGGAAGGATCTCTAACCAAGATATTTTTCATAATTTGTATGACAAACGTCTCCATATTCATTTTCGCGTTCTTGTAAAGGTATGAGTCCCCAATATCCAACGTCTTCGACGTATATTCTATCACCAAGGTACACATCATTATCAATTAGGGGATCTGATAAAGGATCAGTGAGTGGATCTAGGGAAATTTAACAAAATTAAGTTAAAAAGGAGGTTTGAAGTCGTTATAAAAAAACAGAATCATCAAGAAAAAATATAAAATTATTTAACCAAATAATTCAATTTATTTTAAGTCATTAAAAAGAATTTATCACTTTTATAAGATCACTTTACTATATTTGATATCCAAGTGAACAGTAAACTTTTTTATTATCCTAATAAAAATTAGCAGCAATAAAATTTTATAAATATTTGTTCATTAAAAAATTCTTTCTTTAAAAAATTAATTCTCTCAGCAATTTATAATTATTACTACGAATAAACGTATTAATTGCAATTAAGTAATAAATAAAATCAATTAAACCATCATTAAACCCAAATTTAGAAAAATTGTGTTGCTTACAACATACTTAAATTAATTAACCATCAGTTATCCTGCACTTTCAAATTCACATTCTCCAGTGCAGCAATAAATCAGGCTCTTTCCAATAAATAATGAAAAAACATGATCTCACCTTGACCAAGATAAATATCATTAACAGATGCACAAGGATGCGCTCCAATTTGTGAAAGAGGTGTGCTGCCATGAATATTAGACGGTGACAGAGGATCATCTTGATCCTGACTGTCGGATCGAATGGAACGTTGAGCAACAGAGGATGATCTAGCTGAAGAAGGCCTCTCGACAATTCCTTCAACCTGGACCATATCCTGGCTCGTGCTGCCGTTGTCCGACAGCGTATCTCCTCTGCTCACTCCGAGTCCGTTAGTTCCCGGCTCAACATCATTGCCTGTAGATGACAGCACCTGGCAAATATATGTCGTATCTAACCGTCAGAGAGCAGGGGTGGGATTCTATTGTATCTTAAGAGGTGTACAAGTACCTACTCTATTAATGTAACTTTAAATTCAATCTCCTTGTAATCCATTCACTTTCAATCTACGATTATTAGTTAATTAATCAACCACTAAATACTTGGGTTAATAATTGACAAATCACCGAAACTAATTACCCCCCCGATAAATTGACAGGAATGTTGAATGAAGTGATAATAAAATACACAGATTAAGCAAAAGGTGAAAAGAGATAAGCTACAAATGTTAGATCTGAATAGTTGAATAATTACTTTAGGCTTTCATACACCTCTTTGCACTAGAGGGATGTCTAAATAGGTTTAAAGGATCAAAGGTTTGTACCCCGAGCAAGATAAAACAGCTAACCTGTAATGGGCTGCTGCCATTGCTTCCACTTGATGGACCCATATCGTGCCCATGATGACTGTAGTCGCTTCGTAATAAATTTTCGCTCTGCATTTTCCCCTTTAGACAACCAATATACCTGTTGCAAAAGTCTTTGCACAATTCCTGAACCTTTTCCAACTCCAATAAATGAATTCTCAGAACTTGAATAGCCTTTATCATCTAAAACAAATAGTTTGTTTTATCGTTAGCCAGTTGTTTTCTGAATACCGTTTTCATTTGTTTCCTTTATATTTTATTTCTACAAGTTTCAAATTCAATACAAAATTCTATTTTATATTTGATTGTTTTTAAAATTGTTTGATAGTAACTTCTATTGAAAATTTTCATGAATAAATTTATCATAATAACATCTTTATAATAATAATCTACTATTGTATTCTATGTGATGAACAGTTTCATATAATAATGATTGCTCTCTAATTGACTTTTCATAAAACTAATTAGAAACCCTGATGAATATAAACTATTGTCATCAATTAATTAAAGTCTGTTTTCAATTTAATTAGATTGAAATATCCAAGTTGATTGCAATAATTGAAATATTTAATTATGATACTTCTAAAAAATCTTTTTAGGAAATTAATCAAAAAATGAATTTGAAAAATAATCAATTGAATAAACCTGTTAGAGCGAAAACTTGAATTAATCACTCATTTAGAGTTTCATTATTTTGTATTAAAAAAGGCATTCATTTAAGTAATCAACAAAGTTTAGTTGATTTGCTGCTTACCAAACCGTCAATCTCTGGGTCATTTATTAAGAAAGGTTTTCGGTCTCTTTCTTGGTGTTGGACAAAAGCCTGAATATCCATGTTGAAACTTTCGGACGTTGAATTGTCGGAACTTTGCGTTGCTTGTTCGCATCTTTCAAAAAGTAACGCCAGCAAGGGAAAAAGTGGATGTTTATAAACAGCTCTTTTATCAGCTTCAAATTGTGCTTGGTCTTGGTGAGTTGTATAGTCGGCTACCCCGCTTGCAGGGTCCTGATCATAGCCAGGAGTCACCATTGCTAGCGCCACGGCGGTGCTACCCTCTTGCATCCTATCATTCCTCCGTTACAGACTCCATCGTGTTTTACCAGCCACCACTTGAGAGGCTTTAGCTTGAGTTCGAGACTCTCCCTCACAATCTACTGCTCCTTCACTGCCTTATCCCTCTTTCCTAGAAAATATAAAAGTATATAAAACATCAGATCAATACACTCTAAAAGTATCTACATTCATATTTTACAATGTACATAGCAGAGTTTTTTGCTTTGATTACATTTTTGTTGAATAAAAAGTTTTCTTGAAATATGAGATGAAAAGATTGATGGAGGTGAGGATTTTTTAAACAAATTAATTTGAAATAACCATAGCTTTTTCTAATTCAGTAAAAAAGTACTTGGATATATAATGAAATATTTTGTTGTTAATTAATTGATAATGGAAGGACAAAGTTTGTTAGTTAAAATATAAAAAGAGAATATTTTATTTAAATAATTCAAATTCATTTTGGTTTCAATTATTAACTATTTCCTACAATAAAAATATATTTTATTGGTTGAAATAAATTTCATTTCGAAAAGCAGTTATTTGTAAACTCTAGGATTATAAAATTTTATTTGCTGTTTTATCTTTTTCCAAATACTTCAATAATCTATATTTCTATTTTTTCATTAAGCTATACTGAAATATCCAGATGTCACAAGTTCAACTTTAGTTTAAAATTAATTTTACCAAAAAAATATTTTTATTTCTCTTTCTATGTCTGAAGTATATCATGTAATATTCCGTAAATACATCCTCTATATGAATCTCTAACCCAAGCAATACATAAAGCAATATTTTATTTATCTTAGTTTTACTGCCAATAAAAATACATCAACATAAGACTACATTTACGTAGGTCATAATGTCTAACAACTATTGCTTTTTTCCCGGGCATTTTCGTTGCGAAAGTGGCCTTAACTTTCAGAACAAGGATCGGCATACCGCGAAGCACCCGAACAAGCGCCACTGCATTTAAATGTCATCATTAGGCGGCCTTCGCCAGTATAACGCGACTGGCGTCGTCGACTTGCTTCTTCTTTCCTTTTTCCTCACGCGTCATACTGCATGTCGAGCAATTCTTCGTGTCGTCTCTTTGAATTTCCAAACCCCTGGGAATACTATCCGACCTCGTTGCCTTCACCACCACCACCACCACCACCACCATCACCACCCTCTAGCTTTACACACACTCTATAGGGATCTGAACTCGCGCGATTCTACATGAATAAATAAAATACTGCGGTATGAAGCAAAAAAATTTCATAAATAATAATTAAATAAAAAATAAATGAAAAAATCAATCATAGAAAAGATAATGAATTATTCAGTTGAGTGCAGTTACTAAAAATGCAGAATGTCATTCAAAGTATCTGAGTAATTTTAGTTTTTTTTTTTTTCACTTTAAGTATATTGTATGATAAAGTGCAGTTATTACTTACATGAAATTTTATTTTAATTTATTATGATTATATTTATTCATTACTTTTTCAATCTTAGCTGAAAATAGAATTTTACTCCAAAATCTGCTTCAATTTCATTTTATCAGCAAAATCGTTTTTAGTGTAATTTAATTTTTTTTTGCTACAAAAGATTATGATTTTAACTACTTTATTTATCTTTTTATAATCAATTAAATCTTTTTTTATCCATTAAATGATTTAATTATAAATAGATACATGGATAATAAATATTTAAAAATAATTGTAACCTTCAAATAATACAAAAGTACAATTTTATTTAAAATACTTTCGATAATCAGCTTAACTAATTATTCCTAAGCAATCGAGTTTTTTATAAATTATAAAAAAAATCTTGACACTAAAAAATTACCTTTACTTTATTCTTTTAATTTTTGGAGTACTTTTATTTTATCCTAATTTTCCCGAAATTTTGATTAAAAAATTATTTTATTTAATATCGAAAACCCATGAAAATATTCACGTAATGGAAAAAAATTAAAATAATAATTACCATAAAAAAGAAAGAAAATTTTTTTAGCCTGCATCACTTGCAAGTCAAACGCGAAATAGAGACTCGGAGTAAATGCGATCAACATTCTTTTCTATGCATAATCATTGTCGAAACGGAGCGGAACGGTGCGATTTACTTAATCGTTCCCTCGACGTGTTTCATTAACATTTCAAAACTCTCACAAACACGGTCATTATCATTTTATAGGGATGATCGGTTCTTGTTTTCGTTATTCGACAGGTAGACTATCATATAGAAGCCATCAAAAAATAAAGCCTATTGGAGACTCATTAATTGAGCCACTTATCGATCTAAAAGTTGAAAACTTTGAGTATCTAAAATTACATAAAAGTTATGTAATTACTTGTTATTAGCAATTAATTAAGTGGCGGTATCGATGAAATTCCTATTAATCATAAAGATGTCGGTATAGTTTGAGTATCACAAAATCATGGTTAATATTACTTGCACGAACTTGAGGTCACGGTTTGTAGGAAAGTCATTTTTCTACGGGCAACAAACTTCTTTGCAAGCGTGCGAGAGTACTTGTTCCTTTATCGGGTTGTACCCGCTGCAACTCGCATTAATGAAACGCCTGGCGCGCGACGTGGTTACAAAGAACGATTAACTTATTCCAGTGATTAAACTTGCTTAACTTGCAACTCTCAAAATACGATAACAACTTTCGTCATTTTTAATACATACATATCAACTTTTTACCTTCAATTCTTTCATTTACTCAAATTACCATTTTTTATTATACCATTCTATATTAACAACAATATCTTATCAACAAACAAAAATAATTCGTTTGTGTACAAAAAAAAACAATCACTAAAATAAAATATTATTTTTATTATCAATTATAAAATATTTAAATTATTTATTACTTATTAATATTAATGATAAATAAACAAGAATAATAATAATAATAAAAATGAGAATTTTATTTGTATTTTTCTTTTTATTATAAAAAATAAATGAGCAAGATATTTATTTATTAACATTGAAGTTCCTAGAGTACTTGTGGTAAGTAATAGTGGGTTTAACATAATGCTCTACGTACAATGAACTCAATTTTAATAATAATAATAATAATTTATTAATTGTATACCCAACTGAGCTTTCAGAGAGTAAATAATATAAGTAAAGTACAAACCTTAATTTTAATAACTCAAATAATTAAAATGAAAGTTTTAAATGATCATTAATAAATATTTAAATGACTTTTTTTGTTTAGCACATGTATAATGCATGATTTACATTATTAATGTTAATAAATCAAATTTAACTTGTTCGTTAAAATAATTTTATTTAATAATACTTCTTTATAAATACAGTAAAAATAATAAATTCTATTAATCTAATCAAAATAATTAATAATAATTTTTACCTAATATCTAATATACTTTTTAATTAAAATAAATTAAAGTAATTATTACTGCGATTTATTCATCATTTATATAAAAAGTCAGTTATTTTTTATACTATAAACACAATATTTATTTTGTTTATATAAAAAAAGAATCATTAGTAAAAAAATCAATATAAATGAAAAATCTACGTAATAAATTGTTTATTATCAAATGAATGATTATTAATAAAATAGTTATTTCAAATCATTAGTACCACACTGTAAATTTCAGTTTTCCAAAATGCATTATTTTAATGTGGATAAGTGTGTTAAATATGACGTCATTCATTTAATTAACATTGTAGTCACTTTTTACACACTTAAATTTGCGTTAAAAGTGACTACAATTTTAATCAAATGGGTGACGTCATATTTAACACACTTATCCACATTAAAATAATGCATTTTGGAAAACTGAGATTTACAATGATTGAAAGAAAAAAAAAACTCAATCATCTATAAAATTTAAATAAAATTCGTAAGTTATTGAAAGATGAAAAAATTGCAGAGTCAAGTGAAAAGGACATTATGAACTAGAGAAAGAGGAAGGATATATATGTATATGTATGTATGTATATAAAAGGAAAGGGTGTACGACGCCATTACTCGCAAGTGGCGCTTGCCGAGCACATCTTTCCGACGAACCCGATATTTATCGTCGCAACGTCGCATGCCGGTTCGCCGTTTTCATTTAAAAATATTATCGCTGACGGCAAGGATACTTTGGTCAGTTTTTTGCTTCCATACGCTGTATCTACTTCTTTGACTTTTCGTACTTTAATACGAAAGAAGAGAGAAAAGCATACGGTAACATATAGAAGTATAAAATATATATAGAGAAAATGAAAAACCATACATACACTCGAAAGAAACTTTTCGCTTGAATCTCTTTTCTCTCTCTCTCTCTTATCCTTTCCACCTCTTTTTATACTCTTTATTCTCTCTTTTTTGGCTTCAACTGTTCACCCATAGACCACGTAGTCCACCCCATTCCACCACATATAATATTGCTTTTGGATTCTTCGAGACCGCGGGTATTTTGACGCAGCTGTTGCCGAAAGAACTAACGAACTAAGAGATTTTCTACGACCATTAAATTAAGGCTTTACCATTTTTAAATACAAGATTAACGTAATGGCAAAGATTAACTATTAAATGCAAGTCTATAGAAAATTACTTTTTAAACTTTCTATCCATTTTGATAGATAAAATTTTCTTTTATTATTTTACTTCTTTCTTTTTACAAATGATTTATAGAAAATCATTATCATATGATTTATCTTGTAGTTAATAAAATTATAAAGCTATTTTTATTCAATTTCAACATCTGAAAACTTAAACGTTAAAAATAGCAAAAATTACTAATAATAACTTTCCTGCATGATAATTTTAGAATTAATAAAGTTCATGTTGAAGATATAATATAATTTTAAAATAATTAAATTTAATTTTTTTTCGAAAAAAGTTTATATTTAAAAAGGGGATTTAATTTAATCAAAAGAAACTTTAGATTTATTTTTAAAATCAAAATATTCTTTTGTTCAAATAAGAAGAAAAATAAAATCATCAATAACTCATTTAAATAATTAATATAATCAATAGAATACTTATATTACTGTTAGTAAAGATATTCTTTCAACTTTAAAACTTTCAATTTTTATTCTTACACGTTTTATTTCGTCTTCAAAAATAAAAGAAATATTTCTGGTTTAAAAACGAGTTGTAATATAACAAATTGAATGACAAAAACTTATTATATTAAACCGGAATCATTGAAAGATTGAATAAAAGACTATTGTATTAAATTATAAATATTTATTTAATAATTCTCTGTATCTCATTTAATTGTATTTTATTTCAACTTAATTTAAAATTGAAAAATTTTATTTAAAAAATATATAAAAAATAATAATAAATAAATAAACTCTTTAAAAGGTATCACTAATATAAAAATGTTTAAAAAAAAGTCATCAACTATTATAAATTATCCCTGGACACACGCGACAACAGTCTAATAATGAGTATCACCGGTGTGGGAAACACCTGTCTGATTAGATTGTCCTGAGCACGCACGTTAAAAGTCAATACTTATAATTGCTGATCAAGTGATCAACTTGTATTGTATCCACTTTTTCAAACAAATATCAAGTCATTAAAATAAAAACGGTTGAATTACTGGCAATAATAATAATACGATAAAATTTTTATAAATAAGAACAGTAATAACACCAATAATTAAATTGAAATATGATTGAATAATGAGAATTATTTAACATTTAAAATGCAACATGAGATAAAATGATATAAAATTATTTCATTAAAACCTGTAAAGTGATAACAGTACTTTTATTACATAAAAAATACTCAACATTTATTGTCGAGTATTAAATGGTTTTAAATTCAATATAATTCTTTATGAATTGTTTTTTTTTTTTTTTAATCCTTATAGTTTTTTTTAATAAACTTTAAAATTATTTTATTTATTCTTAAGTATAAATTTTCATTGATAGAAACTTTTTTTTTTTCGTTCGTTTAAAATTTTGATTAAATTAAAATATAAACTATTTTAGAATTTAATCTTGATTAAAACCAGTAAAACTTTTATCTGCCTAAATAAAAAGTTTCCAGAATACTGTATTAAACTCTCTAGCCAGAAACATTGATTCTGCAAACCTTAGTCACTAGATTTCTCTTCATAATATGTATCACAATATCCTTATAAAAATCGTTTACAAAATAAATCTATACTCAATTGAAACTCTCATTTACATAATAATTCAGAACTCTCTTACTAATAAAAGTTGAATTAAATCCAAGAGATTGGAATCAACTATTACATTTATCTATAACCTAAAAATCCAAACTCAAGGATAACAATTTTCAATCTAGTTCTACGAGACAGAAAGATTAATTTGATTGATCGAGACACTTACCATATAACTCATAATACTTAATTTTTTTTTTTTGCAATAAATATAAAAAGTATTATTTATTGTCAGTATATTAATCAAACTCTACTATTTCACAACTATATCACCATAATAATATTCAATTATTTCACATTACATCAACGGTTGATTTTTATTTTTTTGACTCCAAATTTTCCAAAGTATTTTTCGTTTTATTTTTTTGATAGATGTGACTTTTGATAAATATAATTAGAGAAGAATTGATGTGACTGAGTATTAAGAAAGTCGATCGATAGTTAACCACGTGCTGTGTAATTTGAACTGAAGATACACACGACGCGATGAAGAACGTGAACAATGGTGTTTACGATCTGTCAGACTCGTCCAACTCGTCGGATCCTCCCCCCAAATTCCACCACTACTTCACAGAACACCTTCAATACTACACACCACCACTACTACTATTGTAACTGGAAAACTACCACTACTGGAGAACATATAGCAGGTACTAGTACGTGATGTTGAATGCGTGAACACTCCCCCACGAATGGCTGTCGATTTTTCACACTGCCCGTTGGCCTGTCACTCGCACGTCAATAATGCTTACACATTTCGTCCTGGTATCTCTTTCTGTCTCGCCGCTGATGCTTCACTTTATTCCCCCTCTATATCTGCCGCACTGCTATCTCTTTCACGCCAGGACAATCATTTTTGCGGGGACGATAGGGAGGCGCCGTCAAACTGGACGGGGTCACACATACATTCTTACACTTTTGCTTCAACTCACTAGTATCGATACTTTTGCCTTCACTAACACTTTTACCAACTCAATTTTCGTGTGTTCTCGCTTTCACGATCTGCGCAGTCTCGCTACTGAAATTTATATTTCACTCGAAACGAAAGAATTTCGTACAAAAAAAATTACGTATTCTCTTTTTATTTTGGCAATCATTATTTTTGATGATTTACTTATTGTATAACTTTATTTATTTTATTTGGAGTCGTTTTTTTTTTTTTTCTTTTTTTGTTGGAGCAGTAATTACTGATAAATATTTCAGAGAGTATTTATTCTCAGAAATTAATCAGAAAAATTTATATTTGATTTTTTTGATGATAATTTTCAAGTACAAAAACTATTCTATCGTTTGAGAGTAATATAATTTATGTTTATTGGTGATTTTATTTATTTATTATTAGTTTAAAACTTTATTTGAATTACAAATGATTTAAGAAGAATCTCTAAAATTTAATGATAATCAGAAAGAAAAAAATTCTTTAAAATGACCTAAAAATTCTATATTTCATTTGCTCACATATTTTTCTATTTACGTATATATTTTTATCACATCAATCAATAAATATATATTCTTCATGAATAATAATAATCTTCCTTTATTTTCACAACAACAACAACAACTGAAATGTTAGGAAATTAATCAATTAATTCCATTAAGAATTGAAGAAGAAATTATTCCTTAATGAAATTTCTTTGTCAGAAATATTCGAAATATTTTTCTTTCAGATGTAGTTCAGTTGTTGATGGTAATATCCAAGTACTAAACATTTGGAGGGGATTAAGATAAGAAATTTTATTGACGAAAAATTAATTCACAAAAAATATTCAGTCAATATACCCGAAACCCATACCAAAATAAACTCAATCAATATTGATAATTCGATTGTGCTCGGAAAAATATTGAATCATAAATTCACGAGAAAATTTTTCGTAATTTTATTACGTTAACTCATTGTGATGAATAATGGAGATATGAAACAATAAATGATGTCACAATGAATACTACAGTTAACGGAATTTTAATCAGAGGAATCATTTTTTGTCGCTAAATTAATCCCATTCAATATAATTAATTGATTAACAATAACAATTTATTTCAACATTAATCAAAAAAAAAACGTTATTACTTGTATTATTAATTGTTTGAATTTTAAAAAATTATTACACGAAATTTATGGCTTTTTTAACCTCATATTTTTCTTATAAATTTCATTTTAAAATAATAAATCATTAATTATTGAAAGATATTTGCTTTTTTTAGTAGTATGATTGAAAGACTTTAAATAAATAATAATATAAATTATCAGAGTCAATATTTATATAACATTATTTACTTTGTCTTTAATTTCACACTTTTGATATATAAATCAAAATTTCATCACAACTATGATCTATTCGATATGATTCATTACGTTAGAAAGCGCAAGCTCAATGAATTTACGCATCCTCGTGAGTAATCTGTGAATTTCAGACAAGCGGCGCTTAATTACCCAATTGACTGTGTAGAATGCATAAACCTAAATTAGTAAATATGTATAATAGATACATACGTAGACGATGCGCAACGAGTCGCGCAATCGTTGCTTCAATTTTCCCCGGTCCGAATTGCATTATCGATTGCGAATCACAAGCTTCATCTCACAACGCTTTCATACGTTTATTTATCACGTTCAAATATTTATATATTCATTACCATGATTTACTATTTATTTTTTTTTTCCAATCTTTCGATTTATATTCCATTTTTTCTCGATCAAATCTTATCGATACACAACAAGTCTTGATATTTTTCTATGACAACATAAATAATTGAATAATATTATAATAAATTTTAAGAATATGTCAACTAATGTATTAATTTTACTGATAAAAATTCATTAAAATACATGAATGAAAAATATCTTTCTGTTTACATTAAATATAAAGCATACCAATATGAATAACTCAAAGTCTATATGTTAGGTATCGAAAAGATAAGTAAGACCTGAAAAAACAAACAACTTAAAACTGCACCAGATACCATAGAAGTGTTCATCAATCCTATTTATCTAATCTTTTTATAGTTAAATGGTATCAGTTCTTCATGTCGCGTCATCACTTTTGGTGATAGACAATAGATCAAATTACATTGATATTATACAACAACGTATATGTAATAACTAAAGGCTAACTCAAAGTTATAATTGTTTACAATTATGTTGATTGTTAATAAGTAGCCATGTGTTTATTTTGTACAATTTTAATTTTCTCTTATTCTTATAATTTTATAATTATTGAGCTTATTTCTTGTTGATAACATAATAAGCTCATGCCTCGAGGACTTCTTAAGCTTATTTGAACTTTTTGTAACAATAACAAACTCCAAGTCCGATAACCTCTAAAACTTGCCAACTTCGTAATATTCACGTTGAATTATAATCTAAATTTAATTGAAATTATGACTATTTAATACTTTGTTATACATTTGGTGACATAAAACTTCTAAAATGATGTACAGATAGAAAGTTTTTCACTCATATCTGCACATGAGAAAAAGCTCCTCAAGACCTAACCTCAACATCTAATGAATTGATGGTAAGATCTCGTGTTATTGGTACGAATATCAAGGAAGCCGGGAATCATTCATATTTACCTGAATGTTGTTATTTTGGAGTATCAAATAGAAGCTATTGAATCTCTTCAATCACCGATATTTACTTTACAAAAAAATTTGTTTAATTCAATCTTTTAATTCTTCTCTTACTTTAATTCTACAGATCTGTGGATTCTCAACTCCTCCCAAATATATACGCAATCGTTTTACTTGGAATCACTTATATTTTATATCTGGAAACAACCACGTGTAGACGAATGAGATAATGAGAAGGCAGATAAACAATAAGCGTGTCACGAGATCAGCAGTTGAATCACGTTCGCGTCTTTACAACTCAACTCTATTTACGTCGACAATAAATTAATATAATTGCAACATTTTTCAACGCGCGGCCTCCGTACAACCCGACCAACCTCTCCTTCTACTGTCTCATCTTTTGTGACGTCACCGATTCAATACTTTTCGTATCTGAGCTTATAATACGCAACATGCTGAATTGAAAAAACAAGATGGCGACACTTACATTAATTATTACCGTCGGTAATATCAATGCATTCCCCAAAAAAAATCCTTTTTACCGACAGTGAATTTGTTGTTTATCAACAGTAAGTACAAACGCGGGAAAGTGAATATTTTTTCTAAACAATTGTTGTGAAATATTTTGTTATTTAAATTATGTCTAAATTTAAAGGTTTTTAAATTTTTTCCTATTTTTAAATAGTTATCTGTAAGTTATTAAATCTAGACTAATTAAATTTGAAGAAAGTTCGAAAATATCTGAGACATACAATTTATTTTTAATTGTAATTTCTTGGAAATCATTAATCATTTGATTCTAGATAATCTCTTATAAAGGACTAAAGCATTGTTTCGGAGTACATAAATCACCTTTATGTGGCCACCTTTATGACTAATTCTTAATCATTCAGTATCTTATCACGGAGTAACGTTATCTTTCGTCAACTACGATATGAGTGAATCTGTTCACACTCACGAGGATACATTAGAAGAAAAGTTGTACAAAAATAGTAGACTTTAAAAAAAATGTACCGTTGTTTTCTTATTGCAGTCGTGATTCTTTTCACAACTGCGTTTTGTGATGCTTTAAGTGTAAATAGTGGAAGTGTAAGTAGTCCTAATGATACATCTACTTCTGGAGATACCCCAAAACTTCACATTTGTGATATTTGTCAGTGTACAGGTATGTTTTCATGTCAAAAAATATTTACATGTCTTTCTCTACCAAATAACTGTTGAATGTTTTTCTTATTGACTTGAAAAAATGAATTGTTGGCATGAGAAGCTATTGAATCAGTTTATAAGGTATTTATTGATTGATACTTGTACCTATGACAATATCTTTTGCTTCAGCTGACACAGTAAACTGTTCCGGTCGTCAATTAGGCCATCACTTTGAGAACAGTTTGTGGCCTGTAACTCCATTGCAGCTCGTAACTTTTGAAGACAATTCTATTGTGCACCTCAAACCTTTCCCTAATGTCACCATCAATAAACTAATCCTGCGTTACAATAAAATTAATAAAATTGATGATAAAATTTTCAAGGAAATACGAAATTTATCTCAAATTGATTTAAGCCATAATCTTATTTCTTCTGATGTACTTAAACCAGAAACTTTTCAGGTATTTATGATGATAATTTTTTGTCTTTTTATTTAATGATAAATTTAAGTCAACAGAAACTGCTTTCATAAGATTAGTTTAGCGATTCTTTCATGTTGATATTTGTACGTGGAAAAAAATATTGATAACGAATGTATTTTAAAATACATGATAGCTCAATTACTGTACTTTCAATTAATTGATAAATCTATTTTTTTAGGGAAGTTTTTCAGAAACAGAGTGGAATCCACTACCAAATTTAAAAGTACTAAATCTGGGACATAATGAACTTCACTCTTTGAATCAAGATTTATTTGTTCACATACGTGATCTAGAAGTTTTAATACTCAACGGCAATCCTCTTCAAGTTATTGATCATCCTACTTTGAGTGCATTGAGCAGTCTAACTTATCTGAAAGAACTTTGTCTTGAATCCTGTGGTCTTGATTCGCTTCCACATTATATGCTTCATACCCATAAGTACTTATCTGATTTGATGAGTCTTGAAATAATTTCTTTTTCAAAAGTATTTATCAACAAATAAATAATAATAATAAATTTGTTAATCTTATTCTAGACCATTCTTAAAAAAATTGTATCTAAATGGTAATCGATTTTCATCTATACCTACTACGTTAGAAGAAGCTACTGCATTGGAATATTTAAATCTTGATGAAAATCCTTTTGTCATTATTGATCAATCAAATGGATTTCCTAAACTTCCAGCACTTAAACAGCTTAGAATATGTTCTACACAAGACTTGATTGAAATTGGTCCTGGTGCCTTCTCTAAATTGATTTCACTCGAAGAATTGTATTTATGTAATAATCCAAGACTGAAACACATTGATGAAGATGCTCTTGTTTTTCACGTAAACTTTTTAATACATTTTTAATTTATCTATTTATCAGAATAAATACCATGTATGATCTTTTTTTGGATAAAAAATACAATGTATGATTTTGTAGGGTCCCAATGGTGCAATTTGGCCACCGATAAAAAAGCTTGACATCTCCAACAATGCTTTGAAATACCTTCCAGCGAATCTGCTTCTAGGACGTTGGGGCAAGTTGGAAAAATTATCTCTCACCAATAACGACTGGTCTTGTGACTGTGAAAATCAATATTTGGTAAATATTCATCCATCATTTTTATACAAAAAAAAAAGCAAAACATTTTTTTTAATGAAATAAAAAGACATTTATTCGACAAGTTGGATGTTTAAAGAAAAAGTATTAATAATTTGTCACTTACAGATAGGAACACTTATTCCAAACCTCGGCAAAACTTTAATGCCGGACGATTTGGGTAAATTATTCTGCTCAGCTCCTCCAGAGCATGCTGGTAAAAATCTGACATCATTAAGCCACAGAAAATTACGATGCCTTGACCTTTATGGAGCACGTCCTGAACGTGATGCTGCTATTCTCGTTGGTGTTTTAATCGGTCTTCTACTTGCTCTTCCTCTTGGGCTTATTCTCTTTCTACTTTGGAGACGAGGATTTTTCTTTTGTGGCCCACAAACTCCTGCTAGCTTTTCAAGAGCTTTTTACAAACGAACTGCTAATGATGAGAGCTAAAATAGTCAATTTTTTAATATATTAAATTTAATATAGTTGGAATAAATTAAAGTTCCCTTCAATTGATCATGATTCAAACAAATCCTTAACTTTATCTGTTGAGTATGATGTACTTACTGTTTTTATACCTTTTTATTAGAATAATAATTTGTAATGAACAAATAAATTTACGGAAAATTGATTTAAACAATAAGGTCTTAAGACATTAAAAGGTCGATTAAAAATTATTGAAAAATAAATTCAACTCTAAATTAAATCCTTGATAACTTGGAAAGTTGAGGAAAAAAGTTGACTCGTTAGCGTCTGGTTTTTCAACTTTATCCTCAGATATCTAGGTATTAACGCTTCTCAGCGTCGGCGATTTGTCGAGTTATATCGTTGACAGGATATTGTAAGTACAAAAGAGCTTGCAGACGAGGATAAAAAAATGACCCTCAATCCAGGGAATAAAACTGTGCATCTACAATCTATCAAGACAAGTAGACAGGTTTTACTAACGAGTCTCAAGGGGGTGCGGCTTTCCTTCCCGAAGTGGAAATTCGAAGCCAACTCTACAAACCTTGGGACGCATGCAGGATACCAAATTAAAGGGGAGACTTATATAGAAGACTAAAGACGATGATGTCTCGAGCTGTTAATGTAGACACGCGCCAATAACGCAATTATACTCCATTATTTACTCAATAATCACTGTTGCAATTGCTCGTTTATTGCTGACACGCGGCATCCTGGTAAATATTTTTGTCCACAGGTTTTTGTAGCATTCATAGTGAAATTCAATTTATCTCCTTGCTGACCTGTAATCAAAGTTAATTTATCCGTTGATAAAAGTTGTATTAAACTATACAATAGAATGTATGGAAATAATAATTACATGAATTTAAATTATTAGTCATAATTTTCGTTAATATTAAACATTTTATGAAATAACTTGGTTGCAATTAAGTGCTTCAATAAATTTTTGACGTAATATTTCATTATTAATATCAAAAGAATTTTAATATACACTTTATATAAATGTGAAACAATTTCACAATAATGAAGATGTTCAAAAGGATAAAAGATAAATTCCAACTCAATAATGAAGCAAATGTAAAAAAAAAAACTAAATTAATTTTTTAATTACATAAATAATACCTCTTCTTATTATTTCAATGCTGTATTCTGTAAACTATCTGAAGTAATGAAACTATCATTGGATAAAGTAAATTCTCCAAAGAGCAAGTATTCCATTAAACATTGATCCAATTGCTTGAATAATAATTAGCCAATTAGTAGTTTTCCTAGTTATTAGATCAAAAACCGAAATTTGTAATAAATAAATTGACGAATCACATAATTTGTAACAGCTTTGATAGTTTGTAAAGCGGCTTCACTGATCAATCTTGCGGAATGACCTCCTATAATTTGCATCACCACAACGGCAACCAACGTTTCTATATGGACTAAAGGGTTGAGTGCGGGTTAGCAAGGAGCATACAATACATAACACTGTGGTAACGTAGTTCATCTCTCATGCATCGTGCATAAACTGCATCTGTACGTAAACATGTAGGTATATCACTTTAGATCACAGGAAATGTTCTGTATACTATGCCATAAGCAACAGTAATCTAATCCTTCGTTTCCATCCTTGTTCACATGCTTGTGTATTTTTATTTAAAGCTTTTCTTGTAAGATATTCTCTTTAACAACGATGATAAATTATATCTATAAAATTAAATACAAATTATTATATTGGAAGATTACTTGGAAGATTATAATTGAAAGATAAACTTACCTGTCAAATTGTTTCATTTTAAAATGAATCATCAATGTTACAGATTTATTTTTGAGAACACTTTACTAAAAATAAATAAAATGCACTAAAAAGTTATAAAATTAAAAAAAAGTTCATGAAAGCAATAAACAATGAATTAAAATCAATTGTGTCGATAGAAAAAATTAAAATTCTTTGAAACATTCATCAATTAATCAGATATTGAAATTATAATGAGGTTACTTAACCTAATTTTTTTGTGAGCAGTATCATATTGTTGAATGTAACGCTGATTAGGGCATAATAAAATTTCTCGCTTATATAAATGCTAATAATCAATCAATAATTAAACAACTCTCTCTGCATATAAAAATTTGATCAACAATAAAATATGAATGATAAAACAGCATCGAATCAGGCAACAATATATCGTAGGCATCATATAAACAAACAATTGTTAAAGGAATCCACATTCTTGTATACTCGTTCTATGTGTAGATTTATCAGTTTGTGCTACTGGACCAGAAAGGAAAAGAAATTCATGAGGATTTCATACACATACACATAGCTTCTTCTCGAATCCGCGAGCATGGAATTTCACAACGGGTTGAGTTTCTATGGAAACGGGAATTAAATGTTCCCGCCTATTGGGAGGTAGTGAGCCAATGGGAATGAAGCGCGGCGTTGCAGTGCCAACGAATCAACACGAGGCGTCGCGACTACCCACTTGGCTCATGAAAAAGCACAGGGTGAAAAGGACCAAGTGAGAGAGAGATGATATGAAAGCACAAGGGGAAGAGGAAACAGACGAGCTCAATCGGCAGGTTGACGGACCGATAGGGGGTTAAATGATGCCAGTGGCTTACATTACTCTGCCAACGTTAACACGTGTTGTCAACATCTTTAGTTGAAAAGGAAACAAACGAGTGATACAAGTGCTTATTAGGTCATCTATTGTTTAAACCAAAAATTGTCAACACTTTTTAATGAGATTTATCATGAGATTAATATTACTTACGTGAACCAATTGGTGTGCTTTTTTATTGAGATCTGTCTAGTGAATTTATCAATAATGAAACGTATAATTGCGTTGTGCAAGTGACTTAATGGTTAATTTCAGGTTGTGAATACGAACATGAAATTGTAAAAGATACTGTAAAATAATTATTGTAATGACTACGTAAGTTATTATTAATATATTCGAGTATCAATATGATGCAGTCAACGTGCCAACCACATCAACCTCAACAACAAAATGCAACTTCTGCAAGTCGAACATCTTTCTTGATTGAGGATATTTTAAGTCGTAGTACTGTTGATGCTGCTGGACATACTCATCACGGACAGTTGCATCACCAACTTGCACCAACGCATACTCCTCATCATCAACAGTATCAACAATTTTCTAGTCTTTTGCCCGGTTATCCGACGGGTCCTCCAGCTGCTGCGTTTTTTCTTGGACCTTTGTTTGGAACTACTAGCATGGGTGTTGGTGTTGTTCCTGGTGTCAGTGAACTTGCAGCTTTAAAACACTGCCGCCGTCGGAAAGCCAGAACTGTAAGTATTCATCATAATATTTTTTTCGTACATTTAAAAAAAAAATTCCAATAAAAGCCAAAATAACCTAAAAAAAGTTGTTTTCAGTAATTTCTTTCATTATGTTATCATCATAAAGTAATAATCGGTATTTATTACAGTCAATTAGAAGTAATGATTGATTTTTTCTTTAGGTATTCAGTGACCAGCAATTAGCAGGTCTTGAAGCCAGGTTTGAAGCCCAAAGATACCTGAGTACCCCAGAGAGAGTCGAGCTTGCGGCTGCCCTTCATTTGTCAGAAACACAGGTCAAAACTTGGTTCCAAAACCGACGGATGAAGCATAAGAAACAACTGAGAAAGATGAACAATGGAAACAATAATAATAATATTACCAATACGCAACAATGTGGAGGACAATCGTCTTCAGTCACTTCTCCTGCAGGTTATTCATTATTTACATTTATTGCTCATTTATTGACATCTATAATATCTTGAAAACTTCAACTCAATAATTCTAAAGTAATATTCCAAGCTCAAAAAGAAAAATCAACCAGTAAATTTATGATTTTATTTATTTATAAAAATTGAAATGAAGAATATTAATTTTTTTTTTGTTTTTTTAGCAGAAATGGTTGAATTAGCATTTCTAATTGGTGATAAAGTTAATAAAATTTCTACTGATCCTGATTAATTGAGCAAAATGATTAGTTAATCATTAGGTAGTGAATGAAATCCTTCAGTTGAGTTAGAAAATGTTTCATCTATGTCATCCTGTCGTTAGAAAGTTGGTCATATACATTGGATAGGATAATATATGGGAATATACGTCGTCCGATCTATTTCTCCGGCCAAACTAACCACTGAGTCCTCCGACATCGTTAACCACTTTGCACCTTCGACAATAAACCTTTCTCCTCCGTATTTCACTCACGAGCCTCAACATGTGTGACCTGTTAGAACCATCTACCAAAACTAAATGAAAAAAAAAACAGAAAAGTATTTTTATTAAACTTTAATTTAATCAATTTGACTATTGAATTATCGAAGTATTGGCATGTAATACTCTGTCCCTTCAATACCTTTCATCTAGTCAATGTTTTTTATAAATAGTTAACCTATGATAACTATGATTCAACTTTTTAGCATTTATTACTTCTTTTACATTAAATATCATTAAAATTTGATAGTATATATGATTCTGTCATAAAATGTCTGAAAGTTTGTAAATATCCTTCTATGGATAACTTTGGAGAATACCAATAAGTTAAATAACAAATGCCACTCACCAAAAAAGGACATTTAGACATTGATGATCAATGTCTATATCTTCATTAATAAAAGCAGTTCTACTTTTATCATGATATTTAACTTTCATATTAGAATTTTAATTGTCATTTTTATGAAGATTGTGTCATAGTTATGAGAGAATAGTTAGAACTTTATTCTTAGCAAATTATTGAAGATAGGACTTTTTTTATTGTTATATTAATTAAAATAAGTTTTAAAAGAACTAGATGATAAAATGAAAATGTTAACAGCCAATATTTAACAGTAATTTTTCATCATTTAGATGATAAAAATAGATAACTGTAATATGATTAGCCTCTTCTAGAAAGCAAGAAATAATTTCTCTTGGCTCTTTTGCATCCATCGCGTTTGATAATTGCAGATAACTACGCGTCTCTTCAGAATACTTGTCACGATCTGAAGTCACCACATCGCATCTGTCTAACCCCATTTACTTGCTCGTAGCCAAGATGGCTTCGTTCTCCTTCACTGGGGGTGGCTAACGAAGTTACCCTGAGACATCTTCCTTGGCAAGAAGACCAAGAAGACATTGAGGGAGGGAGAGTGAGAGAGGTTGCAACAGAGTTAAGAAGGACTCGTCTATCTAAGGAAGATATCAAGTCTTGAGACTCAAACCTTGAGCAAGAAAGAGAGGGAGAGGAGTGAGAGTACCTTCTGCAACTTTCAAGTGGGGAAGTCAAGCAAGCTCCTTTTCGTCTTTTGCATCTTCTCACTCTTGCTCATGTATAGTTCAACATACTCCACGCCTCCTTATATTCCATGATTTCTCGTCCCGATTCGCGGCTCCTTCAAGAAAATTAGTCAATTATCGGCTAAGTGCTCGGCTACACCTACCTTCACAATTACAAGAATATTTAACTCGTAACCGTGTACATTAAAATGAATTCTTTTTCTTTTGACTATTCATCAATGATATTATTTCGTTATCAACTTTAGTCATACATTCAGAAAAGGTCATTTTAATATTTAAAAAATAATAATAATTTCTTTTTCAAAAGTCAGGACAGAATATTATTTCATCTAAATGTATTGTAATATGATGGAATATTTGAGAATAATCATCGAAGTAGATATGATATTGGCTTAGTCAGACAACGCTGCAAGTGTCTAGTGATAAATCATTTAAAGTGTTTAATAATTGAACCCCTAAGTGTTAACAATGTTGAACAGCATGTACAAACTATAGCATTTTGGTAAACAGCAAAAAGCGTTTTAAAGTCGTCTACGAAATTGCCATAGTTCGTTTATGATGTTTAACATTGTAACCACTTTAAGTGTTTTGTTTCTAAACACTTGGATTTGCTGTAGATTGCAGCAAATGAACTTGTTATGTTGAATTCAATAAAGCCTATAATCTACTAATACTTGCTCTTTCATTACATAAAATAATCATTTTAATATTAATTATCTATATTAAACATGATATTACAATTTATAGAGAAACAGCTTTTAATTATTTATTCTTAATTAACGGATTAATATCAAATATCAATTATTTAAATGCTTCAATTTCGAATTTTTTGCTTTTATATGAATAAAATGATTCATTTATGTACATGAAAATAGTTATTTTATTACATTTATTGTAAAATTATAATTAACAGAATGATTGGATAATTGGTAATAAAAATCTGTTTGTTGTTTCAGAAAGACCAGTTGACTTTTCATTGAATGGCGGTCGTGAATCCCGGGCAAGTAGTGATGCAGCGGCGGATTCAGACTCTGATGAAATTGATGTCCTTGGTGATGAAGCTCCATCGCCTGTTCAATCATCTACACACAATATATCTCTAAGACGTTCATCATCATCACCTGGTAGTTTTATTCGGCCTTCACATTCAACAAATTTGTCATTTGCATCACATCAAAATCAAGCTCTTCAACGTCAACATCGCTGAGAAATAATTCACTACTTATTATCCAAAGTTCATTTATTATTCTTGAAGACTTTACAAATAATCTATGTATTATTTTATCATTTATTCATGATTATCATACTGAAATTTGATGATAAAACTTAAAAAAGTTTCATTAATTTGCGTCCAATGAATTTGGAAAAATTGAATAAAACATAATTTTAACTTGAAGAAAATGGAAGAAAGCATATTGAAAGTGTTGCAATGCAAAGAGCTGAACATTTTTAGTATTTCAAGTGAATATAGTTGTTTTTAGAGAAGTGTAGAGTGTAATCTGTGATTTAGTTCTCTGTAGCTAATGAAAGAATAGTTCAAAAGAAGTTTATCATTTGATATTAATGAATCATTTTAAGTTACTTTTAATTATTGAAGATAAATAAATTAAAAAAGTAAGTGAAAAAAACACTAGGATATTAATCCGCATTATTAAATTGGTAAATTAATTATTTAATTCTTAATTAAAAGATGATAAATTCTTGGTCTACGTTACTGTGCTAAAAAGATCAAGAATATATTGTTTCATAAAGATTAGTTATTTATTATTTATAAACTGGGATTACCGATATTTCATGTGAAATTTTTGTTGATAAAGTTTTTTCTTTTTATTATTAAAAGAGTTTATAAATATATCTATTAATCATTTAATTTATTACGAAACGAACTGATGTAAAAAATAAGTATTTTTGCAATTTTGGCAAATATTGAAATTGCAGTTGGAGTTAGAATGAGATTTAAGAAAAAAAAGAATAATTATTTCATTAAATAAAAAATTATATATTAACTAAACTTTACTACTATTTCGTAGAACAAAAAAATGATTTTAGAACAAAAAAGTGCACATAAATATTTCTTACGACATTGTAAATAATCAGTCACGACTGACACATGTCAGAATCACTTAAAATGCTGTAAAAAATAAAAAAAATGATAATAATACTCATAAAGTTTGAATAAATTAAAATTAATATTATTTTACTTTTTTTATTTAATAAAAATACGATATCATTGATAATTATTTATTACTTTTAATTAATAAAATATAATAATTTTATTTTTTTTGTCTATTAACATGGAAAATGTTTATTCGAAATCTGATTATATTTTTTCTCTCAATTAATGTCAGAATTATTTAAAATATAAAAAATTATAAAACTGTATAAACAGTATAATTAACAAAACAATTTATTTTATAAATTCTTAACAAGTTATTTGATTATATATAATCTGCGATTGAGTAAAACATTTCATTACATACACTTCAAATTTAATAGAAATTTAATCTTTTCTTTTGCGAAATAAATTGTAAAGCTATAGGCTGTTAGATAGAATGAACTTAAAAAAATGTAAATAGTGAAAAATATGAAAGAAAAAAAGTAGTAAATCAAGATGGAAGTGCCGACGGAACCTGTTGCGGCAAGTAACAAAACCACGATAATTTTCGTGAGGGTTACGGAGGGATCTCGAGTCGGCCCTGATGGCGCCTGGATTGCGGGGGTGGAGTCATGAAGAATACGTCATGCTTGCAGTTGGAGGGTGAATCCTAATACCCAGATAATGGGAAGTAATTGCGAGGGATCAGAGCTACCTACTACACTACTACATAATTCTCATGAATGTACACATGTATGTTCTGTTCTGTTGTAGTCCATGATGATGTGTGGAGGAAATAGGAACGTGAGTGTACACTGAATATGATGTTAGAGGGTACAAGAGGAGGGAATGAAAAGCGCTAGAAGAGGAGAGAGGGTTCTCGTAATCGCGTTATCGGGACGAAATCACGGGGCACGTTCTCAAATGCGAGATATATCGCTGGAGCATGGAACCATTGAGCGTATGGAATATATACATGTATCACAGAGGATATATCATGAATAACGTTGAAAAAAAATTTTGAAAGAATAATTCAACTCATCATTCGTGTTGAAAGCACTTCAGTTATATCTAGCAAAAGTAATAAACAGTGTAAATTTGTTAAATAAAAAAAACCATTTTTTTTCTTGCTGCCAATTGATTTTCAACTAAACTGAATATGTGAAGTTTGAGGATAGAAAAATATTCAATGAGAAATCGTATCTTTTGTGTGATTTTTATATTTATATTTTAAATAAAAGAGGTCATTTGGAAAATGATAAATTATTTAAAAGCTAATAATGTAATGATATTATAATTATTTAGAGATTGATAATAATTATATTGAATAAACATCAAATGATTTTTAAATCTTAACATTGAATGAGTTTTTAGAAAATATTAATAAAACAATAAATCTGAAGCGTTTGCAAAAGCTAATTGAATAATATGAAGCTAATAAAAAGGACGAAAAAAAAAAATGTCAAGCATTTTTGATAAGACGAAAAAAATTCAAACAATATACTTTTATCTAAAATCTCCTAAGGTCTTTTATTATTTGAAGACTCATCTCACCCAGTGAGCTTTTGAAGTCTCCGACTCGTTGGTATATCTTTTATCTTGCTTACCCGTCGATTGTAGAATGAAACTCTGGTCTGTATATATAGTTACTCATAAATTAATGAGATCACGGGCCATTTATGATGTTTATTAGATTTAGTTAAGACGCCTATTATTACAGTACGTAAATAAAGGGGAGAAATAGCGTACCCCCTTCATTTGCTTATAGCATGGAATGCGGCAAAAATAATCAAATAAAGGACAATGAAGTGACTGGTACTACAATAGCTCAAACGCGTAGAGAAAGACAGGTAAACGCGCTGGAGGATCAAGGGAGAAAAAATGTGAGAATAAAGTTGAGGAAAAAAGAAACGATAGAGAAAAGCTCGAGGGGATGCGCAGACTAAATGCAGTGGGCGTGTTCTCCATTACTTTCATTATTTTCTCGCAGGAGGGTTGTTCGACCGATATGCACTCACATAATGTGAGTGAGCGAGGGTTATTTCTATAATAAAGTCGAAGGGGTCAGGATCACAGGTCCCGAAAGGGATCACACCATGGGTGACATGTACACAGGTATACCTTAATAATCTAATCATTGAATTCCAACGTCAATTATGGGGAGAAAAGTGGACAACAATTGTCAAAAATCCAATAAGATAACTAATGAAATAATTAAAATACACTCAAAGTATTATTATGTCTAGTTAATCTTTTTTTTTTCCAACAAAAAGTGGTAAATAGAAAAATTTATAGTGAGGTTTATTAATTAAATAATTTTTTTCAATGTTATTTTATTTGAATATTTAATATTTTTAATGTTAACCATTTTTGAGTTACATTCAAACTATTGGAATAATTTTTTTTTTCATTGGAAATAATTTAAACTGTAATCAAAATAAATTCACTGCTAAAATTAATTTAAATGAAGGCATTTTATTTTGTTATTGATTATTAACTGATGAAATATTTTTTGTTTAATAATGAAAGTAAATTATAGAAGTTTATAAAATATAAAAACATATTAAAAAGTTTAAATACACAGATAAAAATAAATAGTTAAGTCTTAGCTGAATAATTGATGATTTTATTGACATATTGAGTATTGAAATTTTAGTGAATTGAAATCACTCAACTTATTTATGTTGTTTGAATGAACATCAGTAGAATGTTACTGAATTTTTGAATCAATGAAATGGTAATTCATTTAAATAAGTTAATAGTTTCTTAATGATTTACAAATTCCCTTGAGGAATCAGCAAAAATATCACTGATTCAATTTCAATTTTATGAAAAGTCTAAATATTTTCTTTAAAAATAACTTTCTCTATTTCAATTAGAAAGAAAGTGATCCAAAAATTTTCCATCATCCAATAATATTTATCTAAAGCAAAGACAATACACTAATCATCTGGATAATAAGGAAATGGATCTTCCAATTGTGCTATTACCTTATTGGACTTCAAGACAAGTGTACTTCCGTACTGAAGATACGAGGATTGCTTAAAAAAATATCAAGAGATTCAGAAGCAAGACGAGCTGTCAGAATAAAGACTAAAGACTAAATAGTCGAATGGCATATAGACGTAACACAGAGAACAACAATGTAAAGCCCCGTTAACTTAACAAGCTGTCAAGACGTCGGCGCGTGTCACTCGACTTCTCATCCGTTTGATAAATCCTGCAGTTCTTTGTATCAACTCTCTTTCTTTTTTTTCCTACTCCAATTGCTTGGATAATTTGTTGTACTTTGGTTGAGTATTATATTCTCCAGCAAGCTGGTATGGTAAGTGATCAAGGATAAAAGAAGAGGCGGAGAAAAAAGGGAGAATTTTATACTCTATCTACAGCTTTACTTGGGCCACGTGCCGCTTAACTTGATCACCAAGCAATCTGGCCTCGTTTCAACCTTCGGTTACTTCAATACTTCCACTAACAAATAACATTGTCGACGACATACGAGGGTGGTACTGATTCGATTTGCCTGTTGTCAAAGTGGAAATGTTGGAGCCACCGAGTGACCAGAAGACGTGACGATTCAACTGTCAGAGCAAAGAATTGGATAAATTATATCTGGAAACAATCAACAAAAGGTGAGATACTTTTTTTCCTTTATTAACCTTTAGATCATATTTCAAGTTCATTAATTGTCTTTATCTATCCCCTATAATCTTTTTTGCTATCAATTCCCTTGATATTATAAATAATAAATACTTTCTTCGTAATTTTGTTATATTTTTTGAACACAAATGAACATCTAGGCTATTGATATTCAACTCAAATATTTTATGATGAAATTTTCAATTTAAATATAACATATTGAAGAGTATTTTTAGATATTTTATTTTTATCATAAATAGAAGAAAATTGTTTAAATGGAATGATGGAAATTTTTATTACTAGTTTGGTATTTAAAAAAATGCAATAATTGATATTGAAAAGTATAATGAACCTTCAATGCCTGATCAAAATGTCATAGTACTACTGAATGAGAATGGAATTGATTAACACAAAGTGCTAAATTAAATAAATAAAAACAAACTAAATTAATTAACGAAATTAGAAAAAAAATCAGTACTATTAATTTAATATTTAAATAAGAACCATTTTCTGCAAACCAAAATTTAAAAAAAGTTTTCTGAAATTATTTATAATGTTATTAAATCAAAGAAGACGAGAACCCCATATTCTAAATAAGTAAAAGAATTAAAATAATTTATTCATTAAAGTAAATCTTTTTTTTTTCAGGTTGAAAAATTTATTTTTATTAGAAAATTTATTTTCCTAACGATTAAACGTACTAATTATAATGTCTACAACAAAGTAAGCTAGCTTTTGATAAAGAAGGTATACACTCTAGGGATAATTTGAAGATATACGTGCCATAACGTGAGAGAAGCAAGTCGCGACAGAGCGTTGACGAGGCGAGAACTTCCAATTAGTCGCTGGTTATTTAGTTACAACCGGCCACGAGATATCATCAAGAGTTCAGAGCTGTTTCGTGCCCTTGTAGGATAAAGAGGAGGATGAGGACCAACACAGAGAGTGAGAAAAACTCCGACAATGGGTAAGATTCATATCTACACGGCGTGTTTAAAAATAATTACTGTGGAAGATTCAACGATAGTCACGGAGTCGCCTTCACCTATGAACCTAAACCCCCTGATCTCCTGAAGAGGCCCTCGTTTTGCGGCATAAAGGCGAGCTCAAACCATCCCCCTCTCGTTCATTGCTAGAACTCTAACACTACGGGAACAAGCCTACACCCTTTCCATTTTCTTTCCTCTTCTGCTCTTCCGGCACTTGTCGAGTGGTACTCACCTTTCAACCACTCTATCACCAACGTTTAAAGAAGTAAAGACTGGAGACTCACTCGATTTCTCCTTTTTTTGTCTTCAGTATATTTTTCTTCGTACATACTCTAAGGGTGACAGGGTGAAAAAAGTTGACTCTTGATCACAATGTGTCGTAGCTTTTTCAAATCACTAGTAGTGTTCTCATTTTTGCTCTTATGCTTGATAGAATAGCCAACGAGACAAAGTGAAATTTAATATCAGATAAAAAAATTATCAGTGAAGCTGCGTTGAAGATGAAATAAGTTATTTAAAGTCTTGGTTACATTTCATTTTATCAAAATATCACAATCTGATAAAACAATGGGCGAAAATACATCTAATAACAAAATATTTTGTCATGGAATATCAACATTAATGGTTTTTGGCGATTAATTATTTAGCGGAAAATTATTCGTAACTTTTTCTTCCTTGCCGGTGGAAATAAAGCTCGTTAATCACTAGCTTTGAATTAGTTGTTTTCGAGTATCGCCAGAACAATTATAAATTGAATTTTAAATTATTATGATACCTAATACACAAATAATCTACTTTAACTGCTAGTTAGATGAGTAAAAAGAACCAATAAATATCAATATGTTACATTTCGATTTTATGAATCAATTAGGCAATTTCGCCCCTTCTGATGTAAGTGGTCTTTTGAAGCTTTCTATCAATCTTCAATAAAATCATTTGATTCTTTGTATACAACTTTGTCTTTTCATTAACATCAGTCCTATTTACTTTCACTACAATATTATCAACATTTAATATAAAATTTAAATATTATTTGAAATAACATTTCAGTATATATGTTTTGTTATAGTATATTTTTAGTTTTCGAGTTAAATATTTAAAAAAAAAATTATTTATATTTATAGACATCAGAAAATTATTTATACATTGTTAAACTTTCTTTAGAATTCATTGTAACTCACAGTTCAAATTTATTATTCGATATTTCTCATAATACATAACATTCTGAATAAAACTAAATAGGGAAAATACTGGATAATAAAGAATTATTGAAATACAACAAGTAATACTAATAATAATAAAGTTTATTATTTATTTATTATCATCCACTATTGAAGACGATCTTAAATCATTGTCTAAAGCTTCATCATACCTAAATATTTGTATACTGTGTAATTATTTCACTAAGCATGCATTAGGTATGTCACAATCAAATAATTAAATATAACGTTATTCTTTTATTAATCAATTAATTAGTTTAACTTTATCATTATTAATTAATAAATTACTTAATTAATAAACTTCATAATGTCACAGATAATACGTTTGAACGTCAATATAATGATTGAGAAATCTTCAACTCTTATTTCATTTTTTTTAAATAATTATTAATCTAAAAAAAAAAAGTCAGAATAATTGAATAATTAAATGCCAAGATAATATTTTCTTTAAGGTTGATAAATTTTATCAGTTAGTACGAAACAAAAAGCGCTTTTGGCTTTAGCTTGTATAACACAATATATATTTTAGCTAGAATAACTTTTTCACATTTCTTTTAATTTTATTCTTATTTAAAAATCAACGAGCACAACTTTATTATTATTTTGTTTTTTTTTTGTTATGTCGTTTACAAATTTCTCTAGTTTGTTTATAATTGTTTTTAACAATTAGGATCACTTAAGCTTTACTCCATACAAATTTTTGGGATCTTCATTGGCGATCTAAGCAGTGTGTGAAACTTAATATATTATGTATCAGCCTTAAAATTAAATCATAATATTTTTAATAATAATAATAATATAAACAATAAGATTAAAAAAGATCTTTTTAATCTTAACGGTGGACCTGTCCTACCGCTAAACAACAATCTATTTTTTTTTAATATGAAAAACATTTATTTCAACTTTATTAATTTCAAATAATGTATTGTTTATTGATCATATTAATTAATTAATAAGTAATTATGATAATAATAAAATGCTGCTTTTTACTTATGATATTTAATGATAAACAAAATTAAAATAAAATTGAATGAAAGGCCAAAATTGGCAAAGCGTATTAGGCCGAATACAACAGTAAGACAATGTTTGTTGTTGCTTAACATGACATGTCTTTAATTATTATCTTATTATTTTTAATAATCTCATAAGCTATACAAGCTTTAATGCGTATTAAATGGTAATTATTGGTAGGATCATGAAATATATAGCAACTATAAATGGTTGTTGTCAAAGAAAAAAAGAAATCTTTTTCATTGATAAATTGATTTAAAATGGGTATTTTAAATCTATGGTCCATTGGATAATGACATTTCAAAATTTAAATCTCATTATATGTGCGTCTTATTGTTTAATAAATGCATTAATATAATTAAAGGTCAAAACACATTGTAAGAATTAAAATTTAATTCTAAAAAAAGTTTATAATCTTTATAAGATTAAGAAGAAAAACTACAATACAAACTCAACATTTTGAAAAGATATTTTTTATGTATTTTTCTTTAGTAAACAAACCAAATGAATATCTTATCCTCTTTACATAACAGAAAAATCGTTAAGGTTATTCTTAAAGGAATGTAAAAATTTCCTCTAACATCAATGATAAACAATTTATAGTAACTTGAAATCAACAATATCGCACATACGTTATATCTCTAGCCTTCAAATAGTTAGTGACAATTGATAATTTTTTTTTTTACTTGTCAATTAATACAGATTTAAATTTGTGGTGTCAACTGATTTAGTATAAATCTATTTTAATTTTCTTTAATTAAAATTAATGAAGAGAAGGTCTGGAAGCACGCTGTTTCAGTCGAGCTAGCAGTGCTTGTTCTCCATCATCCTCGTTCCTTGAACTTGAACCTCGAAAACTCTCACTTCTATATTTATCTCTAAGAAACATTCGTCTTTCCTCTTTGTACCTTTCGATTCTTTCTCGGCATCTAGGATCACCAAGATCTAATCCTAAATTTCTAGATTGCAATTTATCTGTACTTTGTGAGGAAGACAATAAATCAACACCAACATTGGGAGTTGAATTGTGTTGAGAATCATCAGACATTTGCTTTGGCGGCATTCGTGTTGATTCACTGGTCATACGATTAAATTTATCTTCATCTAATGAACGGCTTAATGCTGCTCGTGTAGACCGAGCATGACGAGCACGCAAACATGGTGGTAAATATTGAACTCCATTGTTTGATTCATCAGACTTTCCTCTACAATTATCATTTTCATTCCGCATTTTCTTTTCTCTCATGTCACGATTTATTTCTGATTCAAAACTTCTTCGATCTCTTGCTGCATCAGTCTCATATTTTCGTCTAGAGTGGATGGGAGTTTCGCTTCCAACACCACCAGACAGTCTTTGCAGTGCCAACTCTTGGAGTATTGCTGCTGTATCTCTTAACACCACTGACTCATCAATAGGTGAGCTTGCATTTGAAAACGAGTACGAAGAATCAAGTGAGTTGGTTTCAGATGCACCTTCTGGATCGTGAGCTATTTCGCAAGCTTCTGCTGCGTGTTCTGAAGGGATCACAACCTCATCATTATCACGAATTTGAGTATTAGCGTTTCTTTTTAAACTCTCTTGCACAAGTTTAGGTAAATACAATCTATTTAATGGTTGAGAGTTTCTTGAACTTTGACTAAAACTATTTCTTGTATTTTGTCCTCTATCGAAACATTCATTTCTATCATCAGAAATATTCCTTCTTTCCATATTAAGATAATTACTTGTGCGATTGCACTCGTTGTCTTTCTCTGGATTTATTGATTTGTAATTCAGAAGGTTATCCTCCATATTAGCCTTTGAAAACATTACTTCTGTCGATTCATTCAAGTTATGTCGGTAGACATTATCATTATCTAATCTTAAACTATAGCTGCAACATTCATGCTCGTGTTCCATTCTTCCAGGATCCATATGTGACGTTGAATTTATTACACTATCCGTACAGGGTCTATCATTACCATTTCTACGATCACTTCCACATCTTCTTTCATCCAAGCTTGACATTTGGGAGTTTTCATCTTGATCAGATACTTTATTGTCTTTATTTTCTACATCGAATGACATTTCGCCAGACTCTTGTACCAATACAGGGCTTTCAGTCAGTTCACTTACACCAATACAAGATGTATCAGTATCTACAGTTGATCCCATTGTAAGATCTAGAGATGTTCTTGATATATTATCAGACGTAGATCTTTGTCTAGGTGGATCAGTAGCAATGGCAGGATTTAAAGTACCTTCAAGAGGATCTTTAGGACTACTTGCTTCACTCGTCGGTGTTGTAACAGATTCTGTTGTTCTTTCAATCATTACCCATTCACCTGAATCATTCGTATTTGATGCTAATGGCTGTGTATCAGTACTTGTGAACATTTTGTCAGAACTGTCGCATATAACAAAACCAGAATCAGGCAAGTCTTCAATTGTTTGTTCGCAAGACATTGGAGAATCCAAATCAGTTGCACTGGAAGACGGTAAACCTGCAGGCTCATTTCTACAATGAATTATTGAGTTACCAATAATAGCATCGTTTCCTGAATTTGATCCATCAGGAAGACTTTGGTTAGTATCGCAAATTGATTTATCATCATCTTGGAAGCTCATAGCAGATGTATTAGAAAAATTATCTTTTTGAGCTGTACACTGAAGATCAAGTGCATCACAAGACGTCATTTCTTGATCCTGAGATGTTTCAATTAAATTTTCTGATGACTTTTCTACATTATTATCAATTGTTGATTCATGACTTTTATAAGTATCTATTCTCTCGCACGATTTAACATTAATAGTATTTAAATTAACAGACAATCTTTGACTAGGATCTAGAGATAATTCTTCAGCAGAAACACCTCTTTTCGACACGTCAGTATCACAGGTTTGATCATCTAAGTCAAGTGGCAGAGTAAAACTTCGGAAACTTATTCTCGGACTGTTCCCGTTTCTAGGAGATATCGAAAGAGGTGTTGTTTGTAATGTAGATGGGCTAAGGGGCGTGGAAGCTTCAGATAACAACGGAAGATAACCTGGAGTTGCTAATGATGACGGTGATTCCATTCCATGTACATCCGCTGATACCATTACTTGATCTGGACTTTGGCTATCAATGAATCTTAATTCAACATCACAATGAAGTCGTTCTTCAAGTCGTGATCGTTTCCTTTTAGATCCACCACTTGCAGCGATACAGGAAGGAATTTCGTTCCTTTGTCGACGTGGTGATGCTTCAACTGACGCAACACCTCCACTCTCTTCCTCAGAAAACATTCTCATTTCACGTTCTTCTAAGTCGAAGTTCAATTGAATTTCTGAGAGGTCAAGTGGTGATGCAGAACTTGGAGCGTCTGCTAAATGATCAAAGTAAGAGTCATGAGAAACTGATCGACTATGACCACAAGGTCTATTTGGTGGTGGACCCATCAAAGGACCTATACTATCTTCACCATCTAGACTGTCTGCACTCTTGACTGGTCTTAATCTTCTCATTGCATTAAGAGAATTAGATAAATTTTCACTCTGAGGTGGAGTACCAACTTGTCGAGTTTTTCCACGAGTTCCAAACCCACCTCGACTAAAGATTGCTCTCCAGTTCAATGATGGCGAACGTTTAGAACCATTTCTCTTTCTTGGCAGTTCAATTACTGTGTGATAGTGAGCTGGTAGTCCCGCAGGACCAGCACCAACCTCAATATATTCTGAATCATTCCGCAAAGTTCTATTTCTCGCTTCCTCTAGGCTAAGTAATCGTGCTGGTGTTGTAATAGCTAAAGATTTAGGTCGACCTACTGGACCATCTCCAAATATTAATTCAGCATAACACACGAGGAATTCTGTTACTACGGCTTGGACTCCAACTCCTTGGAGAGCTGCTACACCTCCAACTTCAAGTTCTTTGCATCTAAGAAGATTTGGAGCCCAAACAATAGCAACGTTGCGAGGTGTCATGCCTGTTTCTGCTCCACGAGCTGCTACTCTCACTAAATGACGCATTAAATACTCCAAAGTCCTAAAAAAGTTGAATACTTATAGTAAAATAATTCAACTTTTATGAATATCAATAAGACTATTGAAACAAAAAACAACATTCTCTTTTTGAATGCAAAAAAAAATTGTTGCCCTTTTCTACTTCAGGATATTAGCAATGCTTACCTATAATGTGGAGGCGGTAACTTTCTAACAGCGTCCCTCATTCTCCTCAACCTTTCAGCATCAGTATTAGCTTGAACAGCATTGACAAAGGTGGAGTAAAGCTGATAAGTGCATAATGGATTAGGTAGCTCTCTAAAGTACATTTTTAATAAGGATGCAACTGAATGGATATCTTGAAGTATACTCTCATCTGAATGCAAAGCAGGCACCCGATCTTCATCGAATGCATGCCGTAGTCGTTGAATATTTGAGGTCACACCACTTAGACGATAAATTCCATCAACCAAACCATGGGTTTCAATAAATTCAGCACAGCACGTCAATACAGCTGGCACTGAAACATAGTTTTTTTTAATGAGTAACAATTACCTTTTTAATCAAAACCTGAATACTTTTACTCCACTAATTGTTACTATTTTTGATTCATTGAAATAAATTACCTTCTTGGCCAGAGTTTAAGAGATGTTCACCAAGATCACATCCAAAGACTCGTTCTTTGAGAATTCCAGACTGTTTTAATCGCCTCCTAGACGGTCTGTTGAGAATAAAAGACCTAAAGAAGGCAATAAGCTTGCCGTGTTTCCTGAGGACTGGCTTAACAGGCAGTTTTGAACGAACAGTTGTAGATACAGTCAAATGACGAGGTACTTTATCACCAATCACTGCTACACATTCAGCTGGGAAAAAACCCACCGCAAAACCTTTTTTGCCTCTCCACCAGTTACTTTCTCCCGGTGGTGGCATGTCTATCACTGATATCATGTCTCCGACCTAAAAAAATTTATGAGCGAATGAATGTTACGTATTATGTACTGCAAAAAGTGTTGTGTTGATTCACTTAACATAAACTTTTTACGAAAGAAATGGGCCATGAAGTATTTTTATTGAATTCTAAAAAAATACTTAACATAAATAAATGAACTAGTATTGTATTTTAACTTCAATAAAAAAATAAATCCTATTGATTTAATTTTCTTTTTTTGCACCAATTTTCAAATGAACCCACATGAGTGGTTCAGTAGAAAAGTACTTAGCTTTTAATACCCAAGTACTTCTCCGAGTCTGGGTTCATTCAACAATACAACTTCTAATGACCAAGTCTTTATTACTTATTTAGAAAAAAAAGAAAAAAATTCGTTAATTAAATATTTTTATTTCAGCAAGTATTGAATCAACTTTAAAATGGCAATTATTTTCTTTAACTTGTAAATTCGATTTAATCACGTTTAATAGTCTATGATTACTGTTCTTCCAAAAAGACTCTTACAACTCAATATTCAGTAGTCTAATTACCGCAAGAAGTGTTTAAACTTAACACACAAAGTTTCAAAAAGTATAGAGTAGTTGAAAGACTTGAAAATTAAGATTGAGGATGTTGAAGCGTTCATCTTGGTGATACAGATTAATTTAAGAGGTTGGTCATTGATTTTAATTAAATGTTAGCAGACACTTCTTCGTGTCGAACAATACATTGTCACTAGTTGTCACAATCGGTAGAGATGATTGTTATTGGCTAACGCAAGCCACCATTTCCCACGCATATATTGGGCAATGAACGCCTAACGTGCTTTCGCTTATGGAATGTCTGATTATAGCTTAAGTAAGTGACCACCCAGTTGCAAATCGCATCATCATTCATGACCCAATTCCTCGAATAATTCGTCTGGAATTTCTAATGAGTGTTGTTACCTGAAAGGATATCTCATCCTGTGCTTGAGCTGTATAAGGTTTTACTGCGTAAGCAGCCGCAACAGCAGGTGTATTGATTGGACATGAGTCTGATTCAGGAACTAAAATTCTACGTCCACGATTATCAAGTTGTAGCCAATTTAATACAGGTCCACAGTTCAATCCTTCATGATTTAACTGAGAAAAATGATCTAGATAAGCTGCTAACAATTCTTGAGCATTCTCTGGTTGACTGTCCGGCAGCTTTGCCAATGATGAAAACTTGCGATCGAAGATACAACGATGCAGTTGTCTGTCAAACATAACAAAGTTCTCATAAGAACGTTGAAGTGTCCAACATATATCTCCAGAAGTCACTCGGACTGCAAATGTTGAATCATTTGGCACTTCAGTTACCGAGACCTATGAATAGAATATGTAAATGAGTTTATGGATGTTTTGAATAGATGATTACTCAACGACAATATTTTTGTTGTGAATTTATGAAAACATTTATCTGAATGCTACACAATTTTTTTTTTTTTTAATTATATAAATACAAACTCTAATTTAAATAAATGTAAATAAATGTTTTCACTATAACACAACATCAATTACAAGAAATGATAAATAAACAAACCTCAAGACCACCAAGCTCAACATGCTCATAGTGAAAATGAGCACACTCATCTAGCTTTGGAAACCTTGCTACACTACCCATGTTGCTACCCGAGCTGACCGGAGTATCAAAGTCCTCTGTCCGATTACATCCTAGGCCCTGTAAATTAAAATAAAATTCTTTATTAGTTTGATATATATAAAAATAAGAATAATAAATGTATTAATTAAATGAGTATGTTAAATATAGAAATTCATATTTTTGTTTCTATTCGTAATGATCGAGTTACTTAATTACGCCTATAATAATAAAAGACGTTAAACTTTGCGGTAGCAATTGAAGTCAGTGAATGATGAATCATCATGTCTGGTGAATTCCCTACTTGAAATACACTTGAATATTTTTTTCATCTTATCTGGTTAATCTCTTCAATGAGTTTTATTTATCCTCGGCAACTTAATGACCATTTAAGATTAACAAATTACTCAATGACAGTATGTTGTTTGTATAACAATGAATTCCAGTGTATAAATACCATCTTTTAAATAAGAAAAGCTTATTTATCTGATTTTCTTTTTAATTATCCAAGAAAATTCTTTCTACCAAGATTATTTTTTTATTTATCTAATTATTATTGGTAACCTAGACTATAAATTTGATCAATAGTTTGTCCTTTATTTATCCTCGATAAAAAAGAGTAAAATAAAAGTATTAGTGGATGTGTGTTAAAAGATTGTTTCATTAAAAATAAAAGTTTTGTAGTCTAGAACAGTTTAATGTCAAATTATGGAGACTCCTGGATCTGTAAAAAATGACCTATACAACTTGATAATGGTGAAAGACGAAAATAGGATAGAAAGGAAATAAGAAAGTTTAATGAAGAGATAGATTATAAAGAAAAAAATAAAGAATGAAGGTCTTTTGTCAAATATTATGCGGGTCGACCACACGATCTGGAGTCTGCGCAGCTTTAGTGCATGACAGGGAAGAATTTATCGCTCGAAATTCGTTTTAGGAAACATTCAGAAGCCTGATTATTCAAGGCTAACATCTTTAATTCAAGAAGTAAATAATGATGATGATGATGATGGTGATGATTTTAACTTTTTCTGTCCACGTCATTCGTTTTCTTTTTCTTTCATTTATTCACATAATATTTTCCGCTCAATTAGCAATTAAAATTATTCAGGTCAATGAGTTGCATTAGCGAACTGTCCAGCTTCGTATTGAGTTGTTACTGTTGGTACCATTAAATCGAAAGGAAAGTGTCTCAGTTGAAAACTCTTTCAACCGAGACCAGTTGGTACTTCCTTCTCAACTAACAAACAATACACTCAGGGAGAGGCGAATGAAGACGAGTCGCTAAAGAGAAGCAGTAGCAACAGCTTTCAATTGCGGAAACCCTCTCTTTGCAATCTCAGAACACTTCTTTTCTTGTTGTTCACCCAACTATACGTCTTTTCAAGCTTTCAAATTCTCTTGTGAATATTTTTCGCGTTCTTTCTTTTTTGATTCCTTCAAGTAATTGTCAATTAAAAGCACATCATTATTTTTCAATATCATTCAATAAACTTCCTTCAATACTTATTTTTTCTTGATACTTTAAGTTTTTATTGCTTCTGTTTTTTTCCCCTTGATGAAGCACAATTTTTTTTTAGGTCCAAATTGATTATTGTGATTTTCTATCCACTTGATTTTTCTTGGCCTATTTTTTTTTGTACTGTAATTGATCACTAGAGTATGATGTTATCTGCTAAATGTCAATAAAGTCCAATTTTCGTTATCAAGTTATAATTCTATTTTTTTTCTAATAATTCTTGGGGTACGTTGTTATTTTTTATTAGAATTAACTGATCCAACTCTAAAAATAGTGAAGCATGTTTTATTTTTAAAAACGTTTATCTTTATTGTTGGAAAAATAAATGATGATTGGAAATGCAACATTTACACCAGTAGTAATTAAAAGATTGTATTGATTCTCACTATATGAATATAAATCACTTTCAATTATCAATTCAATATTCAATTAAATATTTGACACCACAAAAATGTTTTTCAATCTTTTTATTTTTATCAATTTGATCTTTTTTCATTTGTTAAAATAATCATTAGTCAAAATATCTTTCATTTTTATCCAATGTTTCATTTACAAACTTCTATTTTCAACTTGACAACACAAGTGATAATTAAAATTTTTTGCTGACTATTCATCACAACTTATTCATTCATTCATAAAAAAAACTTCAACAATGTTCACTAATAATATCAAATTTCATTACATTGCATTATTTGAACAATTAATTTCATTTTTTTTTTCTTAAATCTTGACAAAGCTTGGCAATTAAATTCCTTTTAGTGTTTCTTGTTTGCATCCATTTTATCTCTATCATGTTGAACAATCAAGACCGAACAAGAATCTTTATGTAATTCAAAAGACTAAAGTCTTCGTTACGTTACAAAAAACATATCCGTCATGCCAGATTGAATATTATAAGAGCTAACTGCATTACGTGTGTAAACATTTAAATACATTCATACCCAAGTTCATTATATATTTTTTTAAACTCCACATAATTATCATAATTATTGAATATCTTCTGTTTTGCCATCTGCAATCACAACTTCTTCTGAGTGGACTTGGACACTTGTTGATTATGAAGATGACTTGGAGAACGAATGAAAAATGAATGAAAGAAGTAAGCAAATGTCAGTAATGTAGTATCTTAACATGTCTAGATGTAACGTAAAAAATATCAAGATTTATCTTATGAATGCAGTGTACGTACGATGCACGGAAACATGACTACCTCATCCGCAATGAGAGATTCACGTTGCCACCTGGCACATCATCAATGCAACACAGCACAACGCCAAAGAGCATCAGCGCTCCAGGGAATACCCGGGTGTCACTGGATCGCTGGTCATATCATCGCATCTCTTCCTCCACGCCTTGTAATCTTTCATCCTTTACACGCAGTAATATTCCTACTCTCTTTTTCTCTCTTTTTTCTCTGTCTACCTTTCCCCTTTTCCTCATGGGCATCGCGACGACGCAGTGCACGTCGTGCCGCATGCGTAAACGTCTGGCTTAGCTTCAGGCATTGATGGTCTATTCCACTTTAGGATTACATATAAACACTATGCTACTTTATACTCACGTCAAATGAATAATTATATTTTTATGCGTAACACATACCAACAGACGTCACGTTTCGTATGTCATCAAGGAAGAAAGCTATATTGCTTAAATTAAGTTTATTTTCTAATCTAACACTTTTTTTTATTCAATCCTTAACTTCCTGTGCTTCTCTATCTATTCATTTATACACCTGCAGGATATGAAAGTTAACTATTTTTTATTTTTTTCTATTTTTAGAAAATTCAGTCTTTTCTTTTATCATTTTTCATCTTGGAAATCCAATTTTTATTTATTATGTTTTAAAATTGAACATAAATTGGAGAAATAATAAAAATTTTTGACAAATTTAATTTTAAAAAGTACTAATTGCTGTTATTTAAAAAATGATTATTTCTGTCACAATTGTTGAACATTTTTCCTATTTTTTCATCTATATAATCCTCAAATTTCAAAATCACACTCAATTTTTTGTACCATTTGCTCACTTCTATTTTTAAAAATAATTGTCAATAAAAAAAAAACATATCTCTCTAACACAGTTTGAAAATATTTTATGTCATGTTATCTATCTAGTATTTTTAAATTTGTTATTTCATCACTTAATACTATTCTTGATTTCATTCATTAACTTTTCAATAATTTTATCTTCATTTATGATCATTCATTAAAAATTTTCAAAAAAACATTTTATTTTAAATCCATATCTATCTTTATTAATCGAATCATTAGTTAAGTAGAAAATTAATTTATGCTTCAACCTATAAGTTTATCAGAGTAAACATTTAAATATTTAAATGATTTCTCGATTCTATTTTCTATCAGTTTATATTATAAATATTTATGCATATTAACGTGCTCTAATAGTTTTTTCTTTCAAATATTGATTGATGTTTGAACTTTAAAGATCATTGTTTTTTAAACTTCTTCCTCTTTATAATAATTTTCTACCAACAACAATTCACCGAAAGAAAAACATCTAATAAAATCATTTCCAATCATCATAATTCAACAAAAATATGAATTTTGATGAAAAATATTTATCTTAGACGAAAGAATTTCTTTTATACATAAAAATCCTTAACATCATGTATAATTCTTCCATTTGATGTCCTACATCTACAAAGACATATTCCTGCACTCAACTTTTGTATAAATTTATCGTGGATGTATGAAAACATCTGTATACCTCAAACTGACTTGAACAGCTGCTGCAACTGCTGAGTACACGGCGCATCATCAAGAAAAACTATTCCAATTTCCCACTTCTTCAAGCAGTAGACACGCCATCTCTTAATCTTCTCACGATTACATATAATTCTTAAATAAATTCAATCTCCATAATACATTTCACATATCACTTTTATTTTATTTCTCATCACTTCCACATCTTCTTTAGCTTCCTTTCCTCAACTTTTTTCCCTCTACTTCTTCTTTCATACTCTATTTTTATTTATTCTTTTATTTAAACAAAAAAAAAATGAATACTCCAAGTAGTACGGTCATGAAGTAGGCGTGCGTGAAATAAGAATAAAACTAATTTTATTTTATAACTCAAGCAAGTTTGACGCCAAGAGCCAAAAGAGTAAAAGAGTGTGGGCGCTTCCGTGTCACCGATATTTCATTCCCAGTCCTCCTCTTGTGTCCTTGTTGTTACGACTACGATTCTCATGTTCGTATGTACGATGCCAACAGCAGCAATGTCCTAAGAGAATTGCGGTTTAAAGAGCAATGGAATTGGGTCATTCTTCGAACTTCACTCCAGGAATCAAGTCTGGTATATTCACGGTCGTATGAGCTAGAATCATACGTCAATATGTGACCTGCGCTTGCTCTTCTTGTTTATTTAGCTCACTTCTATCAACTCGATATTGTTGTTGATCAACTTTGTTCCACCAAGTTAGATTATCCATATGCTTTGATGCTCTGTTACATATAACTTCGTATAAATTACAATCTTGTTGGCAAAGCTGACACTAACATAGCTTGTTTGAATTATCTCAGTATAATTTTTATTTATTCTTCTTATTTTTCTTTATCTGTTGCTGCTCCTTATTCATCTTCATCTTCATGAAGTGTTGATTCCTTTCGACATTTGTCATCAGTCTCTTCATCTTCATTTATGTCTGGCTAATTTTTTTTCCACTGTGTTGATCCAACTGATTTACATTTTATCCCATTTTTGCTATAACATTTTAACATCTTTCATATTCATCCATTATTTTATATATTATTATTATTTTTTTAATTTAATTTGCAGCTTTTCATTGTTATCAAAATATTTTTAAACATTAACATTATGTAATTTTAAGTGAAAAAATTTTGTAAGAAAAAAATCAACTTGAAACAAACCATCATGATCATCATCATCATCATGAGATTGCTATCATTATCTTCAAGATCCTTAAAAGGATTTCACAAACTTTCATTAATTAACAAAAGTAACAATATTAAATTCTTTTTTATGTTTAATAAAATTAATTAATAATCTCATAATGACATATAACAGCAAGAGAAGATGAAAAAAATAAGTTCGAAAAGTGACAAAATATTTATTTTTTAACACGATTCAAATGTTTGCTTAAAAGCGAATATGCAAATACTCCTGAGGCATTCGTATGAAAATGAAAACGACTATTAGTAAGAGCGCGCACAGACGACTTACGTGAGTGTGACAGTTTCAGTGGGCGAATATGTAACCAGGGAACGAGCAAGAGAGCTGTCTCCAAATGAGCGAGACAGAATTCCTGAACCGTGTGCTAGTGCGCGCGAGATTCTATCGATTTTCTCTCGCGAAGCAGCATGGAAGAGCGCCTAAAGCTAATAAGTAACAGTCTTCAGCTAGTAGTTGTCTAGTACACCATGTAGCTAAAAGACAATAGATGCTTCCGTACTCCATAGAATTTCATTCAACTATCGAGAAAAGGATCCAAGCTATCGTCGATAGGAAATCGGTGTAATTTAAATAAAACGCGGAAGTCGTCTGATCGGCCGGATGTTCACTGTGTATCATCGTTACATGCTCTTCAGGCCAATGCCCGATAGATTAAATAGAATGCTCGTTATTCCACTCATCATCATCATGTTGGAGGGTACCACAATTTACCACCAAGATAACTTTCCAATCAGCTGATCTAATATGCAAGTATTCAATCATCAATTTCATTTTCAATCAATCCAACATCTTCATATACCTATAGACATAACATCATCACCATCAAGACTAAAAGCTATAAAATTATTCATCTGTATTCCACGAGGAATTGTTGGAAACTCTATTATTAAACGGAAGAAGACGCGACAGCAATAAGAAAAAGTACTGGAGTACACAAATCAAATAAGAAATTCAATTTTACTATACCTCGACTCTGGAATATGATATAAAAAGAGTTTCAAGGACCGTTATGATTTTAAAAAATTTTTTCAACAGTATTTTTGTTTGGATATTAGATACTACACATTGTATATGGTTTACAGAAAAGATATTGCTTTGGAGATACACTGTAAGGTCGCCTTCTTCGTCAATGTAACATAGTTTTATCAGGTTTTTATACTTCTATCGTATTTCTATTTGATAACTCTCTACGACCCTTTGTATTCTGTCATCATTATCCTTTTATTTGAAGATACTCCCTGGATAAAAGTACTGAAAAATCTGAACAATGTATTCAATTATTTAAGTTTATGCAATTATATTCTAATTGAACTATTTTTAAAGAATTTAGGGTTCTATTTAGTTCATCAAGTAAATGGAAATAAATTTGTTGCATAATTTAACTATCAAATATTTATTTATTAATTAAGATCTCTAATATTCTTAATAATTGTATTTTTTCTAATAAGTTTCCATATTATTATCAAACTAAAAAAATTGTTCAAGCAAACAATATTTAGTTCTATGATCTCTTCAAAAATAACTCTTGATAAAATTAACTTTTATTTCTGAATGAAATAATTTCTTTCTATAAATAATTTTATATTTTCAGATCAATTATTCACAACAATAACAGATCAATTAAAACTTATTTTTACTCTAAATTATTTTTTATCAAAATAAAAATGCTTCTAAAGTAAGTAGGAAGATTGAAACTCTATTTCCAATATTTTTTATGTCAATACAAAGAATTGAAAATTATTTATAAATATTTTTGATATAAATGGAAGAAGTTAAAGCTTGTCATAGTATTTAGCATAGTAAATTTAACCTATTGAGGCTTTTATATTTTACTTTTTATTCCAAAAAAAAAAAAATATAAAAAAGAACAACATCTTCTGATACAATGTTAAGTATAATTCTGGCAGAGAATCCAAAGCTAGTATAATACTTTAAATCTGAAAAATTGACTGAGCATCAAATCCCTAAAGATTTAGAACGATAACCGCAGTTGACCCGGAAATAATTCGCAAATGCCAAACTACCGAATAGTTTATATATACAAACACCGAATGATTTCAAGTTGTTTCGTCTAAAAATAATTTTGTTTTACTTACAAGTAAACCTTTACGACTAAACTTTCACGATAATCTATAGTCTGTAAATCTGCTCGTGATCATAGTTTCTGCTTCATACATAACTGCCACAAAGTTTACAATGTTTTATATTTTCATTTAGCTAAAATAAACTGGAAACGTATTCTGTCAATATATAATAGGTTTCAAAGCACTCCAGTTCTCTAAAATGTTCTAAAAAAAAAATTCCTTCACTCTTTGTTTATCATTAAAATAACCAATAACAACTTGGAGACCTAATTGTCATCACCAAATAGCACTCCTGTTGTTAAATATTGAAGCTGATGAATTCCATCCTGTTGATGAAAACAATCTATTTAAAAACTCAGATTATTCTGTGTTAGTATTTTTTAAAATACAATTTTCTATGTTAAATGATATCCTCTCTACCCTACTGCCTGCAAGAAAAAAACGAGTTTTCGTTGATGACATTTCCTCCAAGCATTCCAAGGGAAGATGGTAGGAAGGAAAAGCCCGCATGTTAATCTCCTGAAACGATTACATCCTATCTTGCTTTCAATTAAAGTATCATTTATACAACAATGATTTAATCTTTTCTTGATAGAATTAAGACGTTGATAGAAACTCTTTTTGGTTGTTCTCTACGAGAAGGCATAACAGGATCCTGTGGAACTTCCTCTTATTACAACATAGAATAATAAAACGAGCACTAATCGATGCTGGTAAAGCTCAGGAAGTGTGTAAATTACTGCTAATCTAAATTCATAATCTTGTATATAAAACAATAATTTATTATTTAAGCTCAGCAGTTATCAGATTAATTCTTATTTATTTGTTACACTCAGTGTCATAATTTTTGTATCATTTCAAGCACTCCTATATCACCATGATGATCATTCCATTTGCAGCTGTCTTGAAAATGTAAAATGTAAGCTACCATGGAGACAAATATTCAACTTTCTTAAATATTTAATGAGCTTGTAAAATGTAGAATTGAATGAATGACCTTTTCTAATCTAAATTTTATTACGAAATACCTTTTCAATTATCACCAATCCATCAAAGCTAAACCTGATCTCAGACTTATGTGTTATTTATAACAAATTCGTTGATTAATTATTCAAAAAGTTTGATTAATATTTCAGTCTGTAACCCGTCTTTTTCTCCCTAAAAGTCAATAAATGTAAATAAGTAGTAAAATTTTGATTCAAGTTTTTTTATAATAACAAAAAATCTATAAATTATGCATTTTTGCTCTTTTATTAAACATGAAAACCTGGCTTTTATTTTTTCTCTAAAATTTCTGATAAAATCGTGCAAGAATTCAATTACTTTTTTTTTTCTATGTTTGATAAAAGTAGAAAATAAATTAATATCAATAACTTTTCAACAAGATCCAGATATACCTTTTCCCCTATTATTGTCCATTTGTTTTATGAGTCTAGCCACCTGTCTATTGGTCTAGTTACCCTAGATAATAAATCATACTAGGATTTTCGATGCTTATAGATTTCAGGTATTCATTAAATTATATTTTTTATGAAGTGTTTCGGTTATCAATTTAATATAAACTAAAAAATATATTCCACAAAAATGAAAAGCTGAAAAATATTATCTAATACTACAAAACAGTAATTGAACCTATTTATCTTTTTCATCATAAAAAATATGTTATCAATCATGTAAAATTTGTTCAACTATAGTTATCACTGATACTTTTTTATCAAAATATTAGAAAAAAACGATCATAAATTATTATTTGTTTTTTGATTTAGCTAGCCTAGATTAAAATTAAAATTGATATGCAATGATATAAATTATCCAAAGTTAAATGAATAAATGAAAGGTCAAAGTAGTTAATGTTTAGCATAAACATTATATCGATATTTATGGGTAATCATCGGCTATTATATTGTGTATTGCTTTTATTACTAATCGATATAAGGCACTCACTTTTGCGGTGTGTTGCTCGATGTCGTTAAGCCTCTGCGCACGAGGTTTCTCGGGCGTTGGTCCCGGCATCATTGCCAGCCTCCTTGACGACGTGGATTAACGACAACGTGGTTGTAAAAGAAGACGATGGCTGGACCGCTGCTGGCCCAGTTTCCCACGCGCCAGGTTGACGCCAATATAATCAACACAGTGTTGGAGTTTATACACAATAACTTACTACTCTATTTCTTCTTCCATTCTTAGCTGAAATAAATAGTAATAAATAATTATCCTTTTTTGTTTGTATCTAATTAATTCATTGATTACTCAATTAATTAACTCATTCATAAAATTATCAACTTTTTTTGTTCATTTTAGTTGAGTGTCATTTAATATCAAACATAAGCTAAAAATCATGTTTTTATAAAAGCTCATGGAGATCAAGTTTGGTAGCTTAAATTTATAGCAAGAGAGTAATCAAAAGAGATTTCCAAGGTTCGACTCTCCAATCTACACACCGACCTTGAGTCACTCGTCGTTACTCGTGAAACCATTGGCCATTTATCTTGGTGACTTGTGATATACATACTCAGTATATATGTTATGCATGTGTTCTTGAATGATAAATCGAAGGAATGATTGAAATTGATATGCTGATAAGAGTCCAGATTTGTGGTATAGTAAAAATAAAATTTTTAAAATATAAATAATTTGACAAATTTTATTTAAACTGTTCATTCAATCAATTGACATTATCAAACATTACT